CTTGGCAGCGCGAACATCATGGATGGCCGTGCCAAGAACTGGATCTTGGGCCAGAACACGGCAGTTGAGGGAAGCAGTGATGTCAAGGGAGGACTGGTGTTGTTCGGCCCGGGACGACGGATGAGGTATGCCAAGGCCTCCAAAGCGACATGGCAACGCTATCAGGGTGCGCTCCTCAGTATTGACGGGGCGACCTAGGAGAGCAGGAAGGAAGGGGCCTGGGTGTTGGTGCTCGATTTTGGCAACGATCCTTCGCCGAGGGATAGCAGTTTGTGCGGCCAGCCTTGGTGCATTCACATCTTATCTGACACAGGTGGATTTGCCGTTGCACCGGCAACACCGTCCACTACTCTGCATCATGTATCCATGGTATCAGGCACGTTATTATTATTATTATTTATTCACAATCACGTGGCACTAGCCAATGAAATGGTGATGTGGGCGATAGCCAGCCATGGCGGTAATACAGCTAGAGGGGGGGGGGGAAAGAAAAAGAATGAAAGGGGAACTGAAAAGCAAAAGAAGCTAGGGCAGGGCTGGATATCAACTAGTATGTTGCATTCTGCAGTAGCTGTGTGAATGTATTGTAACATTGGCAGGATTTTAGATGTTGTGGGAGGAGAGACCAATGGCGGTAAGCAAGGAAGAGAGGAGATGTTTGCATAGAGGCAGACCGCGCAATAGGGAAGCGGAGAGAGTTTCTGGTGCGCATGTCTTGAGATTGAGCAAACCAGCTTAGGCAGGAGAGAGCATGAAGAGGAGCAATGCCCAGCTTAATTTTATGAATTGTCTGGCATGCCAAAAAACGCACGCGGACCGAGAGCGGCACAGCAGAAGCAAGGCGGTATAAGTCTGCGCTTGGAGTCAGGCGAGGAAGCCGAAATAATATTTTCAAAAGACGCCTATGCATAACTTCGAGTCGAGCAATCAGTGTTTTAGAAATGCCAGCCCAAATTATGCAGCAGTAATCAAAAATAGGCAGAATGTAAGATGTGTAGATAACATGGCGACAGTCGGTGTGCAGGTGGGTGATGTGTGATGAGAGAAATCCCATTACTGAGCTAACACGGCTGTCTAAATTTTCGATCTGGGATTTCCAGGTTAAGTGTTGGTCAATAATGACGCCAAGATGCTTGTGTTTTTCAACGATGCAGAGCGGGGTTGTGGTGCCTGGAAAGGTGAAGGGACTGGTTACTAATGAAGATAGGTCACAGGAACAACTGGGGGGGATACACATTACAGCAGTTTTCGAAGAGTTGGGTTGCAATTTCCATTTTTCCATCCAATGAATAACGCCATCTATGTTAGACTGTAACTTGGCACTAGCCTCGGGGAGAGTGGGTGCTGTCACAAGTAGTGCTGTATCATCAGCATATAGTGATGTGTGATCCATTTCTGCCAGATCGTTTACATACATAAGGAAGAGGAGAGGCCCCAGGATTGATCCCTGAGGAACTCCAGACCGTACATGCCCTTTGGCAGACAGAGCAGAGCCGACACGCACCCTTTGCTGTCTGCCCGTCAGGTAAGTACTGAGCCACGTGAAGCAAGTACCATGGATTCCATGGCGCGACAGCTTGTATAGGAGCCCGCGTGTCCATACGGTGTCGAAGGCCTTGCTTAGATCAAAGAAACATAGCATGCTGTAATGGCCGTTCTCACGAACAGAAGACATCGATTGAACAAGTCTGAGAAGCTGCCAGGACGTAGAGTCGCCTTTTCGGAATCCAGACTGGGACGGATGTAGAACAGGAGACAGGTAAGTGTATAAGTGGTTGTACATAATACGTTCACACAGCTTGGAGATTGTTGACAATAACGAAATCGGGCGGTAATTCGATGCATCGAGCTTACTTCCCTTGTTCTTAAAGACCGGAGTTACAATTGCGTGTTTCCAAATAGCAGGGAAAGCACCAGTTGCAAAAGTGAGGTTAAAGATGAGGCTGAGAGGGTATGCAATACTGGAACAAAATAGTTTCAGGAGTTCATGAGAAATACCGTCCGCTCCCGCAGCCTTTCGGGTCTTAAGGTTGCGGATTTGCTTTGCCACAGCAGAAGGCGTGGTGGTGACATCTTGCAACGTAGGTGTAGTTCTTCCACGTGATGGGGCGTCGGGTGGCTTGAAGTCTGGCACATTCCATGAAGGATCATCTTGTGTTCCAAAACCAATAAACTGTTCGTTCAAAGCATCTGCCACATCCACAGGGTCAGAATATAGAGTACCAGCGACTGAGAGCTGAGTTACAGTCGTTCTGCTGTTGCCTTGGGGAGATCGAAGCTTCCGGACAAACTGGAATAAACTTGGTGATGCGGGTCTTGCCGTGGATGCACTTAGGGATGAGATGTACAGTCGATGGGCAGTTCGAGACATATTGCGAGTAACGTTTCGCTCTCGTCTGTAAATAGCGAAGTTGTCAGCCGAGGGAAACTTTCGGTAAACACTATACGAATCTCGTTTTTTCTTTATTTGATGTCGGAGGGTACTGGTCAGCCAGGGGGGGTTCATATGGATACGCTTGACAGCCGGCGGCTTCTGCCTGGGCAGAAATCTTGCACAGATGTTATGGAAGATAGAGTAAAAGTTGTCCACAGATATGTCAGGGTCGCGCCTCTCCAGGCTCAAAGCTGCTGGCCAATGTATGTGGGACATGGCAGTATTCATACTCGCGACAGTGTTGCTGTCTAGAGAATCCAAAGAAAATACACTAAAATCAGGGACATCCAGGGGAGTCGAGCGGGCATCACGAGAACGGTATGTGGGCATTTCTGGGCAGGGTACAGTACGGATGTGGCCAACCACGATAGAATGATCGGATTGACCAAGTGGTGCTGTAGCACGGAGGCAGGATATAGAGTCCGGTATATCAGTGACAACTAGGTCGAGAGCTGCCCCCATGCCAGACAATGACTCATGTGTTGGAAAATTTACGAGCTGCGTGAGAGAGAACATGCCGAATAGACTGTGAAGCTGGCGACCAGCGGCATCCGTGGTAGTTCCATGCCAATGACATGACTTAGCATTAAAGTCTCCCATCAACATGATAGATGTTGTTCGGTTCTTAAGAGTACTTAGACAGTGCTGGAGGGAATTGCAGAAGGTGTTGATACTTGATGGAGTAAGGGCTGGGGGTCGATATACTGCACCAATAACCAACTTCTTCACATGAGGCGCCTCTGGGAAATGTATGTTAGCAGATGACAGGGCTATTTCCACCCATGTGGCTTCCAGGAGAGGGATACTGAGGTCAGATCGATGGGTGACCTTTGGAAACATCCCAGACCGTACCATGATACAGACGCCGCCATATGCATGGGTGGCATCGGTAGCTGACCTGTTTTCATCTGGCGGACGATCTCGGCGAAAACAGTCATATCCAGGGACCGTGAAAGACGACTGTGGAGAGAGCCATGTTTCCGTTATGCAAACAATGAGGGGTTTAACTGTGGAACAAATGTGAGCCAGCTCGGCAGTCTTGTTCTTAATGGACCTGGCATTGATGCACATTATAGGCTGTGATCCTGCGGTTGGCTGTGAAAGCGGGTAAAAAGGCTGAGCTAATGGATTAAGTGTGCTGTTAGTAGTAATGTTTGGGGAACAGTGAGGAAGTATCGGGGGGTTGAGGTTCATTATTGTGCAGACTGATCGACGGTTGTGTTGTCAGCTGTACTTATTCTGTCAGCCTTGAATCGCCATTCTCGAGCTGTCACTCCGTCAGGCCAAAAGTCAGTGTTTTGCACAGCTTCCCAGTCATCTTCTGTGACGACTACGTGCGCGTACGCTAGGCCAAAGTACTTTGTCTCAGAGACGGAGCATTTCAGTACAGTCACTTGCTTGTTTTCGCACCATTTTGCGATGGAGGAAGCAGAGCAACCAGGGTGAATTCTTCCAACATGAACAGCTTTGCATTTGGTACGATGGGCACTGCGCAGTTGCTCATGTTTGCGGGGTGGGCGCTGGTAGTATGAAATGACGTTTGTCCGGAGGGCTTGATCAGTATGTGTCCCCGTATTGAAGGTAGCTGACTGTGTCATGGGAGAATGCGATGGGAAGTGAGCTTTGGGACGTGCAGATACTACTTTTGCACTGTACGAGTACGGGTTGACTGCAGAGTGCGTATTCCGTGCCTGTGCTGCTGCATCCAGCTCAGGAGAGACTTCTGCTACGGGTACGCTAAGTACGGGTGCGTCAGGTGCGGGTGTAACCTTTTTGAATTCCGAACTGCCAATTTCTCTCTTCAGAACTTCAATTTCGGCGTGGAGGGCTGAAATTTCGGCTTTTTGGCCAACCTTCAGTGCCACTATTTCAATGCTCAGGTTTTCAATACAGGTCGTCAAAGATAATAATGCATTCTCTAGCCTGGATACATACGTTCCGGCTCGTGCATCCACACCAAATGCCCGGAGGCTCTCCACCAGCTCAGCACGGGACAGCTTACTCACGCCCTCTATGCTGTGTTTTGTAGCCAGTTTCCGCAGGTCGTCGAATCCCAGCAAAGCTAAAGTCCTGGGTCCCCTGGGCCTCCGACGCGTCAGAGTCCATGCCTACCAACTACTACTACCCGCTACTATGCTCCAGACCGGCCTGGTGCCGGCTGGGCTACTGGAAATCTACAAAGACTACGGAGCTCTAAAAACTCAACCTGACCTCAAAATAACACGAACCTTTCTTCCTTGTTTGTGAAGCATACTGAACACGTTCGCGAATTCGACAGGCGCACGGCCACAAACCAGGAAAATAATTCCGCACCGACTGGAGCTACAAAACCCGGGGGGGGGGGGTAAGGTACGCTTGATACCATGTAGACCTACACAGCTCGTACTCGTTTCGGACGACAAGTACGCCTGTACACGTGGCCCTCAAACCGTGCCACGTGGTTTTTTCACTCCCATGATCATGATGATGCAGTAGCCATGGTACATAGCTAGCTGAGCCAGCCCGAGCCTCGTTTCCCGCCACCAATGACATCACTTTGGATGTTTTGAAAATGGAGCTCCGGAGAAAAGGGGGTCAAACTCACTGTGAACTCTTGATCTTGTCTTTATTTTAGTTGTAGCCAAATGAAAATAATGGTAGTCTTGATGCAACAAGAACAGATTGCTTGCATTCAAGCTTTCCAATCAAGTTTTCATTCATACCACGCGGACGATGTGCAAATAATCGATAATAATCTGCATCAACAATGGGTAAACTAAGCTTGAAGCTGAAGAAGACGGCATCAAAGCCAGATGCTAAAGATAAGGTACACACTGTGTTGCATTTCTCCCAACATCGTGACTGAAACCTGCCCTGCATCATCACCGATTGCACTGCATGATATCAAGTTGCCACTGCTCTTTTTGTTTGTATTGCAGCCGTCAGGTCAGACGTCCATCCAGACATTTTTTACCAAGGTAAAATTGCTTTGCTTTTACTAGTACCTCATCCCCAGGCCCTGTGCATTGTATAAAACAAAGCTTATGGCCTAAACAAAATGGTTTGTTGGCAACCCTGGCCAGCTAAACATCCAGTCACACTGCAGTTATAATAATTTTGACAACATTGGTCACGACATGTGCTCAAACGTTCCTGTCATTGTGATCTTCCTCAGGATGAACTAGGTACAGTCAGACCTCGCTTAACCGCACACATCCGTTTTCCAAAAAAATATCCGGATAGGCGGGGGAACCGGATAACCGAACACCGTTTATGTTGGATGCATCACGTATGCTGTAAATATGTAACCAGCTTTTTTCTTCCGGATGGCGAGGGATCCGGATAAGCGAGGTCGGACTGTACTGTAGAACGGCTAATTTTAGCGCTGGTGATATTTTAGCAAAAGGAGTTTTTTCGCTAGAGTTTTTCCGCGCCATTCGAAATTTTGCATGTACGGTACAGTACAAGTTACATGTATCTCTATTTTTACCCTGAAACTCGAATCGCTAATATTTCATCGCAAATTGGTCCTGATTCAGAAAACGCTAAAAATTTTACCCGCCACAATTAGCCATTCTACAGCAACAAATCAGGGACAGACAATGTTCACGTTTCCAGCTTCCACGCCCAATCCGGTAGGCTGTATTTGTCTATTGAATTGTGTAGCAAACTGGCCGTGTGGAAATCTACGGCTGTGTTTACATGAGGCGTTTCAACCCGGGTCCAGTTTCCACCCACCATGAACGCAGATTCACTGGAGTGTTTACATGACGCATTGCACTTGACCTGGGTTGACATTGAGAAATTGTACTACCGTGCGTATCTCGCGCCAGGTTTGCGCAGCTCTACACGTGACCATGCAGGATTCTAGAAGTGGACTTTTATCGGCATATCAGTAAACAAAAGCATGTCGAGAGTAGCTAGACCAGCACAACGATATACATGTTCCGTAAAGTACCGTTGATCCGCCCTCTCTCTAATTACCGCCCCCTGTCGATTTTCTGCCTGTGAAGCGACTTCGGCGTATACAACGAAATACGATGTTGAACCGACGCATGCACTGCTGCACACAATACGTGCCAGTGCAGGATGAAAATGTGCACAATCCAGCACATCGAGTCTGAACTTCCACGTTGGTGTACATCGTACTGCACTTGACAGCCTTGATCTAATTCCAGTCCCCTGCCGAAAACCCAGCTGGGAAGCGACATGGCGTGGGGGGGGGGGGGGATCAATGGTACTTTACGGTCCATGTCTATCAAAACGTAATGAAGTCACAAAGCTTCTGGGCCGGGTCCATCATCAGGAATAATAGAGAGGTTCTGCAAAACGAAAATGTGTACGAACTTTCGCTCTATGTCACGAAGTGAGAAACTTCGCACGAACTTTCGCAACTTTGGACGCGAAACTTGCAGGGAACGCGAAATGAACTTTCGTAGGAAGTTTCGTGAGATTGGGTCATGTCGTACGTGCACTTGGCGCGTGCAAACTACGAAAATGTGCAGAACACAAAGTTCGTGCGAAAATTCGTACACACTTTCGCAAGGCCTGTCGCGAAACTTCGTTCGAACTTTCGTTGTGCAGAACCTCTCTAATGCTATATTAAATAGTGACAGTTGAATGAACTGTGGATGCAAATGATAAACACGCTGTGCACAGGTGGGTATCTGTGAGTTGTTTTTGGTGTGTTGTTGCAAGCCTTAAGATCTATACTCCTGTTTTGCACTTGGTATTTTAGGGCCCCGCTGTCAAGCAGAGTCCACTGTTCTCTCGTGTCGGGGACAAGAAGACGAAACAACACTCCCAGATCGAATCATCCGCTTTGGATTCAGGTGGGTTAGAGTACACAGTTGCACATTGGCACCTCTCTCTTGTCTGGGAACATTTTGGTAGAAGATTGTTTGTAACTGAGAATACGGTACTTGATAGACCGTGTCATACGTGTTGCCGGATAGGGCGGGTGTCCGGATTGGGGAGGTGTCTGGATTGGGGAGGTGTCCGGGTTGAGATGTCCGGGTCGGGGAGGTGTCCGGGTCCGGGAGGTGCCCAGGACGGGGAGGTGCCCGGGTCGGGGAGGTGCCCGGGTCGGGGAGGTGCCCGGGTCGGGGAGGTGTCCGGATCGGGGAGGTGTCCAGGTTGGGGGAGGTGTCCGGGTCGGGAGGTGCCCGGGTCGGGGAGGTGTCCGGGTCGGGGGAGGTGCCCGGGGCGGGGAGATGCCCGGGTCGGGGGAGGTGTCCGGATTGGGGAGGTGTCCGGGTCGGGGGAGGTGTCCGGGTCGGGGAGGTGTCCGGGTCGCGGGAGGTGCTCGGGTCGGGGAGGTGCCCGGGTCGGGGGAGGTGTCCGGATTGGGGAGGTGTCCGGGTCGGGGAGGTGTCCGGGTCGGGGATGTGTCCGGGTCGGGGATGTGTCCGGGTCGCGGGAGGTGTCCGGGTCGGGGGGGGGGGGGTGTCCGGGTAAGGCTGCAACCACACTACGTACAAAATCAAGTACGCATTTGCGTTCAGCTTTTAGATAACACAAAGTCGCATCCACACTGCTATTTCATGCGCAAGGAATCCTTGCGTTTTGTCCACATTTCTGGGTCCCAGAAAAATCGCGCTGTGAAAATGTATGTACTACATGTAGTAGTAGTTTGAAAAAGAGTCGCGAGCGCCTTGACATACACATTCAAGGCCTCGGTCATCTCCTCTCGGATGGTCCGCTCCAGGCTGTCGTCTGGCCCTGCTTCCTCTTCTGGTACACTGCCCCACGCTGCATGAGCTTCTCAGTTCGAGATTATCAGCGAAATACAATGTAGTTGCGCGGCATCTCGAACTAACAACGGCAGGCAACAGGACTGTCCGGAAATTAGGGGTGAAACGGTTCCATGTTTTTCATGTTCGGGTACCCTAATGTCAGCATAGTTTCCTACAGTTCGGGTATCGGTTCCATGCACTCTTTTCTCCAGACCGACTAAATGCGTGTGTGAAAATTATTCTTTTAGAAAACATTTTTACGAGCAAGAACGAGACATCGGAGAGTCCATGTGCGAAGAGACAATAACCAGGAGAACCCGTTGGAAGAGCGGGGATCGTTAGGTAAGACATTTAAATCTTGACTAGACTTGACGTGTACATGTATTTGTAGGAGAACGAGATTTTTCGAGTTTCGGTTCGAAATTTGACGGAACGGGTACCCGATTAATTTCAGCTGGCTGTTCCAAAACCGGTTCCTTACCCGAACCGTTTCACCCCTACCGAAAATTATACTGAAAGCAAAGCCCTGGCAGAAGAAATCTCAAATACTACAAACTGACAAGGAAGCCGTCTACCACCGACACAGTGCAAGCCTCAAGAAGAATTTTAAGAAACATCTTCCCGTATGAAGAACCGAGCGAAACGCAAGGAAACGGCGAAAAGTTGCTTTCTACAGGGGTACCCGGTTTGCTGAAACAAAACGCAGTATGTTTTGCGTTTCGCACGCGTTTCCTTGACGACATAAGCAGAAAAGTTGCGTTTACGCAGTTTTGTACCTAGTGTGGTTGCAGCCTAAGGCCTGGGTTCCACTGCGGCTCCGCTGCTCCGCGGCACTTGGCTGCATGCAGCGGAGCAGCGCGGTTCCACTGTCACTCGCCATTCGCGGTACCGCGGTTGTGGTCCACACTTTTTGATGACGTTTCACCTGCCTGCGCGCGCGCGCGCGCGCGAAATCAAACAAATCCTCGTGTTCTGGCCTGCGCAACGAATTAAAATTTGAATTTTAAAATTCTGGCGTACAAAACAATGCAAAGTACGGGAAACAGGTCGAGCCGCAACCGCGGCTCGCAGTTTTTGGTCAAAAATCGTAGCAAAAGCTCGCGGTGAGCCGCGGACTCGCTGCTCCAGCTCGAGCCGCGGTCACTATGGTAATGATGACGTTTCAAGCCGCGAAAGACGAGCAGCGGAGCCGCAGTGGAACCCGGCCCTTAGGGAGGTGCCCATCCCGGTATAAAATTAGGATGTGGTAGGTTTGTGTCTGGCAATGTCTTTATGCGGTATTTTGTTGTTATGTACTGCATGTAGTACATAGGTGCTGTGTTATCTGTCTGGCAATAGCCTGCATTGTTCTGCCTGTGCTCTCCTATGCGAGAAGCACTTGGCTGCTAGAGATTTAGACAGTGCCAAGGCATCCTGCAGTGGACTGTGTGCGTCTGTGTGTGTGTGTGTGTGAGTGTGTGTGTGTGTGTGTGTGTGTGTGTGTGTGTGTGTGTGTGTGTGTGCACGTGCATGTGCATGTGTACATGCTGCATCTACCAATGTACAGCTAGCAATGTCCATCACAATGCAGATGATGATCTGGTGACGGTATCTGATCACGAACAGTGAGTGATTAGAAACGGCATATAACGATAGGTTCAATAGGTTCACGCATACACACCACACACATATGCCACATACACGTCCATTCACACACACACACACACACACACACACACACACACACACACACACACACACACACACACACACACACCACTGGACGCCCATCGCCGGAGGCGATGATAGCGATGCTACGGCAGAAGCCATAGCAGCTTGTGCTGGGATTGCACCATTCAACAGCTTGCAAGGCTGAAGAATTGACCACCACTATTCAGCCTGGTCTACACCACACAGCTATGAAGTGGCTTAGCCACACACGCACACACACACACACACACACACATTAACTACTACACACAGCAACTTGCGGTACAAGGGAGTGCCGGCCAGCGGAGTGAGAGGCTACGGGAAGAAATACGTAAACACTGCCGGAGCAGAATGTTGGCGGAGCCAAGCATCTACAAGAGTCTGCGTCCGAGGGACGGTGACCGAGGGCCTTGAGTAGCCGGAAATGAGTGTGGCCAACACCCCGTTTATTCACTTTATCAAAGCAAATTAGTGATGAGAAATGGGAGGCGGGAGGGTGAAACACTACGAGCAAGCAAGAATGATCCTCATACAGAACGGATCGAAATATATAACAGAGCAAACTCTAGCAAGACATGCAATGATGCATGTCACCCACGTTGAGCACTACATGCAAACGTCATGACGCCGCCACGCGCTGCCCACATCGAAGGCCAGCGACACGCATGAACGCCACGTAGAGAGACACGTTCAATGTCACGTAGAGAGATGCATTCAATATCATGCAGAGTGCCAAGCCGCACAGAGACGTAGCCAGCAGCAAAGCATGAGCATGCAGTAACAGCACTATTAAACATAGCAGCATAGATTGAGCAGTAGCACAAAGCTGCGTGCACCCATTAATCTGCATTATCACCATAATGCTACATTAGAGAGGTTCTGCACAACGAAAATTCGAACGAAGTTTCGCGACAGGCCTTGCGAAAATGTGTACGAATTTTCGCACGAACTTTGTGTTCTGGACATTTTCGTAGTTTGCATGCGCCAAGTGCACGTACGCCATGATCCGATCTCACGAAACTTCCTACGAAAGTTCATTTCGCGTTCCCTGCAAGTTTCGCGTCCAAAGTTGCGAAAGTTCGTGCGAAGTTTCTCACTTTGTGACGTAGAGCGAAAGTTCGTACACATTTTCGTTTTGCAGAACCTCTCTATTAACTACAACACACAGCAACTTGCGGTACTGGGGGGGGGGGGGGGGGGGGGGGGGGGGGGTGCCGGCCAGCGGAGTGAGAGGCTATGGAAAGAAATACGTAGACACTGCCGGAGCAGAATGTTGGCGGAGCCAAGTATCTTCAAGAGTCTGCGTCCGAGGGACGGCGACCGAGGGCCCTGAGTAGGCGGAAATGAGCGTGGCCCATATAATGGCCGGCAATTCCCGCACCGAAGAAGCCACGAGCGCAGTTGTGCAAGCAGCAGGGGAGCGAGAGGTCGCCCAGAGTGGAAGGTAAGAAGTAAGGTAGAGGTAATAATGGTTCGTGCATTGACTCAGCATGAAGTATAGAAATGAATCAATGAGGCCATCGCCAAGAGTCCATGCAACACATGCGTGAATACAGGGCACGTCACGCAATTAAATAGGCCCACTGTGAAGAGCCATAGAAACAGACAGCAGGTCCGACGGATCAGTGCGAATGTACCTCAGAACACAGTCACTTTGCCACCTACCCATAGCACGTATTTTCCACAAATCTTGGGTCGAACGGTGCGTGATCGCTTACAGTAAACTCAGCGCACCGCAGGAAGCCGTGGAACGCCAACAGGATTGCGGCTTGCAGTATTACACGATCATCTGGAGTAGAAGTCGGGTCATTCCGCAACCGGTCCACAACAGATCGGATCAGATCACTTGTCAATGGAAGACGAGTCATGGACGGAGCAGTGCCCTTCACTCTCTTAATGCCCTTGAGCACGCGCGGTAGCAGGGTAGCGCCTGTCGTAGGATCGTCCATGCCGCACTCGAGATGTGGTGTCCCATAATCTGCGCATAAACACACACGCGCGCACACACACACACACACACACACACACACACACACACACACACACACACACACACCTCAGACCTCAGACATGCCCATCGCGGGAGCGATGATAGTGAACAGCTATGTTAGACATAGCAACTTGTGCTGGGATTACACCATTCAACAGCTTGCAAGGCTGATGAATTGACCGCCACTATTTTTTAGCCTGGTATCCACCACACAGCTGTTTGAAGTGACTTTTTCTGGCCAGTGAATCCCTATTTTTCATTTTCCATTTTTTCTTCTTTTTTTCACACACACACACACACACAAGTCATGTCCTGTGTGTGCTGTTTTGTTCGGGTGTCCTTGTGCGCATGACTCGTTTCAGTGATGCATTAGCGAAGCATGTTGAATTAATGTCGCCGAGAATGGATTGCAAAGAAGTAAAACCTCTTCTCTGTGCCATTCCTTAGCTGGAGTACAGTACTGTTGCAGTGTTGGTCGCCGAAGAGCTGGGGGGGGGGGGGGGGGGGGGGGGGGGGGGAGCAGCCTCCTAGCCTAGACCGTTCTTATTTTCATGTATTACAGTCTATGCACAGTTGAGTCACTGTGTATACATAGTCATTAGTATGCTGTGCTTGATGAAGTTCTAGCCTGGTCGTTCTTCGGCGATCCGTTCTTCGGCGCGCGGCAGTACTGTAGGTATCTAAGATATGTAGATGGCGGCCATAGTGTCTTGGCTTGCTACGGAGAGGCAAGCACTGATGCTTGAGGAGCTGGCGTGGCGATGCAGAGACCCGTGTCTGAATGTTTGTTGTTTGTGTGCTGCAATCACTGCAGGGATTCAGACACTGTGATTGAGGCAACACCAACCAAGTCAGACATTGTGATTGACGGAACACCAAGCAAGGATGACATTCTTGTTCCCGACACACCAGACAGGCTTGAAGCCTCACCAGTGCTGCAACCGTCACCATTTCGCACTCGAAAGCCGATCTCACTGAGGAGAAAGCACTCTCTCCCCTCCGATTCCAGTCCACCAGCCAAGCTATCCAGCAAGGCAAAGTCTCCTGGCGCGGGTGTTAAGTCTGGACAACATCGTTTGCCTGCAGTTCCCGTGAGTTCGGATTCCTCGGTGTGTCCTTCTGTCAGTCATGCAGCGTCCAAGTCGAATCCGTTTGCGGTGGCAACATCATCTAAAGCTGTGCTGCCACCATCCAGTCCGCTGGATATCCTATCCCAGTACTCTGGCAAAGCCAGCACCAGCACCAACGGTAGCAGAGACAGCAACGATGCAGGTACAGCTGCAGTACCGGTTCGTACGCACGGCGAAAGCTCGAACAGCAAGTCAGCTTCATCGGCAGTAGGTGAGTCACAGGGCTACTCACGACACTCGGTGCTCGGCTGTTCAACAGCCAATAGTGCGTCAAGCACTTCACTATCACCGTTGACGACTGTGCCGTCGTGCTCCATCAGGAATGCTACCACCACCACAACCGCTGGAGTGGCGGCAACTTCTGATGTCGGCTCTGACATTGGTAATGCCAGCGGTGTTGGTGGTAGTGGTGGTCTGGCAGATTCATCCATCACCGATGAGGATCTGATGCTGCTTTACGGGCAGGTTGCAAGCTCTCCTACCCCCACCACGGCCACTACCACCGCTGCCACCTCGCACAATCCTCAATCAACGTCCTCGTCCGATAAAAACTGCTCACCATTGTCGCAGCGACGCAAGATACCGGAGTGCAGTTCGCCCACACGACAAGCGCGTGTCAATGTGAAGTTGCCCACTCCGAAGAAATGCAAAGAGCCGCCGTGCACTGGACTGTCAGCACTGGTTGGTGATTCCCCAGTCCCTGCTACTCCACAGAAGTCGGCTGCCATCACAAGTATAGGTACGCTGTGTGTCTTCTTACCATTTCTGTGATCTGTAAGAGTAAAATGTTGCTGTAGTTCGCCAGTACCGGTATCCCTGTCACGTTCATCGTCATGTTTATTGTCATGTTCAATGTCATGTCTATCGTGTACAGATTTTGACATTTCAATGCATGGCGTATAATTGTGTTATTCCGTATGTGTTTGTGTGTGTCTGTGTGTATGTGTATGCATGGTCTGTAGGTAGTTCACCGGGGGCGAATACGTCTCTAACGGCAGAGGACTACTCAGCGCTGCTTGAGAGCTGTCTGCAGATGACGCCAATGAAGGAATCACCGCTCAAATCAAGGTGAGAGCAAGGTTGTTGTTTGTGCACACACACGCACACACACATGTGCGCACCTGTGCATCCGTGCATGTGTGTGTGTATGTGTGTGTGTGTGCGTGTGTGTGTGCGTGTGCGTGTGTGTGTGTGTGTGTGCCTCAATGGCTGCTGTATTACGCATGAGTGGTACAACTGTAGATCCCTTTAGCGTTCATAATGGCCAACGCCAGGGTTGCTCAATGGCGCCCGTGCTGTTTAACATTTTCATGTGGGCCGTGGTAAGCAGATGGCAGCAGCGCGTTAGTGGTGTACCTGGTATTGGTTTCAGTTTCTCGCACAATTCTGACACTGGTAACCTCTACAGGAAGTCTCACCGCACCGACCCTGTCACTACCGCTACGGAGGCTCAGTTCGCTGATGACTCGGCATTGTTCGCTACATCAAGAGCTGGTGCCGAGGTCGCATTGACAACCTTTGACAACACGGTGTCCGAATTTGGCCTCGCGGTTAGTGCCACAAAGACCAAGTTTTTGGTTGCTGGTGCTGATGTGTCTGCTGCTGACCGCGTACCCCTCAGTCTAGCTGGTGTCGACATTGCCTGCGTCACCGAATTTAAGTATCTGGGTTCGGTAATTCACAGCGACGGCCGTTCATCCTGCGATGTTGACTCCCGCATTGCGAATGCCTCCCGAGCGTGTGGCGCTTTGCAAAAGTCCATCTTTGGCAACAAGCACCTGGACCTCCACATCAAGAGGTGTGTGTTCAACGCCTGTGTCTTGTCGCTCTTGCTGTACGGTTCGGAGTGTTGGACGCCTCTTCAACGGGATTTGCAGCGGCTCTCTGTCTTCCACCACCGATGCATCCGCTCAATCATGGGAGTGTCTCGCCAAGAATGCTGGGATGACCACATCACCAATCACCAACTACGTGTGAGGTGGGGTGATCCCGACACCATCCGCACGAAGGTGGAGCACCGCCGCCTTGAATGGCTCGGGCATGTTGCTCGGATGGAGGACCACCGGCTGCCGAAGCAAGTTCTCTTTGGCACGCTTCCGTCGCGTCGCCCAGCTCATGGCCCTCGTCGGCGCTGGAAGGATTGTATCATGTCTGACCTTCGTTCTCGCGGCCTCGAGGGGGGATGGCGAGCTGAATGCGAGTCGCGTTCCACCTGGCGCTCGGCGTACTCAGCACCGGTAGATGCCCAGCATACCCCTCCCGTCACCTGCTACACCTGCGACCGACAGTTTACACGCCCCAGTGATCGCGCACGCCACAAGTGTAAGGCTGAGCGTGCGAAGCCGGTTGCGGAGCAGAAAGGTGCATGCCAGTGTGGAGAGTGTGGCCGTTGGCTGAAGTCTCGTGGAGGTCTGGCAAGGCACAAGTGTACTTACCCCCAGTCAGCAGTCGTTGCGCCCCTGCCTGCTTCTCCGCTGTGCTGCGTCGCTCACTGCCAGGCTTGTGACCGCTGCTTTGCGTCTACACGTGGCCGCGCCCGTCATCGCTGCTCGCGGACTTGTAGTCGTCCGACCGTTCAGGACCGTCAGGGTTTCACGTGTGTTTGCGCCTGCTCCCGCCGATTTCGCTTACCGCATCACCTGGATCGTCACAGGGCTGTGTGCTCCTCCTCTCTCTCAGCTGCCCCTCCGGGGCCCACGTAACCTTCATGGCAGTGGCTCAACAGGACAGGTGTGTGTGTGTGTGTGTGTGTGTGTGTGTTTGATTGATCGAATATTGCAAGGATTCTCCCGAGGCTAATACCGAAGTCAATGTTATTTGTGGGAGTCTGTCATGACGGAGTCTTTTTTACAGACAAATGACGGTACATTGCAACCAAAAATTGTGCAACGAGTAAGGAACTGAATGTATCACATGTGCATTTGTCATTATTTGTCATTGCTCTTCCAATTCTATTCCTAGATGTAGATATCTACTAGGTGGCAGTTCGTTGCTGTAGTTAGGACTGCACACGTTTCACCGATTGAATGTTCAATTATTCATATTCAGTTTCAAAGAATTATAAACTGTGTGGTTTTCCAACTTCTGCCAGCCTCTGGTTTGGTAGAGGCAGTAGCGCTTGGCAACATTGGTGGTATTTCAACTGTCCACAGAGAGGCACTTTGTCGAGACTGTGTGTTGTTCCCAGTTTGCTGCACTGTATGCATGCATGTATGTATACAATGGCATGCATGTAAGTAGCCGTTTTCTTCTGTTTGTCTTCTTTGTGTTTGGCTCAGTGCGACCAAGGACAAAGCTGCTGCTAGTCAATCGCAGAATGAGAAACATGCAGGTCAGTGTGTCCGTTCGTCATGCTTTTGTTTTTCTGTTTGTGTCGAGACGAATGTTCTTCATGCGAAAAGAATCCTTCTGTCTCAAACGAACGAGTGTCACAAATGCTTGGCAGAACGGCAGAAACCAGTGTGCAATCAGGCTGGCGCTTGCCAATGTCGTCTCTGCCAACGTTGGTTCCGCAGCCCCGGTGGATTGGCTACCCATCGGTGCGATCACGGACCTGCTCCCAACATCGAGCACCCCGGCAACCCGGTCACTCCGCAGTGCAGCACCTGCCACTGGAGTTTCAAGTCCAGCAGCGGCTTGGCCAGACACAAGTGCGACCGCACGAAACGTAGGACAGTGTCCGAAAGGGCCGACTTCCCGTTTGAGTGCCCTTGCCAAAGGAAGTTCCGACTACGTCACCATCTAGTGCGCCATCAAAAGTGCTGCTCCTCAGCCTCTTCCACCCCTCTCCCCTGACGGGGACCGTGTAACCTATCAAGGCAACGTGTATCAAGGTCAAGGTGTGTGTGTGTGTGTGTGCGCGCGCGCGTTCGTATGCGTTCATGTGCATGCATGGTGACTCCTTGCTGTACTATGTGCTGTGTGCAGTGGTATACCGGCGCTTTCTCGTCCTGGAGGTGTACACACGTGATGCTACGGTCACCAATGGACAGGCGTCTTGGTGAGTTTACGACTTGGTGTGTTTCATGGTTCAGGTGTGTGTGTGTGTGTGTGTGTGTTTTTTTTTTTTTTTTTTTTTTTTTTCTCTTGAGAGAGGAGGAAGCAGTTTTTGGAGCTCCGAACTCTTCTTTCTTCGTAGTGAGTTTAGGGCCACGGGCTGGCTCCTGGCTTCTGCCAGGGCCAGCCCTGGTGAGTAGAAAACACTTAGTGATGCGGTGTTAGACAAGGCAGTCTTCATCTTGCTGCCGCGGAGGAGGAAAATTCAGCGTTGACGACATGGCCACTTCGGATGTGACCACTCGCGCTGACCCTCTTTCGCCTGGGTGTAGAGGTCTTGCAAACCCTCGCCCAGAGTCTTTCCACTCGCGTGCACCAGCGGCTCGAAAGGTTGTTCTGTCTCTGGGAACGTGGAACGTCAGGACTCTTGTCGACACTGACGGAAATTTGAATACGGCGTCCAAAGCAAAAAAATCAAGGAAAGTTTGTTCGAATATTCGCGAGGAGAGAAAAATTGACCTTGTGTGTCGTCAGCTCAAAAAGTATGGAATGGACATCGTTGGCCTCCAGGAGACGCTTTGGTTTGGCTCTCATCAATATACTGTCGGAGATTGCTTAGTTTTGACAAGTGGTCGCCCAACACCGACTGGGGATGAGCCTGCTCGTCGTGGTGAGGGGGTTGCTGTCGTTTTGCGAGGCAGATGCAGGGAGGCATTTGAACGCGGAGGCTCTCGCTGGACGGCGGTCGGCTCCAGACTCCTGTCATTGCAGGTAAAATTCGTATGTGGTCGGAATCGGTCTGTGTCTTGCCTGCACTTCGCTGTGGCGTATGCCCCCACGTTTGTCAGGCCCCGTGAGGAGAAAACTCAATTCTACGCAGATGTCCAGTCCTTCATTGACAGTATTCCCAGGAACGATCAATTCGTCCTTCTTGGTGACTTCAACGCCCGTGTTGGCAGTGCTGGTGCGGATGGTGACTGGTCAAGTGTCAGAGGCCCTCATGGTTTTGGTCGAATGAACTCAGCTGGAGAGGATTTGCTCAATTTCTTGTCCAGAAATGGTGCCCTCATATGTAACACGTGGTTTCGGAAGAATGATGTTCATAAGCATACCTGGTTTCATCCTCGATACAAACAGCCTCACTGCATTGACTACTGCATCATTCCTCAGAGCCGACGCTCCCAGTGTATTGATTGCCAAGTCATCCGGTCTGCGGAATGTGATACCGATCATAAATTCTTGGCTATGAAATTGCGCCTGGCAGAGAATCCCTGTTTCCATCGTACCCGTGCTGTCATCAGAAAACCCATTGCTGTGTCCAAGCTGTTGTGCAAGCCTGGCGGAGATGACGAACCGGACACTCGTAAGGTCTTTCGCGACATGCTGGATGCAGAGTTGGAGGGAGCCTGGTCGCATGAGCCATCCTTGGATGACTGGTGGACTACCATCAAGACAACAACTATCAAGGTTGCAGAGGATTGCTTGGGCAGAGAGAGCCGTAGACAGCCGGAGTGGTTTCGGGATAGTCAGGCAGAGCTTGAACCTTTCCTACTGGAGAGGGATCGGCTGTTTGCTGTTTGGGTGTCTACACGCAAAGTCAGTGATTGCAATGCCTATAAGTGTGCCCGCAGCTCCGCGCGGAGGGAAGTCAGACGCGTCAAGCAGGAATGGCTACTCAACAAGGCCCAGGATTGCAAACGTTTCAGCCTCACGTCCAAGGGTGGCTGGGAGTGCATCAGACACATCCAGGCTGCGTTTCAGGGACTAAAACCGAAGGTCACAACAGCGATCAAGAATTCAATGGGACAGGTTTGTGACACCCCCGAGGCCATGAACATGCGGTGGCGGGAGCACTTTGGGAGAGTTCTCAATATCGTCAGCGACTTTGACGTGGAAACCCTCGACTCTATTGACCAGCGTCCGGTCTTGGGGGAGCTTGCGGATGTTCCCGACCGTGTGGAGATTCGTAAGGCCATGCAAGCACTGAAGAACGGCAAAGCTTGTGGTAGCTCTGAAGTCTTTGCCGAGATGCTGAAGTATGGTGGTCCTGTTCTACTGGGTAAGCTGCAGGCATTGCTGGAGGAGGTATGGCGAGCTGGTCGAGTACCGCAGGATTGGGTGGATGCCATCCTGGTCCCTATCCCCAAGAAGGGTGATCTGAGTCTGACTGATAACTGACGCGGGATTGCCCTTCTCGACGTGGTTGGCAAGCTTGCTGCACGGCTTATAGCGGACCGTCTGCAGCGTGTTGGGGAACAGTATCTGCCTGATTCTCAGTGCGGTTTTCGCAGAGGCAGGGGCTGCTCGGATATGGTATTCTCTGTTCGGCAAGTCGCGGAGAAGTTGCATGAGCATTCTTCCAAGGGATTCGCAGTATTCATTGACCTCCGAAAGGCCTATGACTCGGTGCCGCGGGCCGCCTTGTGGAGGGTGCTTGCAAAGCTTGGCGTACCAGAGGTGCTGGTTTCCGTAATTCGATCGTTCCATGTCGACATGTCGGCATCTATACGCATTGGTGGCGAGCTGTTGGAGCCGATTGCGGTGGGGAACGGACTGCGTCAGGGATGCACCATGGCCCCGATTCTTTTCAATTTGTACATGCTTGCTGTTGTCGAGAAATGGCATGAGGCAATAGCTGGTGACGACGAGATTGGACTATCAATTTGTCAGTTTCGTCAGGACAGACTGTTCAACACGCGTCTCCGAGCATACACCAGGGCTCCACTAACGGAATGCCAGTTTGCGGACGACTATGCACTTCTTGCCAAGACTCACCCCGGTGCAGAGAGAGCACTCGCTGGGTTTGAGACTACTGCTTCTGCCTTTGGGCTCAAGGTTAACATGGCCAAGACAAAGTTCATGGCTATTGGGACTGGGGTGGTGAACGAGGACATGGCACCTTTAAACGGCACGGTGGAGCACGTGCACTCCTTTCGTTATCTTGGATGCCATGTGACACCGGATGCCAGGTGTACCTATGATGTGTCGCGTAGAATTGCTGCTGCATCGGGCGCTTTCCACAGTTTGAAGGATGCAGTGTTCTACAACTCGGACTTCACCATCGGCATCAAGCGTGTAGTCTATGGCGTCACTGTTCTGGCTGTCCTCCTGTATGGTTCTGAGACTTGGACAACACGGCAAAGGGACCTGCAGCGGCTTGACGTGTTTCACCATCAGTGCTTGAGGATGATCTTGCACATCGGTCGTGCACGCCAGATTGATGGGCACATCTCCAATTTGCAGGTGCGGAAATGGTGGGGCGACTTGGAGCAGCCGGCTGACAAGATTCGCAGGCGGCGGCTGCAGTGGCTGGGCCATATGGCACGTATGCCGAGGGGCGGCCGCATCCCTCGTCAGCTGTTGTTTGGCTCCTTGCCATCGAAGCGCCCACCCCATGGTCCGAGGAAGCGATGGAAGGACGTGGTGCGGACCGACCTGGCGGCAATTGGCATTGAGCCCAATTCCTGGCTCGACGTGGCAAGTAATCGCCGTGAGTGGAAGTCCCAGTGCCTTGATGGGGTGGATCGTATTGTACTTGCCCGTCAAGAGCCTGTCGACAAGCCTCTGCTTTGCGGTGTGTGCAACCGCAGTTTCCGCCGCCGTCAGGATATCGCACGGCATCGTTGTACATCGCGGCGTTCAATAGCAATTATAACCCGTGGGAATGCGCCGTCACGTCAGTCGTTGGGTCCTGGTGCCGCTTCCCGGAGACAGCGCTAATCCAAGAGCTGCCCCGTATGGGGCCACTTAGCCAGTCATGGCAGTGGAGAAGAAGGAAGGAAGGTGTGTGTGTGTGTGTGTGTGTGTGTGTGTGTGTGTGTGTGTGTGTATGTGTGTGTGTGTGTGTGTGCGCGTGCACGCACGTGTGTGTGTGTGTGTGTGTGTGTGTACGTGTCTGTCCAGTACATGTACATTTCAAATGCATTCAAATTAGTACTAATTCGAATACACAATTCGGTCGTATTAAAAAGGAGAAACTGAAGAGAACAATTAAAAATGTATACTCAGTAACTCTTGACATGCCTGTAAGCGAGTGCATACTGATTTACGGGCGTTTGCGGTACATGTACTTTGTTGTGCAGGACTGTCAGTGAGAAAGTGCTACGCTTGCTGGATGAAAGACACAGTGAGGAGCGGCAATGTCTTCTCCGAGATGACTGGTGAGCGCCTTTATCCATCTGATCCCCCCCCCCCCCCCCCTCCCATGCTGCACATGTCCAATGTATGTATGTTCTAGAGAACGATTTGTGATGTACTGCTGTAAAACCGGAAATTTTCGGTGGAGGTTTATTTTCGGTAACTTCGGTACAGGTCCAGGTAAATTTTACATAAAATAAAACGCACCGACAATGTACGTACATGCATGCCGACTGCAGTGTGGAAAACTGGTTTACCGAAATCTTCGCGCTACCGAACCGTTGATTTTGGGAAATACCGAAAATTCCCGGTTTTATAGTAGTCTTTGAGGCCATCTCTTATGGACTGCTCTATTGGTAAGGTACCGTAAAAGTCCGTAAATAAGTACCTGCCCGAAAGAAATACCCCCTTCATTCTTTTGGCTCTGTCTGTTGAAGTCAAGTGAAGCCTGATAAACATACTGCCCGAAATAAGTACCGGTACGATGCGCACATGCAGCACGTAGCATGTACATCGACATGAAAATGACTTCTCCACTACACACGAGTCAGGTCCGAAAGTTAGTTCGTGCCCGAAAGTCAGTACCCGCCCGAAAGTTAGTACGGGTGTGGTCACTAAATTCGAAAGTAAATACGTACTTATTTACGGACTTTTACGGTATGTATGGTTTTGCCAGGATACTTCTAAGTTAGAGAACTGGGAGACCAAGCTGCAACGCAAACTCGCGTGCAGGGATTGCCTCGAGGGGTGCGTGCAATGCCTGTACGATTCCGTATGATGGTACGACGTCTTGCATGGGCTGAGTCAGAGTGTATCGCTGTGGCCTTCTGATCGCTGACCTCTACAGTGTACTGTAGTGTCTTGTATAGAAGCCTGTTTTGAATACAAGCCTGATTTTTAAGATATACTGTCAGCACATAAGCCTGGTTTTTGTGTTGGCATACATAGAGATACGTGGTTTGAATAGAAGCCTAGCACTGACATCGGCTTATACGGCCGTAAGCACCTGCTTTTATTGCCTTCTTGACTCTCTGTTGTACCAGGCTGCAGACCAGCGTTGAACCCGGTGATATTGTGCACATCAGCGGCCAGTTTGACACCGGCGGGCACTGCTTATTGGCCAACAGTCCCGGTCACCATGGTCACGTGGTCGTACAGCCCGACACGCTGATATCCACCACTAGTGTTGCCATGGCAACGCGCTGCCTTCGAAGGTCAGTCGCGGGAAAACTTGCTCTGATGGTGCTGTGTGGTATGCGTTGTGTAGTGTGTACGCATGCAGATAGGGTTGGGTAAATACTAAATAGCCCTCTTTTCTCTCTCTCTCTCTCTCTCTCTCTCTCTCTCTCTCTCCGTGTGCGTGCACCTCTATTGGTGTAGTCGTATACGGCTCGTGTTACAGCAGAGGTGTGACATCTGGGAACTTGGTGTTCTCACCTGGAACACACACACACAGCCTATCTGTGTCGTGTCTAGTAATTCACTCCTAATGTGATGATTGCTCAGTGGAATATTGTGGTATAACTATCTGACAATGAAGGACTCCGGTGTGTTCTGTTGTGCTGCTCTCATGTATGTTTGTGTGGCATGTCCAGAGCTGTGCTAGGCGAACGATTCAAGGTATGCTTCAAGTAGTTATTACTAGTAACTTATTACGAACTTTGTAGCGTGGTGTTTAGTCTGTTTCTGTTCCATAGTAGACCAGGGACTGGAGCTCAAGAATAGTGTGGTCTGATCTGGCCCTGCAATGCATGTACTCGGGTTATTTCTCCTAGATTACCTTCTTCTGCCATTGCTCGCTGCTTCCACATTCCGTGCTGGCTGCTACTGTTTGTCAAGTTTGTGCTGTAACAATTACCAGTCTGATGATACATGTATTGTGCCCGTGCAAGTGGTTTCGATATCACAAAAAAATCCGTTTGATAAGCTGTTGCTGAATAGAATGTCTTGCTCTCCATGTGTGTGTGTGTTTGTGTGTGTGTGTGTTCGTGCGTGTGTTCTGTTACAGGGTGGTGGTAGTGATGTTACGGAGGCACTACTCATCGGTGTGTTGGTCCATGAGCTGTTCGATATGGTATGTGTGCTGACAGCCTGTAGTGGACACTCTTTCTATCAGTTACTATCCCAAACTGGAGGTTTTCTCTTGCACTGGGAATGGGGCTGTACAGTCATTAGTGTGTATGTAAATGCAACATGGACGGCATGATCCAGTGTGAGGGTAACACCATGTGTATGCTACCACTACCACCCTGCTGTACCGTGGAGCGCTCTACTTACTAAGCGCTCCAGGTGTTTCCAGCATGCCAAGCAACTTGCGTGCGAACTCCAGACGGCAGCGTGAATCAGTGTCCATACATGAAACAGTTATAGATAGACTATGCGGGCAGTTGCCAGTTTGCCATTCGCACAGCTGCTGTATCAACTATCAGGTGTTGTTTTGCACTTCTGTGTTGACTGTCATGACTGTGTTTGCATACTCACATCTGTCCTCTCCGACACTCTCCGTTCTTCGCATTCTGGTACATTAAATTGTTGTTGTTGCCATCTTTTCTCGTCGTATAGACAATGAAAGCCGGTGACTTCAGTCTTGACTATACCAGACGTACGGCACGGCAACTTTCCCAACGACAAGACTTCCTTCACATGATGTAAGTTTAGTTTCTACGTGAATGCGAGAGAGACAGAGACAGAGACAGAGACACACACACACACACACACACACACACACACACACACACACACACACACACACACACACACACACACACACACACACACACACACACACATAGACAGACACACACACACAGCCACATACGCACCTTGACCTTTGACGCCCCATCTCCAGTGGAGATGATAGGCTACTTAGTTGGGCAGTACTTGATGTGACTCTTCAAATCGCCACTTCTCCTAAACGCTCTGCTGCATGCGCAGTGAAAGTCCTTCGGTGCCAGGGGAGGAAGACGATGTTGATGGACCCGCCTGCGCCATTCCGGGCGATCTTGTGCGAGCCGATACCACTCGGACTCCGGAATATCCAGCGAGCGCAGATCACCGACAATCGTGTCTCGCCAACGCTTCTTTGGCCCATGTCGTGGTCTGGTTGCCTGGAGCTCCCCGAACAACACTTGTTGAGGAATCCGGGCCGCGTCCATACGGGCAACATGACCCAGCCAACGCAGACAGTACTCACGCAGGAGAGTGCCAATGTCCTCAGGAAGACGCGCTCTCTGGGCTAGATCAGCAGTAGTAAGATGACGGGAGTGCTGATCGCTCCTTGAGACTCCCAAGATGGAACGGACGCATGAGCGATGAAACAGATTCAGGCGATTCATCTGCCGGGCCTTCATGGGTTGTGGACAGCTTTACCTATCTTGGCAGTGTCCTGAGTGCAGACGGTGCTCTGGACAAGGAGCTCACCTCCCGCCTTGCCAAGGCCTCTCGTGCTTTTGGCGCTCTCCAAAAGCCAATCTTCGGGTGTAGCGGCCTATCCATTAAGTCTAAGCGTCTTGTCTACAAGGCCATTGTCCTCCCTACCCTCTTCTATGGAGCAAAGACTTGGCCACATACGCACACACGCCCCCCCCCCCCCCACACACACACACGCGCGCGCACACACACACACACACACACACACACACACACACAGGGGAGGGAGGGAGAACCCTGGTAATCGTCCACTATGTAGTGCGACTCATCAAGCCATGGCATGTCCCCTCACTCATTCTGTCTCTGTTTCTGTACATGCATGCTTTGTCTTATTGCTAAGGTATGCAGCGCAGCAGACACAGGAAGGTATTATGGAGAAAATCCTGCAGCAACTGGCCACACTTCAAGAGTGGTCCGCGAAGTTTCTTCACGAGGAGCCGAAAATAGCGCAGGGAGCTCTGGACATGGCTAGGTATGTTGTTTTATGGTCTTAACAAGCCTAGCAATGACTCATCAGACATGTGACTGGTGGAATGTAGTACATGGTGTTTCCTGTGCCAGGACCTCTTGCTTTGTTGCTCTGTTTTGCGGACAGCTAACAATTCACTCTCAATGCTTACGCCCCCTCTATGTTGCAATGTGTGTGTTTTTGTTACAGTACCTTCCAATCTCCGTCAGATGAGAAGCATTCACTGGCTATTTCCAAGCTCCAGGATATCGAGGAAAATATCTGGTCACCAAGGTACGGTTTTCGTGCGTGTGTTTGGGGGGGGGGGGGGAGGTCAGGTTTTATGTTGATATTCTGTTTATGTAGTTGTACATACGAGCGTATGTACCGGTACATGCAAGGATAACATGAGGTGAGAAAGCTACACCAATGGCCAGTGCTTTATGACTATCACTACTCAATGGTCTAGCCAGGGAAGACCCCAGCTCGGAATGAATAATAGGAGCGAATGTATCTTAGCAAGTTAATTTTATCACAATGCCAATTAAGACCATGCAGGAACATGGTCAACAGATTCAACACCCATGCTTGTGCTTAGGGTTCATGTTATTCTACAGTTGTACAGCAGAACGTGTGTTTGGTGATCACTCCATGGTGCGCAGAATACTAGTCCTGCGATGCTTTGGCTCAACACAGGGTTCTTCGGCAGACCAGGCGTACTCGTGTAGCTCTCACAGCTCAACCATCAACACAGTATCGACTCAGAGCAAGAAAAAACATCACCTGCACCTGCATCTGACAGCTCATTTCCTGTAAATTCTCCGTTTTCATTTTTGCTTCTGTAGATATGGTCTGAAAGGCAAAGTGGATGCAACGATTGAGGTCAAGGTAGGTGGTAATCCTTGCCGTCAGTCTGCTCCGAAAATTCTAATATGCATACGGTTACGGGATCCCATTTTCCCATTTTCCCATTTTCCCATTTTTGCTCTTAGATGTACATGTACTTTATCCACCATGCTGTGGTGGGTTGTGTTTTGTGATGGCCTAGATTCACAAGCGGAGACCGCTGAGTGATACGAGGAACAAGCCCGCTGCACGTCTTCCAGCCGTGGAACGGGTAAGGGGAATTATAGATACGGCTGTGTGCGCTTGCTTGCCGGTTGACAGAGTCGGCGAAATGCGCTCTGAATCTCCTTTTTGCTTCCTTCTTGTTGTTTTTACGTGATCCTGGAATGGATTTCAATATTCTGAACAGTTGATCACAGGGGTTGGCTGGATCTGAGTCTGCTTGATCCTATCTTGGTTTGGCTGTTCAAGTGGATGTGATGATGTGAGAATATGATCAGCTGACTGTTGCCATTGACTGCAATCTCACCTTGATACGCATGTGCCTGGCTTGTCATGAGTGCATGGCTGTTGTGTGTGTTGCTTGTGGTGTGTGTCTGGCTTGTCGTGTCGCACTGCTACTACTGCCCACTACTGTTACTGCTGTTGCTGACCCATCTCCCTGTTCCATGTACAGGTCCGCTGGTCTCAGGTGCCGCTGGAGTTGAAGACTGGACGACAAACAGCTAGCCTGGGCACTGTCGATCATCGAGCACAGGTATGAGTGAGAGAAGGGGAGTTTGGGTGTGGGTGGGTGAATAGCTTGAAGATACCACATCTACTAGAATAGCAATTTGGGTAGAAAGAATGTATCTGAGTGCAGGGAGCCCGATAAGATTTCAACATGACTCAGACGCAATGCCCCGATACTTCTGGAAACGGTCACACATGGCCGGACACCGTGATGTTGGCAGATTTTTGTAAGCATATCTCGCACTCTTTTCGTCATCGCTTGCTTGCACGACAACACTGCACATGCATACACAACATCACAGTGAACCGTACTGTTGCTGGAACAAAGCATCATAATTATCGAGTACTCCTTTGTCAGCTAGTACTTAGTAATTGTGTTCGATAAGAGATCGTTAGTGGTATCAAGAGTATATACCCCCCCCCCCCAAGAGTGTGCAACTCCTGATACCCTTTCTATGGGGTTCGCCAACGGCGAAAAGTCACATCACGTGGTGTAGTGTCGCAGTTGTACATTTCCAGTCCGTTTTTAGCGAGCGGCGGAGTAATAAAAAAAAAGCATTCTCTGACAGAAACTCACTGCGCGTATGCAAATCCCCAGCATCATCATGGCAGATACTAGGGCTGCGCGCACGCTATCCTTCGTTTAAACGTACCTGAGACACGTGATGCCAGTTTTCAGTGTGTGTGTGTGTATGCGTGTGTGTGTATGCGTGTGCGTGTGTGTGTGTGTGTATGCGTGTGTGTGTATGTGTTTTCCCGTAAGGTTATCCTATACACCATGATGCTATCGGATGCGCATGTCTCTGAAGTGCCGGCCGGTCTACTCCTCTACTCCAAGACCGGCAAAATGCTGTCGGTGCCGGCTCAGGAACACGAGTTACGGGGTTAGTTGCGCGTGTGCTGGATATTCGTTTATTTTAGAATTAAATCTCAATTCATGTTGTGTGTGCAATAACTCCTTGGTGCTGTACGTTTGCATGTATTCTCTGTGCAGCAATGCTGTTCTTTTTCGTAGGACTTACACTACGCTGCTGGTGTGCGTGTTGTGCTCTTGGTTATTTTCAGCGCTACTGATGCGCCGTAATGAGCTTGCTCGCTATCTGAGTTTGGGCATAAGTCCCAGCTCGGCCTGGACGGCTCACCGCGGTGCTGGTCTGCTACCCGCCATGTTGCAGGACGAGCACACGTGTAGATACTGTCCACAACTGGCAACATGTGCCCTGTTACACAAGTAAGAACACGCTGAGCAAGCTGATAGAGCTCTTTGGGGTATTCACTGCGACGTTTGAGCTTGAATCACGTGTCATGCTGTTGTTGTTTTGGTGAATTTTGTTTTTTATTGGTTGATGGTTACCATTACAAGCAGCTCATCTGGCTTTGTGGATTTTGAGTATGACTGTTGTGGTGAACGTGCTCTCTCTCTCTCTCTCTCTCTCTCTCTCTCTCTCTCTCTCTCTCTCATACACACACATACATAAACACACACATAAACACGCACACACACCCTGTGCACATGCATGCAGATCGGTGGAGAACGGCACGGCGGAATCCAGCGGCATGGGCAAGTATTTCGAGGAGTCCACGGAGCACGTGTCACAGGAGCAGCTGGACTTTTTCGCTGACTGGTATCGCCTAGTGGGTTTGGAGGCATCGTGTGCAAGTGCTGAAAACGCTCTGCACAGCATCTGGACTGTTCCCGCTGAAGAAAGGTATTCCCTGCAGTGCTTGAGACAACATAGGTTTTCTTCTTCTTTCAAAAATGGCAGTGCCTCATCATTAGCTCTCTTATCTTCCAGGAACCTTTGATGACCTGGAGACACGGAGACATTCTTGTCTTGCTGTTTCAGGCTTATCTGAGCACAAGAATTAGGTTCAGTTTTGAGCTACACGGACTCAAGCGTGGAGTTAGCGTTGATGGTTCTTACATAGTACTGTTTGATTACAGTGCCTTGTTCAATGTGCATAGGCTGCTAATGTGTTTATGTGGTGGACTGTTATGTAATGTCCTGTTCCTTTGCATGTTGCTAATCACTGTTACTGTGTGTGTGTGTGTGTGTGTGTGTGTGTGTGTGTGTGTGTGTGTGTGTGTATGTGTGTGTGTGTGTTGTTGTTGTTGTTGTTGTAGAATATCAGCTGGCCAGTGTTTTGGTAATCTGCAGGTAGACCAGGCACAGCGTAGGGGAGGGAGCTCATCCTGGAAAACACGCTTCACATCAGCCAACCAACATCAGCAACAGCAGCAAAACTCTCAACTGTCAGATGGGTAAGCTGTCATTTCTGGTCAAGTACATGTATGTTTGGGGGTGGATAATAAAAGAAAAACATCCTTGTTGAGTTGATGAAGTATCTCTGTCTCTCTCTATCTCTCTATCTCTCTCTCTCTCTCTCTCTCTCTCTCTCCTGTCTGTCTGTCTGTCTGTCTCCATGTATTCTCGTCTCCTTTCGTATTTCTATCTATCTATATGATCTATCGACCTCTACCTGTGTGATTTTACATGTGTGTGTGTATGCATGCGTGTGTGCGTGTGTGTGTGTGTCTGTATCCACACAGTGGTAGCAGTACAGCAGGGTCAACATCATTGCTAGACATACCAATCAGTCCAGGAGAGATGATAGTACTGAGTGAACAGAACGGACGTCTTGCACTGTGCACTGGATTTCTCGTCGATGTAGGACTTCACCACGTGGAGATAGTCGCGGACAGGTACAGTACTGCGTTGTGTAGTGCGTTTTCCCATAAATTAAGGCCAAAATTTCTTTCACCTGCAGCATTTGGCCGGGTGTGCTGTTGGTGGCAACAGCCGCCGCAACTTCCGGTTTTTCCTTGCACCGAGATAGCCCAGCTGCATTTGCATGCGCTCGTCCCTGACGATATTGTACGGAGAACTGAAATTCCGCTAAGAATTCTAGCCATCGTGCAATAATTGCTGGGGGGTCCTTAAACCGGCCCCAATGCTGCAATGCTCTGTGATCCGTTCGGACCAAGAACTCGCGGCCCAAGAGATAGCAACGGAAGTGCTTCACTGCCCAAACCATGCCCAATAGTTCGCACTTAGTGCTGCCATATCGCCGCTCAGCGGAATTCAAAAGCCGACTAGCAAATGCTATTGGCCGTTCCTTGCCATCCTTATCCGGCTGGGAGAGCACAGCACCCAATCCAACGCCACTGGCGTCTGCATCCAATACAAATGGGGGATCCCCCGGCCCGAATCTGGGATACGCTAGCGTAGTAGCCTCAACCAGAGTTTGTCTAAGCTTGTTGAAAGCTTCCTCACATGTTGAAGTCCACTGGAAAGTGACTTCCTTATGTGTTAACGTGTGCAGGGGTTTTGCAATAGAAGCATAGTCCCGCACAAACCGGCGATAATAACCACTGAACCCTAGGAAGGTCCTGAGTTGCCCTACCGTCCGTATGGTCGGCCACTGTTCTATGTCCCGGATCTTCGCCGGGTCCGTCTGGACACCGTCAGCGGTGACCACATGCCCCAAGAAGTCTACTTTCTCCCGGAAGAGAAAGCACTTCGAAGGTTTTAGCCGCAGGTTCGCTGCCCGGAGGCGAGCAAAAATCGCCTTGAGGCGGTCCAAATGTTCCGGAAATGTACGTCCAAAAACAATGATGTCATCTAGATAAACCAAACAAGTTTGCCATTGTAGTCCTTTAAGGACTGCACCCATCAAGCGCTGGAATGCACTAGGTCCATTACACACACCGAAGGGCATAACCGTAAATTGGTAGTGTCCATCAGGTGTGGAAAAAGCCGTTTTTTCCTTGTCCTCTGGCTTCATAGGTAACTGATGGTACCCATAGCATAAGTCCAACGTAGAGAAGTACTTCGCTCCCCCCCCCCCCCCCCCCCAATGCATCAAGAGTATCATCCATCCGCGGAAGGGGAAACGGGTCCTTGGTCGTGCAGTCATTCAACCGCCTGTAATCTACACAAAACCGTGTAGAGCCATCCTTCTTCCCCACCAGCACGATGGGTGCCGACCAAGGGCTCGTGGAATCCTCCACGATCCCCTGATCACGCATTTTGTCCACAATGTCTCTAGCTGTGGACCTGTTGGTCCAAGCCATACGCCGCGCCGGTTGGTAGACCGGTGCAGCCCCATTAGTTTCAATGCCATGAGCCATGACATGTGTCCGTCCGAGTTCAGTTGCGTCCAATGCAAACACGTCCCTGTGGTCTTCTACCACTGCCCGCAGCTGTTCCAGCTCGGTTGGACACATGCCATCCGTACCAACATGTAGAGCCTCCCACAATTCGGCGGACGATGGTGCGTCCTCCCAGTGGTCCATGTTTGGGACAGTTTCCGTGTCATCAGCAGCCGGAAAAACCGTCTGTACAGTCTCGAAAGGACACAATGTGCCCACAGAGACATCCCTTTCAATGATCACCTGTTCGTCTGAACAGTTGATCAGACGTATTGGGACCACCCCTCCTTTCGGGGAAGTGATCGTGTACGCCGCCAAAACCCCAAACTCCTCTCCTAGGCTCGGATCAGGTTCGGTTAGGTAGCCTTGACCCGGGTCAATTCCCAGGTCGCTCGGTAAGGACGCCCATGCCACTATCTCGTGTTGAGGTGGTATTGTCACACGCTTCCGTAAGGACAGAGGTATCCGTACTGGTTTGACGGTATGAACCGTGGCCTTGTCTGCTGAAAAATTCAGACTTTGTCCATCAGACTGTATCTTGCAGGGAATTTTCGCCAGAACATCACGTCCCAACAAACATTCTTGATGCAAATGGTTTACAATCCATATTTCGTGCAAGCACGTAGCCTGTCCAATCTCCAGTGTTACAATACTGGTTCCAACAATCTGGAGAGCATCCCCTCCAGCGCCAAATACCGGGTTATCCGGAGGAGGGAGTATATCCTCCTGCTCGATATCGAATTCGCCTAATCGTCGTGCCGCAAGCAAGCTTACTGACGCACCTGTGCCCACCAACATGTGGATTTTCCGTCCGTTAAGCAACCCTGGCACCGTCATACCTGAGGTCTCCCGTTTCCGGGAACCACCGGCGGATGGGCCTGGTTTGGGATCTGGGCAATGTTCGGCCAAGGGCTGATCCCGCGCCCCGGTCACTGTCCGTTTCCCGCCTGGTGTCGGTTTGGTGCACCACCCCGTGTTCTATTAGAACACTCATATGCCTTATGGCCCTTCTCCCCACATGTAAAGCACGACCCCATAAATGGTCCGCGTGCTCGGTTTCCTCGGTTTTCCATGTGATCTAGCCTTTCGGCCAGTTGGTCCAGAGTACGTGACATACGACTCCAGGGTTCCTCCCGGGTTGCCGCAGCCACTAACATAGGAGGGTTATCTTCCTCCAATATCCTAGCATGACGTGGTATACCCATGTCGTGTGAATCCCACACCCTTTCGAGGTGTAGTGCCTGCTGTTCAGCCGCCTGTACGGTGACTGGAGCTAATTCTAGGAGCCTCGTTCTGAGCCTGGCCGGTGTCATGGCCTCGATGAACTGGTCGCGGACCAGTTCCTCCCTCAAGTCCTCTGTGGCTGTCGGGTAAGCCCGAGTCACCAGCTTACGTAATTCGTCCGTGACTAACGGAATGGCTTCGCCTGGGCCTCGTCTCAGAGCTCTAAACTGCGATTTATACTTCGCAGCTTCACTTGCCGGCGCAAAGCGCTTTCCCATGTCTTCGCACAGGTGTTGCCAGTTTGACTGGCGGCCCGTCTCCATAGTGGAAAAAAATCGTGAAGGTGTCCCTCTCACACATTACACCAGCTGGCGTTCTCGTCAGCCTGTGTGTCCTCTCCTGAATATGCTGTGTCTTAGCCTTGCCTGACTAAAGGACAGCATCTCCATTCATTTCTAGAAAGAAAAGTGAACAACGACCACTTTCATTCTAGTGACTGCATGACCATGAAGAAGTAGTTCAAACTGCAGTTCCTGATATACCACCGGTGATGGCACCGTGTAAAAATGTGTTACACACCTATACCCGTTCTTACCGCTGAACAAGCGTGACTCCAGAGACCCAACCCTGTATGTCAATGTGACTGCCGAATATTTATATCCCGAACCAGCCCTCTTGCGAGTACACAACTTGTCGGTTCTAGATATATGCCCAGGTTCCTCGCTTCATGTATCAAAGGCTTATACATGCCGCCAGGTTCTGACCAAACAATCTCAAGAAAATGAGACTTCCCCACAGTTTCGGTCTTAGCCTCCATTCCTCACCATACACGCGATCAGAGCGCAGCCAGGTTTAGATAATACTTTTATTGAATTATTAATTTATTATGTGATCCAATAAAAGAGGCCGCACATTACTGTGACGCAGACTTGTCGGGGGTAGTTGGCAAGTCCGTTGGGAGTTCCGTGTCGGTACTCAAGTCCTTCTTGGCACTAGGAGATGCCTTGTCCTTCTTAGGCTTACGTGAGTTTTTACGAGTTTCCCTTCTCGGTGGCTCTTCTGACTCCTCCGTGCGGTGACCGGCATGCCGGCCCAATATCCTGAAGGATATCAATGACAGGAAGTCCAGGTCCTCCTTCAATTTTCGCAAGTGTCGCCCTTGGTCGGGGCGACCCACGCCTTCAAATAAAGCAATCGCCCGTTCCAAGCTCTGCCTGGTTGGAGTCTCCCGCCCCTGGCCTGCTTCTTGCGTAAGGGCGTTGAACTCCTCTAGCATTTCCTGTGCCATTCTGGATAAGACAAAAAAAGCCACACCAGAAAAAGAACCGAGGATTAGTTCACATTGAGTGACGGATCCTGGTCACAGCACCAATTGTCATGACCCGACCCCAAGGGTCAGTCAAAAGCCTGCGTTGCGAACAACACCAAATAGGACCGCCACGAAGTGTGAGCAAGACCCAGAATCCCGAGTGCACAATATATGCACGCCATCACTCAACAGCCCACCAAGAGTTCCGTTTCCAAGGACATACCTTGTAGATAGGTCAGAGGTAGAGAGAAGAAAGAGGAGATCAAGATCGAAGCAGTACCGGAGCGAGAGGATGAACGTATAAAATACAGGGACTTATATTCATAACAATAACTAACAACAACCAATCAGAGCACACATACTGTACTCACTAATCATATTAGACGGCGGGACAAGGGGACAAGTAACGGACAAAGCTAGATTCATAATGATTGAACGTCTCATAACGGCGGGATACAACATGCAAGAATGGAAGAAGATACTAGTTAATAGACTATGACAGTTGACAAGGCGCGAGATTATGCAGCATCGTAGCAGTTGTATGATTATGTACAATGTAGTATTAAAGTGCGTATAAATGCTACGTAGTAGTAGTAATGTCTAATGATGTAGTGAGTAGTAGTGATGTAATGAGTAGTAATGATGTAGTGAATAGAAAAGATGCGGTAAGTTACCGTACTGTGCACATGCGATGCTGGCGCGACTCGCATCCATCAGTCAGCTGAGCGCTTGTCAGCTGGTGCTGGCCCCTCGTCTGCCAGGTTGCTAGGATGGCTGTGCGTCGTCGACCTCGGGTCACGACACAAAGTTTGACATTTTTTTCAAAGAGAAGCTTGTGTCTGCGTGTCTTCTGATACATTCTTCACCGCGTCACTTTGCGAATGCTATGCAGTAACTGATGTAGTGTCATGTGTATCTGTAACAGAATACTGTAAAAGCCTTTACAGCCTTTGCAGAAATCGATACATATACTGTCCTATTGAGCGTTGAGAATGAGTGAGAATCGTTACCTTTGGTACACGTAAACTAGTCAATTTTGGAAAATCGTTATATATGCGCCTCGTTAGAATAATGGCTTTTACAGTAGTGCGAGTGAGTGTAATGGTGAAGTGTTGTACCCCTCCTTCAGTGGTAGGGCTATGCATGTATGTCTTTCAAGTGTCAACGACAGTCAATGATGGTCAGTGTGTGTGCGTGTGCGTGCATGCATGCATGCGTGCGTTCGTGTGTGTGTGTGTGTGTGTTCTTTTCTTCAGGCAGCTACCTGGCCATAACTCTGAGGGTGATCCTATTCTGTACTGTGTAGATGCAAACGCTGGTCTAAATGTCGGTGGTGCTCTCTGGGGGAACTTAGCTCACCTATTCATTGCCAATGAAGACAGGTGAGGGCAAGGAACTGGCTTGCAGGAAGCTGGTGTTTGGGAGTAGCATGTGTAGGGAATGGAAATTGAAGTCCAGTTGAATTATTCATCTGTGTGAATTGCGCTAGTGTGCCACCTATTGAAGGAAGCTTCCCTATGATGAATTGTGAAGAGGCTTTTCTTCTTGTTGTGTTTATGCTTGCAGAGATTCTCGGATACGCTCGTTGATTGTGGACTTATCGCCACCGCGATTTGCTCGCTCATCTATCCTGACGCGAGCTTCGGCGTTCTCGCAGTCTCAGCTGCCATGCACGTTTTCAGCCAAGCAGTTCCAGTCGTTTTCAGCACAGGCGGATAAAAGTAAGTGTGTTGTCCTCTTTGTGCTAACGGCATGGTGGCAGGTACTTAGTGCCAGTAAAGCATCATTAGATTCATTACCTCTGTAGTTATCCATTTTGCTGTCGAAGCTCGTCAGGAGGTAGATGATCCACCACGGGAGACTTTGTGCTCGACCTATCAGGGGTTTGTCGAAGAGGAGACCTCTTCCTCCCTGTAGCTGCTACTGGTAGCTTACTGGCACTGCCGTGACTGGTTGGCATATTGGGGATGATTACAACAAGGATGGGGGAGGTGGAGGGGGGGGGGGGGGTGCTTACTGCTTAGACTAGAGCTCCGAAGACTGCAACCCTCTCCTGTCCTGCTGCTAGGGTCTGTGGCACAGATGTGATACCTTAGAAGAGAGTACTTCAAAGTTCGTTGACACGGAGTCTTGAGAAATTCACAGCCAGTAGTGCATGTCTGCATGCTTGCAGCCAACAGTACACTAGCCATGATCACGCGCCTATTCTGCATCAAGGGATGCCGTGATGGTTTGCGGGATTTTCCGGCACGGACTGTAGCTGCATGACTTTGTGATGAGGCTTGTTCTTGGTAGTGCTGCCGCTGCCGTTCTTGCTGTTTAAATTCTTCATCGGTTTAATTCGATCGCTGTTGTTGTTCAACTCGGATGGTAAGCCAATTAAATTATGATGAAAAAGGAGAAGGACAAAATGACAAAATGCTGTTGTTGTTTGTTGTTGTGGGCGGTGCCGGTGGGCGTGGTCATGGTGTTCTTGTTCTTGTTGGTGTTGTTCAGTGGACCAAGTAGAAGAATTGCTTGACACGCTCAACTCTGATCAGCGCCATGCCATTGACCGGGTGAGATACAAGATGCAAAGATCCATTACTAATGTGTACTGCACCTGTCTAGCGCCTGTACTGACCATTAGTGTTTGCTTTACGGGGGAAATTACGGCAGTGAGTGAGTACATGTGCTGACGTTTCTCAAGTGCATACTCGCTGTGTCATACTGCATAGTCTGATGTTCATGTGCATGGCCTTGACTGCACAAGCTCACTGGTCTGGGCAGCTTGTGCATGCTCACTCCGCGCTCACAATGGTATATCTGCACTTAGTGTAACAATACAGCATGGTTGCACTCCCGTCCACACCGCTGTCGAAATGTGTATAACGGCCATAGGTTTACTGCTGTGGTTGTCTGGCTCTTACGGAAAAGCCGAAAAAACAAACAAACAAAAAAACAGCCAATTGTCCAACGAACTGCTTTATGTGTATGTATGGGTGTTGGCTTGTGCTGTGTGTGCTCTCACAGGCTCTATGTGCGCAGGACTATGCACTGATTCTCGGAATGCCAGGAACAGGTATGGTGCCAATGAAGCTATCCTGCCTATCCACAGATCATGCCAATCCCTGCTCGGCCAGCAGCCAGCCAGTCAAAAGCCCCCCTCCCCAGTCTAGATTAGTGAATTACTTCTAGTATCTTCTCACCACCCACTGCATTGTAGGTGATAGGCCACGGTGTGTTTTATTGTGGCTGATCTGCCTACAATACACCATCTTGTTGTAGTGCCTGGGCGGACACACTGTCATGCACACGAGTAGATGTAGATGTATGACTTGTGTTGTGACTCATGAGATCCTATGCACTATAATTATATTGATTGAAGGTTTGCTGTGAAGCCTTGCAGCAGACACATCAAACAGATAGTGTGGGATGAGGGGTAGATGTCAAAGATCGAATTTCGTGCAGTAGTTATGCATTGCCCGGGACACGGTGGTTTCTCCGTGCGATATCACAGATCGATGCATGCTCTGCAGCGTTTGTGTGATTTGTGTAATCCAGGGAGTACTACTAAAGTGCTGCTTTGTACGATATACCAGCACTCGAAGTTGCAGTACTCTTAAATATACTCTCTGGTCCCATGTATGGCGTCAGTCACCTGGGATTCAGTAGCACCCACGAGTAATTCAGCATCCCATGTGTTGTTGTTTCAAATCTTTATTCTCTTGTTGTTGTTGTTGTTGTTGTTGTTGTTGTTGTTGTTGTTGTTGTTGTTGTTGTTGTTGTTGTTGTTGTTGTTGTTGTTGTTTGAAATCTTTTATTCTCACGATGGCCTGTGGCCAATGAGAGATGTTGTTGTTGCTGGTGGTGGTGGTGGTGGTGGTGTTGTTGTTGTTGTTGCCATTGTCCAGGCAAGACCACGACCATAGCATGTCTTGTGCGTATATTAGTCCTATGTGGCAGGAGTGTGCTGCTGACTAGCTACACACACAGTGCCGTTGATAACATTCTACTCAAGCTGATTGCGGTTAGTACAGGTTTTAACATGAAATAATGCAAGTACTTGTAGCAGTAACCATTGCATTCAGGCTGGTGTGTGAGTTTGCGCATGGTGCATACTACATAGTCAGTGACGCAGCAATATACTGCGGGGTCGCGACTTGAGTTTAGTTCCTCCTGTGCTCAAAGAAAAAGTCTGCATGCAGAGTCTGCCACTCATTTTAATCCTGCCGATCGGTCTGAAGACATCTGCCCAAGATAGCCTGAGCCTGATGAGTGATGAGGTCGGGGGGGGGGGGGGGGGGGGGGAGGGAGGCACTCGCAATCCAGAAAGTCATCGTTGTGTCAGCGACTATGCACTGTATCCGAAAACAAAACCGATGCCGGAGGCAGTAGTAACTTACTGAATATGATGGAACATTGTTTCAAGTTTTTTTTTTTTTGAGCGTGTGAAAATCCAGCAGGCATTAGCTGCCGTTCGACGCGTATAGATGTACATGTATAGTGAGGACTTCATGTTGGGTGTTCCAATCAGTCCTTGCAACCCGGCATACCTGATCAATGCAGTTAATTATGTGCGTGCTTCTTCTATAGGATGGTGTGGATTTTGTTCGTCTTGGTCAGCGTCACAAGGTGCACCCTGCCGTTCACCCGTACCTATCTGAAGTGGCATGCAGTCAGTTCTCAACTGTGTCTCAGCTGGAACATTTCTACACTGGCAAAGTGAGAGGAGCTGCTGATGATATTGTATTGTGTAGTGTGTGTGTGTGTGTGGGGGGGGGGGGGGGGGGTGTTTGTGTGTCTGCGTGTGCGTATGTGTGTGCGTCCGTGTGTGCATGTGTGGTGGTGGTGGTGGTGATGTGCGTGTGTGTGCATGTGTGTGTGTGCGTGTGTGCGCGCACATGTGTGTCTGTGTGTGTGTGAGTCGGTGTGTGTGTCTGTGTTTCAGCTACTAGTGTCGTCCGAATGTTGGATACAGACAGATTCTGACCTACCTTCATGAGTGTAGGCAATCGTACTAGCTTCACTAACTTATTCTGTTTTTCTTGTGTTGTATACAGAAAGTCATGGCAACAACGTGCCACGGTATCGGTCACTCGGCCTTGGCGCGTCAATCGTTTGATGTGTGCATCGTGGATGAGGCGTCGCAGATCACCATGCCGATGTGCTTTGGACCGATTCGCCTGGCGGAGACGTTCGTCTTGGTCGGTGATCAGTACCAGCTGCCACCGCTTGTCCAGAGCTCACTGGCACGGTATGTCCAGGCAGTGTGGACGGGTCTCACACTTTGTCCAGGCAGTGTGGACCGACGGGTCTCACACTTTCTCTCCTGTCTAACTCTAAAAGTTCAGGGGATTGCAACTTGTTTCAGTAGGTACTACGGCCAGTAAACGCACAAACTTGTACACATGCACACACACACACACACACCTGGCCTGGTCTGGTGTACAGCTGCCAAATGCTTGGCCACGCCGCCCCCGAGACAGAGGAGAGTGGAAGAGAGAGTTCGAGAGAAGCACACACACACACACACACGTAAACGCTCACACGCACACACGCATGCATTTGTTCTCAGTCGCCCAATCTCTATTCCAGTAAATGACCAAAGTAAAGCGTCACATTTATCCCAATTTGTGTGTTTACTGCACAGTGCATTGTTGTGTGTGTTTTCTTTGCTTTGTTATGTAGCGAGGGTGGTATGTCAGTCAGCTTGTTCCGGCGCTTGGCGGAGGCACATCCAGCCGCTGTTACCAACCTGCGACACCAGTATCGAATGCACAAGTACGTATGAACGTTAGTCTCCTAGGGCGTAGCCTGGTGATATCCCTCCCCCCCCCCCCCCCCCCCCCCCACACACACACACCTACCCTCACATCCATCATATTTCGGCGGAATGTGGCGCATTTGCAAAAACAATTGATAAGAGGGAGGTATTTCAATAGTAAAATGTCCCAGCCCTCTGACGGACTTCTGGGAAATAATAGCAGTTTTTCCATCATGAAGATTTGCTTTTATAGAACATTTCTCTACTCAAGTGGTCTCTGAAACCTCGGTGACCAATGCACATTCAGTTCACACGCTGCCCAGGGGAAATGGCCTTGCAGACCAGACGGTGGCTGAAAGCAGCCAGCTGCTTGGCCAGGCTTTTTTCTGCATGTGGAAACTAAGCTGAGCGCCTTCTACTTGTACTATAGTAGATGCCAAGCTATCGTTGTCTTTGTACTCAAGTGGTTTATGTCAGATGACAGACAGCCATGCTTGTTGTTCGGTTTGTGTATTTCCAAATTTTCATTACCAGCGTGACATGTTTGTTTGTGCCGTGCATTCAGGGATCTAATGCTCCTTTCCAACACATTGGTGTACTCGCATCGTCTCAAGTGTGGCACGGACCAAGTCGCTAGTAGCTTGCTTCGTCTGCCTAACTGGACACAGTTGAGCAGTGTGAGTTGCTGGTGATTTTGCTTTTGTTTTGTCTTTCTGGATTGCTTCAGTGTCTGTGTGCGGTGGTAATTCAGTGGTGCTTCATTGCTGAGTACCTTTCCCTGTCTTGCGCCAGCCATCGTTATTTATTTCTTATGCATGATTATCGTGTATGTGTGTGATGTTGTGTGTATGTGAATGTACATGTTTGGGGGTGTTGTATGATGTGGTGTGTGTGTGTGTGCTGTTTTGGTTGCTTTCAATGTTCAGCATCAGACTGACCCCACGGCCGCGTGGTTGTTGAAGACGTTATCACCTGAGCAGCCCGTCATCTTCCTCAATACGGATCAGGTTAGGTCTAGGGTTGCTCACGCCCCTCTGTTTATACTGGCTCTTCCCATTGGGAAGTGAATAAAATTGATAATGTTGCCGCACACAGCATTGCTGTCACAGCCGCAATGAAGTCACCATGACAGATGTGCTGATAGCCCCACAACCTGAGAAAGGAAATGTGCGACGTCAACCTTGGCCATCATGCAGAATGTTAGTTTTCCTACCAGATATATAAAACTATGTCTTGTTGGAGGATTAGGGTTAGCGTTATCATGTCGCTCTGAATCACACGGTACGAGTAGAGGATGATCAGCTTTAATCGAAACTCTGAGTTTCACGATAAATGATTATCAGACGTCTGATGATTGTTCTATTGTGAAACGACTGCCCGTCCTCTACTGTGTGCCTATGCTCTGTGTGTATATCTACACATTGAGCAATGTAAGACTTGTGCTGGACTGCACAATATAACTTTGAATCTGTTGTTGCAGTGAACAAAGTTCGTTGAGAAAGAGGGCAAAGAAGCAGGGCCAAAGGTAGCAGCAATGGCAATTTCATTTGCTCTGCTGCCACTGCCATGCTCCTATTAATGCTGGTGTGGCTGCTCTCAATGACTGGGTATGGGTGGTTCTTTGATCACTCTTTGATCATCGAAGTAGTATTCTGTATACTGGTACTGGTGGGTTGTTATTGTGTTGTGCTTGCTCTTCTCTGCATTCACCCTCTAACACCTCTGTGGTATCTGCTGCTGCTGCTGGTATTGTCATCGTGTACACACATACGCACCACACACGCACAGGTTCCTGGCACTGAGCAGAACTTGCCGGGCTTGGTCTACAACGAAGTTGAAGCAGCTCTCGTTGGTGTCATTCTCAAGTCATTGCTCAAGGTACCTCACACAATTTAATTTGTTTGTTTTTGTTCTACGTACATGTATGTGTTCAACACATGCGCAATGGTGCAATGGCAAGGTTTTTAAAACTGTTATGCCAAGTAAGTGTATTGGTATGTTTTCTAGCCAAAGGCTGAAATCTGATCATCACACCGGCGAATGCGATCGTATATATAACTTTCCTTTACTTTTACTACTTGTACATGAAGTGTGTTGGTGCAGCCCCACTAGCCTCTGTAGTTTCACAGGAGGTGCGAGTTTCAAAGTCTGAAGAGAATATTGAACGGTCTTCAGGCGCGTAGCTCGTGTTACTGTATCCTTGTAGTCAGCATAGTGCGGTCAGCACACCTGCAACTGGCTGTCATAGGGGGTACTAACATAGTAGGTACAAATCATTGCAACTATGAGATTTAGAGATTGCCAGTGGTACATTGTCACCACACCATGGATGTGCTCCAGTACATGGTCAACACACCGCGGATGTGTGAGCTACGCCCGTGGTCTGTGCTGGGATGACGACTATACCTTAGCTTAGCGGTAGAGCATTGCTGGCCAAAAGTAAGGTCCCTGGTTTGAGCCCTGGTGGTGGTTGTCCATTTTTCTTCAGACATTTCCCATTTCAATTCCCTCAAACGTATGAATATTTTTAATTTTGATTTTGATTTCAGGCTGGTCTGCACGCGACTGACGTGGGTGTAATATCTATTTATCGGCAACAGCTGAAGGCGATTTCCCGTCTTCTGAAGCAACTGGAGCATCGGAAGGGAGGCACCACTCATCAAACAGACTCCCTGGATGCTAGCACTCAATCCTCCGTCACAGCGTCTTCCTTGCAGGCTGTTGAAGTGAATACTGTAGATCGCTACCAGGGTCGTGACAAGCCGTGTGTCATTGTCTCCCTGGTTCGCAGTAACACCAGTGGCAAGGTACGCCTGTGTGTGTGTGTGTGCGTGCGTGCGTGCGTGCTCTCCCTCTCTCAGTGGGCCGCAATGACTATTCTAAATGACTGAAGAATCATTCTAGTCTAAATGAACAAAGGTTCTAGCATTCTGAGTCTGTTGAGTGTGTCGCTGTGAGCATCTTACAGCACCTGTCACAGCATTGTTATACACATCGTCATCTCGTGCAGAACAAAATAAATTATGCATGAGTAGGTGCTAGCTTTGAAGGCAAACCTGTGGAAAGGCATTAAAGGGGAAGTTAAGGCAAAAATTAAAATTTCACCAGTTGTAGTCTTCGGGGTGCTGAGTCGAATGGTCTTGGTCCGAGAAAGCTGAGACGCTCCCTTCCTACTTGAATCCCAATCGAACTCGCGCACTTCCACCGAAACTGGGTGACTGCGCCCTACGAGATGGGGATTTGTATGCAAAATGTCACTAAAAGCGCCATTTCGTTCCTATAAAAGCACGCATGACCGCGATTGGCCCATATGTTGTAGTCTTTTGGACGCTGAGTCGACTGCTTTTGGTCCGAAAAGGCTGCGATGCAGCGTTCCTCCTATATTCCCAATCGAACATGGTTGAAGAAGCGGTCACGTGCTCCTGCGTACACCAGTCACCTGGTCACCGTGCCTGCAGGGTACAACTTACTAGCCTGTTTGACCTTTTTTGGGTGCACTCCTGTCACTCGAGTTGAACCTTGGTGTGAAATTTGTCGCCTGCTGGCGTGGTGACCAGGTGATTTGGGCACCCAGGAGCACGTGACCGCTTGTTCAAGCATGTTCGATTGGGAATAAAGGAGGAACGCTGCATCGCAGCCTTTTCGGACCAAAACCAGTCGACTCAGCGTCCAAAAGACTACAACATATGGGCCAATCGCGGTCATCCGTGCTTTTATAAGAACGAAATGGCGCTTTTAGTGACATTTTGCATACAAATCCCCATCTAGTAGGGCGCAGTCACCCAGTTTCGGTGGAAGTGCGCGAATTCGATTGGGATTCAAGTAGGAAGGGAGCGTCTCAGCTTTCTCGGACCAAGACCATTCGACTCAGCACCCCGAAGACTACAACTGGTGAAATTTTGATTTTTGCCTTAACTTCCCCTTTAACCCTTTAACCCTTTGGAGTCCATGGTTCGATTTCGAACCATGGGCATTTTGTATGCATGTGGGCGCAGTCAAACCTTCGGTTCTCGGCCAAATCTTGACCAAATTCAACAATCGAAGGGTCTAGATGGTAGAGAAAACTCTCAGCTTTCGCCGCGAACAGCTCCGAAGTCTCGCCAATGAAGTTTGAGTGAGCGGCGAGCGATCAAACATTTCAAATTTTCTGCGCTGCGTGCTGCGAGTCAGCAGTGCGTGAAAAAAAGGGATTTTACCAGATTCATGACAGGCGGCACGTGCCAGGACCGGCGCGGCGCGAAGTCACGGCAAGGTAAGCTTCTACTCGAAAACATTTGAACAGTTCCGAGCTAGATTCAGTGAAATGGCTACAGGAGACCGATTTCGTCTCAGATCTGGAGCTGGACTCGCGTTTGGGGCGCGTTGTGACGGACAATGAATAGTGCTCTTGGCGAGTTTTGGCTCATTGTATTCCTCTCATCAAGAACTTTCCAACGAGCCCAAGATCTTCAAAATTGGTGAAGTAGAACCAAAGTTATGTTGGAAATGGAGTGCGCATTTTCGTGACTGCCACAAATTCTGCGGAAGCAAAAAAGTTACGGACTCCAAAGGGTTAAGAGCCACAGGAAAATTTCAAAATTCTGCATTTTTTCATGTTCCTTGGATCATAGCTTCAGTTCTACTCACTCAATCCTCACAATCTAGGGCTTCCTGGAACGGTCTCCGCGAGAGGAAGAGAATGAGGTCGATCATGATAGCCAGCACACCGTCTATCTAGCGCTAGATCGCAGCGACAGTACGAAAAATGCCCCAAATGCGTCCAATTGCGTCCCGCTCCAGGTATTTCATTTTACTCGATCGTGGAGTTCCAATTTTTTCGCCGTGTACTCTTGACAATATCAACAGTGAAACCCGTGCAAATTCAAGTAAACCTGCGCGACGAAAGTCTCAAAATTCTCAATACTAAAGTCGCACTGCGCGCTTTTGAAATTGCCGCGATCGCGGCTCAACTTACGAGTGATTTATGTCAGGAACCGTTGCTCGCAGCGCTTCACGGATTGTTTCTCCCGACAGGTGAGAGTTTTCTCTTCACCCTGGATATTTCGATCACTGGATTTGAGTGAGATTGGGCTGAGTTACGATCTTTTGAAGTTTTGCATTCAAGTATGGGGCGGCTCTTAAAGGGTTAATAGTTCACTTGTTGTTGCCATTCTTGTCATTTCATGCTCACGGCATGCCTTCCCAGAGTGTAAAGTAGATTTTGAGACTAAGCGCCTTCAGAAACTTGGTTTCGACTCTTTCGATTCTTCCATTAATCGCAGCCTTCCTTCTTTCGGATTTGGAAACGAGTAACCGAACCTTCGAACCATTGTTGCAGCCTTACTCTCACCCCCGCGCACCCTTTCTCTCTATGTCTCTCTCCTCCACGCCAGCATCGCACCCACTCTCTATCTCTACCTCTCTCGCCCATGTGCAAACTCTCTCTCTCTCTCTCTCTCTCTCTCTCTCTCTCTCTCTCTCTCTCTCTCTCTCTCTCTCTTTATCTCTCTCTCTCTCTCTCTCTCTCTTTTACTGAAGTAGAAGAATTGTAATGATGATGGTATTGATGGGTTTGTTGTTCCTGGCAGGTTGGACAGTTGTTGCTGGATTGGCGTCGTGCCAATGTGGCAGTGACGCGTGCCAAGCACAAGCTGATCTTAATTGGCTCCGTGTCAACACTTCGACGCAGTCACCTCTTCAAATTACTACTGGACTTGGTACAGGAACATGACTGGGTAAGTTCATCTTGCGCCTTTTTTGTTTGCTGACGAATGAACCAATCCTTCCTCCTCCCCTTCCCCCCCCCCCTCCCTGCCCTCTCTCTCTCTCTCTCTCTCTCTCTCTCTCTCTATCTATCTCTATCTATCTCTCTCTCTATCTATCTATCTATATCCGTCTCTATCTCTCTATCTATCTCTGTCTCTATCTCTCTATCTATCTCTGTCTCTCTCTCTCTCTCTCTCTCTCTCTCTCTCTCTCTCTGTCTCTCTCGCCGTCTCTCTATCTATCTATTTCTCTATCTATCTATTTATCTCTCTCTCTCTCTATCTATCTATCTATCTATCTCTCTTTCTCTCTCTCTCTCTCTCTCTCTCTCTCTCTCTCTCTCTCTCTCTCTCTCTCTCTCTCTCTCTCTCTCTCTCTCTCTCTCTCTCTCTCGCTCTCTATCTATCTCTATCTCTCTCTCTCTCTCTCTCTCTCTCTCTCTCTCTCTCTCTCTCTCTCTCTCTCTCTCTCTCTCTCTCTCTCTCTCTCTCTCCGGGACTTATATAATGGAATGAGAGTTGATGTTCAGAACTGTTCATGTTGTTCCCACTCCATTGCACGGTGCTACAGAGTTCACGGTTGTTTGCAGTCCCTGTATGTATCAGGGTTCTGGCCAAGTCAAAATAGAGGGGGGGGGGGGGGCATGGGAAACAGTTACCCTATATCCCATTTTTCCACTTTCCAATATTGTCTTGCCACACCAAATGCAACGTATGGGGCGAATCCCTGACTTCACCCCAGACAAATGTGCCTTTACGAACCATCTATGCATGAAAAACACGAAAATCGGAAAATGAGTAGGGGGCGGCAATTTTCACAGGGGGGCGCGCAAACAGAGTAGGGGGCGCTGCGCCCCCCCCCCCCCCTACCCCCTTTGGCTAGAACCCTGTGCATGGTTCTTGTTTCATTTCCGTCAGTCCTTCCTTCCTCTATTTCCTCTCCCACACAGTTTGTGTGGTATCAATTGTAATTTTGTCCGTGTGCACGCTTCAGATCGTCGATGCACCGCTTGGTGCACATTTGACTAACCCTTGTTGACAGTATGGATGTGCTGGTAGATCTACTACAAGAAATCCACTTCACAAGTTGAAGTCACTGTAAGACTATCTACCGTGTGAGTGTGCGCGTGCTTGCACTCATGACGTGCCAAAGCCTTGCAACGTTTGGCCGGACTCTGAACCTACTGCTGACGTAGACTACATGCACACCATTCCAGTGCATTGTCATGTGAGCTGCATTCTGTTGCGTCTCACTACCTTACTGCTGCACTAGCTTGCCTCTCGCGCTCTATACTGCCGCGAGACGGCTGCACAGTCCCCCTCAGAAACTACAGGGCTGCTCCATGTAATGTGATCAAGCGAGTCAACGCCACGCCAGTCGCTGTGTAGCCGTAGACCTGCAAACACTGGGATGGTGAACTGGTGCAGGGCACAAACTTGACTAAACGCGATCGGATTTCATTGAGCAGTGCTCTAGCTACTTCTTGTTCAAAAGACTTCACCTTGTTCTAACAAACCTGCTGCCATGGTTTCGCTGACATGTCCTTCATGTGTGGTTATCCATTTGCTGGGTACTAGTATTTTACCCGTTGAGTCCATACTTTCGAAGTTTGATTCCCTCTTTTTTTTCAAATTCCAGTTGCTTATTTATTCCATTTCTTTCTATCATGATCTGTTTTAGTTTGGCTTCACCACTCTACGCTTCGTTCTCTTTTTTGTTTGTCTGTGTTTTGACATTCGTGCGTGTAGCAATATCGCCGAGTTGTCTCATCCCAGCCTTCCCTCTCGTTGAGATTCTGATAACGTCTGAAGCAATCAAGTATGCGACTGTGCTGACAGGGTTTTACGCAGTTGTAGCTACAGTACTTGTAGCCACCAAGACCCCATTAACCGTTTACTCGTGCCAGTGTCAGTTGTGGTGACGAACCAGCGTGATGTCAAGTCACTATGGAATACTGTAATTATACTATGGGTTTGTAGTGCATGGCAGGGAGGGCCCTATGGCTTGCTAGTGCTCTCTGGCTCCAGGCTAGTCAGCGGGCTACCCTGGAGGGCATCGCTCAATTTGCTTTAGCTGAGCATGCAATATCGGACATTATCGCATATGTGTCATGTCACTGTAGGCATGTAGACTGTAGCTAATCAACTCCGCCTGGAAGTGGTTGAACGGGTACCCTAGCGCCCCCCCCCCCCCCCCCCCACTATTGGGTCGGGTTGCAGGTACATCAATGAGTGTAGCACAAGAACTATTTAATACTGTACGTGAAGTGGCGCCGGGCTGTCACTTGGCTCTAACTTCATGGGAGCCTACATGTAAATGCATACCATCAAGAGTACATAGCCCCATGTACTCTTGATAGTTGATACCATCAAAAGTAAGCTCCTGGGAGCTTATAAGTTTACACTTGTCTTGACAATTTAGTTGATACAAACGAGAAGAATCCTGAATGGAAGCTGATCCGCAGTGTATCCTCCTCTTACAATCTTACTCTTAGCTTCGAGTTCGAGCTTCTTGCTGCACGCAGCTCCTGTTGCGTGACCATGGTGACCAGTGCAGTGTCTATCGCTAAAAAAATCTCAAAAATCATTGTGTAGCTCATATCGACGTGATTACGTAATCGTCCGTCATCGATATCGCGATCGCCGATCGCACACGTCATGAGCGCGTGGAATACGATTTTTTTTACTGACATGATTTTCATTGAGTTGAGATATTGAGAAAATAGTTTCAATTTTCAACTTACTTGCATCCAGGATCATCCTTGACCCCTTGAAGGAAGTTTTTCACCAGCGTGCAATGTGGCTATGGCGGTGGCAAAGTTTGAAGACCTTGGCCTTGACGACCGTTTGTTGAAAGTACGAGCGTAACAGTCAATTCTGTCCGCAGTATTTATTTAGAGATTTTGACTAGACATCTCTGGAATTGTGCTATTGTTTTTGTTCTTGTTAGGCTGTTGGACGACTAGGATGGTCTGCTCTTACTGATGTTCAGGTGAGATTACGTCGTATAAGTTATTTTCGTGATCAGATCCTTCAGAGAGGTGTTATGCACGATACATCACTTTCCAGTTGTGGCCCAAACTGCATTTTTTGGAAGTGGTGGTATTTCCAGTACGTACCTGTACACGTTCAACTGCACGTGCATACGGTCTACGGAGATTGTGGAAACAAATGGCAGTGCACTGTGCAGTCGAGGCTAGTGCATGATGAGAAATACATGTACACCTAGGTATCATGGGGTCAAATCACGTTGAAGTATTGAGTGTGATTCATGTGCCATGGTCGAAAGCAAAGCTCTGCCACTGATCTTCCCAGAAGCACTGCTGTCATTCAACAGTTGATCAAGCTGAAGAAGTATTGGTGTTGCTGCTACTGGCTCATGAGTGTTCTTTTTCAAGGGGTGAACCCACCTGTTCCATGTGGACACACACACACACACGCACACACACACACACACACACACACACACACACACACACACACACACACACACACACACACACACACACACTGTACCATGTATGCCTGTTGCAGAGAATCATGCCAGTCCGCATGTGCACTGGCTGTACACCAAATGACTTCTCTCCAATAGGAATAGCAGCAGTAGCGGACAGGATCTGAATGAAATAGATCAAGACTTGCACCAGGTAGCCTAAGTGACAAGGCTATGTGAATGGAACCCCCCCCCCCCCCCCCCCCATACGCCTAAGTGACAAGGCTACTACTAGTATGTGAATGGACCCCCACACGTACACCTAGTCCACACCACATGGAGTTTACAAGCACCGTATTTGCCAGAGTATAGCGTGCACCTAAGCATAATGCGCACCCCCTTTTTGACCAACGCTTGGCAATTCAAGTTATATCCGGAGTATAATGTGCAGCCTAGATTTGAGAGCATTATGGGTTACATTTATACAAAGACAGTATTATACATAGTGCGCTCATTGACAAAAGTATCATAAAAGTAATTAAAATGTGTACATGTACATTTGTAAAGGCACGTACTACCTATGGGATCTCAAACCCATCTTGCATTTGCAGTGTAGCAGGCAGAAGACACCACAAGTGTATGGATATGATTTGTGCGGGGTCAGGGACTAGAGGTGGAGAACTTGGCAACAGTTTGTACATGTACATTGCACTACTTTTCAAAGTGCATGCATTCTCATATTCGGAGCATAGTGCGCGCCAGCGATTTTGGGCCTGAAATAGCGCATCTTAAGTGCGCACTATGCTCCGGCAAATCGGTTGATAGTGACCAAGACAAAGGGCAAAGAAGACTTTTATAGGATGTAGTATCTGCCTGGTATGTTTGGCTAGGACCCTGGCTTCTGTAGCCGATATGGACACCGCTTCAGTTTAGGCCAGTGTATGATGGTGGATGTTCCGCTACCCTGGGAAGGGGCAACAGGGAACCTTGACAAGACCAAGACACACACACACACACACAGTCTCTCACATCTCTCTCTCTCTCTCTCTCTCTCTCTCTCTCTCTCTCTCTCTCTCTCTCTCTCTCTCTCTCTCTCTCTCTCTCTCTCTCTCTCTCTCTCTCTCTCTCTCTCTCTCACACACACACACACACACACACACACACACACACACACACATGCACACACACATGCACACACACACACACATGCACACACACACACATGCACACACACACACACACACACACACACACACACACACACACACACACACACACACACACACACACACACACACTCCGGACTAGTTCTTGAGTTCACCGGGGACTTTTCACTCATGCAGTGTTGTTGTTGTTGTGTATTCTCTCTGCTTGAAGGCTAAAGCTATTCCACTAGCTCTGGAAGGCAAGGATGTGTTGGTGAAAGCACGGACAGGCTCTGGAAAGACAGCTGCGTAAGTACATGTACCGGTAGTCCAGTACTGTATGTCTTCTTACATGCTCTATCCCTAGTCATCACAATACTGTTGTCCAGTGCTCTATCCCTAGTCATCACAATACTGTTGTCCAGTGCTCTATCCCTAGTCATCACAATACTGTTGTCCAGTGCTCTATCCCTAGTCATCACAATACTGTTGTCCAGTGCTCTATCCCTAGTCATCACAATACTGTTGTCCAGTGCTCTATCCCTAGTCATCACAATACTGTTGTCCAGTGCAGTTCTTACATGCTCTATCCCTAGTCATCACAATACTGTTGTCCAGTGCAGTTGTAGCCTTTAGCCTGTACTGCTAGATGATGATACGGGTGAGTGGGTGAGTGGAACGTGAACCGTTGTGGGATTCCCTCCCGGGCAGCCCATTGCATACACTTGTGTGTGACACCGCTGATCTGAAGCCCGTTACAGGTTAGCAGGTCGTGATCACGTCTGTGGTCGTGTACTGTATAGCTGGTGTAAGACTTCCAGATAGGCAATCGAAACATGCGTTATTCCCTGTGCTGTAGTCTGCCACCATCTCTGTAGATGCCATGCCCCTGTGCACTTAGCCCACATGTACAATGTACCGTGTATTTCTTCTGGACAATTGTTTTTAGAGACTCATAGATTACAATTCTGCAGGTTCACCACACTATTCCTGTTGAGATTGCGATGGTAGAAGTTGAAAACCTGTCTTGCTGCTGATGTGGCTGGTTGCTGCTTTCAGGTTGGGCTGGTCTTCACAGCAGTGTCGAGCAATGCGAAAGCGTAACTGCATTGTTTGGATGTTATGTTTTGTGTTTCTGCCGCTCTCCAGCTATGCTCTGCCTGTTCTGGAGAAAGTGCTGCAGTCGAAGAAGGTACAGTGGGTGCTGTTGTTGTGTAGCAGACTGTACCTTGAACCTTGAACGCCCAGTGCCGTAGCAATGATAGCGATGGCTTCCTCACGCTGAGGCTCTAAACTCGAAATCTGCAGTATGGCGCATGCCGCTTGAGGTCACCAGGACGACGGAACACTCTGAAGCGACTGTACCACATGTAGCATGACTGTACTTGCTGTTGTGCCTCTGCTTGTCAATCTAGCATTGCTTTTTGTAAAAAAACGTACATTACTGTATCACATTACTCAATCTCAACACATACGCACCAATATCTCCGCTGCATAAGAAACTCCTCTTCACCAATTTACTGGGCCTGGCCCATCATTTTCATAGCGACGACACGGCTATTGAGTGTGTGTGTGTTGAGACTGAGTAAAGTGCACATGGCTGCGTGGCGTGTGCAAATTCTTAGAAAAATGAACATCAGGCTTATCATCGGAGCTTCGGAAACTTGCAGTTCTGCTTATCACGTTGGTCGTTTTGCTTTGGTGGTGTAATATTTTTGGTATTTACCAAAATCAACGGTTTTGTAGCTCGAAAATTTCGGTAAACCAATTTTCCACATCCGAAAATGCATTTTGCACACTGTGTGGCATGACATGGTTGAATTTTAGGTCTCGTTATATTTTAGGTAAAAATTACCTGTCTGCTTTGCAGTATTTTGCTAAACTTATTGCATTGCTTTGTAACTGTCTGGGCATGGTGTTTGCTATGGCCACGCTGATCACCGATGTTCCTACAAATGTGTTCCCCAGGACCAGACGGCGTCCAGTCAAGCAGCTCATGTACGGGCTCTCATACTGGTGCCGACCAAGGAGCTGGCTGTGCAAGCCCTTACCAATATCAAGGTAACAAGAAAACTAGATCTTGCTGGGGAGACTGCGTTTTGGAGTATATTTAGTGTGTTTGTTGAGGCGGAATATCTATTTCTGGTACACGTGGCACTCTGGGGTCGGATGCTTATGAGTTATGCCCCCACTGAGGAAGTACTTCTGTATAGGCAGTCATTGTCACAGGTGTACTTCTGTATAGGCAGTCATTGTCACAGGTGGGAATAGCAAGGCTCATGCTCAGTCTGCTTCAACATTGGTAGTTGTGTGTGTGTTGGGGGGGGGGCTCTATGTCTCACATAGCTTGCTCGCTATCATCGCTGAAGCGATGGGCAGGAGTATGACTGTATGACTGTAAAAACTATAGGAGGACAGAGAAAGTGTTTTTACTCCGAGTTTCACGCACTAAGCGATCATCAGAAAACACAGTATGACTGTATGAGTAGTGGGTGTGATTGTGATTGTGTTACTACTGTACCGCTGTGCTATTTTCCGCTGTGCGACAGGATTTATCGTCTAGCTGTACACGCGATGTCCGTGTGGCCGATGTCTCGTCACATTCCACGTCAACAACACAGAGGTGAGCAGGGCAGAGTTTAATGTGCTGCTGGTTGCTAGCTGGTACATGTATTGTATTGCATTGCGTACTTACAGATTCTCCTGGGGTAAAAAAGAAGTCACGTGCCTAGTCACGACCGCGACAGAAAAACCCGAAATTTGAAAATTCCCGTACATATCGCTCGCTTGCGCGTGCGCGTACATGTTTTCGAATAGCTACTAGTGTTCTATAGTTTTCGGAACATTCCCACGCGAAAATATTCGTTCATTACGGGCCCATTCGAAGTTCATTCAAATATTCGAGCATTCATTGCAGCCCTATCTTTGATGTCACACCGGGTGACCTTATTCTTGCCTGTGTACTTCAAAAAGAAGTAAGTGAATTGTGATTGTTGACCTCTTGTTGTTGTTGTTGTTGTCGTTGTTGTCGTCGTCGTCGGCGCCGTTGTTGTTTGACAGGACCATTCTGTTGGAGCAGCCAGACATCGTGATTGGTACACCTGGCCGTATGCTGTCTTGTCTCAAATCTAAGGTAAGTGCTGGCTGGCGGGCTGGTGTTTTCATTATGCCCTCAAGCGTTGCTGGGTGTATGTGAAATAGGGGAGTGCTGGCTTTGCTGCTTCTCTTGTAAAACTCTGAATCGTTTTTCTTGATCTGCTTAGTTGTGGTTCCTTGGCGAGCGTTACTTACCATATCTTCCAGAGTACATGTATAAGCTGCACCGGAGTATAAACCACCCCCACATGCGCGCCTGGTTGTGATGAAGCCGAGACCCAAGGTCGGCAGAGCATTCCAGACCACGCCACCACTCCCCTTATTCATGGCTCACACATGACGGGTTTACGTGGCTCTAGTAAAAATAAAAAAATAAAACATTTTTGTCACAAAATACAGACATCTACCCTGTTTATCACCGTTACTTTGATCATCGTAGTATAAGCCGCCCCGACTTTTTGGGGTGAATTTTTTGTGTTCAAAGTGCGGCTTATGCTCCGGATAATACGGTACCTGACTATTATTTCTGTATCTTCAAGTGTGCGCTTACCTAGACTTATGATCACAAGAGCTGTGTGTGCGAGTAAGCTTGCTGTTCATCTCCGTTCCGTTCTCTTCCGTTTTGTTCCCCGTGTGCTGTGCAGTTGATTGACCTGCAGCACCTCAGCTTCCTGGTCATTGACGAAGCAGACTTGGTGTTTTCGTTTGGCTTTGAGGAGGACGTGCGTAATGTCATCGAGTAAGTGAACAGTATTGAGATAGTAGTGCATGCAAGTATTGAGTTAACACCGGTACAGCACGAGGGAGGATTCGTATTCAGTCAAACAGTCACTGTAGTCGTTTTTTTATGACTGTTTTGGCTGCAGTGACTGGCATTCTCGGCCTTTGATTACGTTGCGGTCTCTCTGATCTAATTTTTTTAAGTGCTACCCTCCCCCCCCCCCCCCCCCCCCCCCCCCCACACACACACACACCACTGTCCTGTCCTGTCCTGAACATTGCCGTAAAACGGTCACATGTCCCCTCATATGAGGGGCCGACAGAAATGGGGTATGTCGTTGAATACGGTACGCAGCACGCTCCGCAGGCTAGCGGCCAACAAGAGTTCGGGTATACTTTCACACCACACACACACACACACACACACTGGTCTGGTGCTGCATCTGCGCCTTGATCCTTGGGTTTGGTGGTGTTCGATCAGATGCAGAAAAGTCAGTCAGTCTAACTGGCTGGGTCACGAACGCCGTGAATCGTGAATAGAACACATGTGTGATGTGAGTGGACAATGTCTATGATTTTGTGTGAGTGTATTGTTCTATGATATCAGCTACCATGACTGTCTACCTGTGACTTGCCATGGCTAGATTGCTTGTCTTGACTTGTGCTGTTTGCCCTATTTAGGTACCTACCTAACATTTGTCAGTCATTCCTGGTCTCAGCAACGCTGTCAAAGGTAAGGCAACTGCACTGTGTGTGCGCGCGTGTGTGTATGTGTCACGCAACTTTGCACATTCACTCTCATCTTGGTTCATAACCTTTTCAAGTAGGCCAGTGCAGACCCTGATACTATCCACTGCAGTGCAGTGAAGCTAAGTTACCAGGTTCTTTTCTGACTTGTGCAGTCAACGACACGTCTGTTGCTTGATGCTTATGACCCCCTTTACCTCTTGCTCACTTGTGCTTTCAAGCCTTTGCAATAACCAGGAGTCTTCTTGTCAACGGTTGACAATGAATGTCTGCAATTCCTTCATTAAAAGGAGTTTATTTTGTTTTGCCTATGTGTTGTAACCGTTAATATGTCACAGGATGTTGAGAAGCTGAAGGAGATTGTATTACATAACCCAGTAAGTGTGTTGTCACGGCTCGACACCGGGTTTGTGTACTAGCATGTCGTTACTTGTTGCAGAATATTTCATCAGCATCTGCTGGTAGAGGCTACAATAGCAGCAGCAGCTCTAACCTACTTTTACCAATCTTTCAACTTATACTTGTGTGTCACGTACGTGTAGTTTGTGTCAAGTAAGTTACTTTCAATGTTCTATCTCTTGTGGTGCTTTTTGCCAATTCTTGAGTACTCATGTAGGTTTGTGTTTGATATGGTGTACAATGTTCTTTCTAGGTTGTAGTAGGAATTGAAGAAAGCGCGCTGCCCGACCGCTCACAGCTTAGCCAGTTTCACATCAGGTCAGTGCATGGCATGCTATGTTCGTTTGATCTTCGCTTGGTGTATTACTTGCTGTCGTTGTCTTTCCTTCAAGTGTCTGTGCGCTGGGCATCGTGTCCCCTTGTTACCTAGTACGCATACTTGTACTGCATTCTCATCCGTGTTGATAGTGCTTGTTTTGTTTGTCCTTGTGGCCTGCAGTTGTCTGGACGATGACAAGTTTCTGATCATGTATACTTTGCTCAAGCTGAGGTACGTCATGTCTTGGGTGGTGGATGTGGTGTTGCCAGTGCTGCCTGTGCTGTTGGTGCTGGTGGTGCAGCACTAGTGTTGCTCTGGACTGTATGCATCTCTTCTGGACATTCTGGGAGACAAACGGACCATATCATCCCACACAAATAAATTGAAATTGCGTATGCGTATTTGCGTTAGGGTAAGCTCTTCGTGCAGAAGGTTGCCTCCAGTGTGTCATCTGCTCTCAGCCCCTCCTTTGTATCTTCCCTGATGGGAATTTGGCAAAGGATATGGCGGATAGCAGAGTTGTACCGGCATGATGAATTTGTGTGACATGTCACGTGTCAAGTGTTTCTTGCCAAGTAGTTGCTGTTGATTTCTGGTATGTTGATGTACACGCCTGGTGCTCGTTGCTCTCCTTGCTGTGCAGGTTACTGCTTGGCAAGTCACTAATCTTTGTCAACGGTATTGACAGAAGCTACAGGTAGGTGCAGCGTGGTATTAGATAAACCTAGTTTTGTTGAGAAACATGTTGTTGGTTGACAGCATGTAACAAGGTGGAGAAAGGTCACTGTTTCCGAACACGGTGGTCCTCCACCTTGTTGCATGCTGTGAACCAATAGGTAGGTGCATGTGTGCTGTGTGTGCTGTAGATATCGAATAGAAGCTGTATACATGTACAGTAGAACCTGTCAAGGCGACCACTCGGATAAGGCGACCACCTGTCCTAGAAGACCACTGCAACCAGGACCAAGGGATGCTGTTTCCAGTCAATTGACCCTGGATAAGGAGACCACCTGGTAACAGAGACCACGTTTTGAAGGTCCCTTGAGCGGTCGTCTTGGACAGGTTTCTCTGTACTTGTGTACCATGCCTGTGGACTATAGTGCATGTAGTGCATGTACCGGTATGTCTTTTTCAGATATCATGTATCTGTACAGTACTGACTCGTACGCATGTCACGTCATAATGCACACCCATAGTGTACTCGTAGAAGTCCAGCCATAGATTTTTGTCCCGTGCAGTGTTGAGGCAATCCTCGAGCGTGTGTCTGAGAGGGGAGATGTCGGATTTCACCACATCAATCCACCGAAGCCTTGGTCGTCCTCGTGGACGCTTGATCTTTGACGTGTCGATGGCCATGGTTAGCGCGCCATAGGAAGCCGTGCCCGGACCTTCCCGAACAACATGGCCGAACCATAGGAGATGTCTTCTCTTGCACAACCTGCTGATTGGTTGCTGTTTTGATTTTTCATACAGGATTTGGTTGGATATGCAGTGTGGGTAGTGGACTCCTTCATTGACAAATGTACATCGGTGTAAAAAAACAAAATGGCGTGTACTTGTCATGTGCTAGAACCTGTATATGGTGTTTTCGTATGCTATTCTTCCTGCTGCAATCTATTTCATGATGAAACAGTTGACAGATGCGTGGAACCCATTATTTGGGAGACATGCGACCTGTATTATTATTATGTACTCGTATCGCACTGCAGCTGTTCCAGCAGCATCCATTCTCTACGTGGCCATCTTTTGCTTCCGCTCTCCCCACCTTTCATTGTCTATGCCCATGTACACTGTACACAGTATTGCTGTCGCTGAGTGACACTAACCCATGTTTTTCTCCCGGTATGGGATTTCTTGTTTCCTGTCGACAGACTAAAGCTGTTCCTGGAGCAATTTGGCATCAAGACCTGTGTCCTGAACTCAGAGCTGCCCCAGAACTCCAGGTAAGCACTGGACAAAGGATCGTTTGGGTCGAATGATGCTCTCTTTTTTTATACATGTGCAAAGCCCCGATTGCACCGAGTTATGCACACATTTTTCCATGGGGGGGGGGGGGGGTGTTGCACGAGTGATTGTGGTATATGCGCAGCATGTCCTGTGTTAAAAGCTGCGTCTAACTTTGCCCGTGTCTTGTCTGCAATGTCGTGTGTATCATCTTCTGTGTAGGCAGCACGTGGTGGAACAGTTCAACCGTGGCATTTACGACATTCTGATAGCTAGTGATGAGAGCACACCAGATTCAGGTAAGTGCAGGCAGCACTGGAGACCTATAGTCTGTGGAACTAGTAGTGCCTGTTAAACTTGGACATCATTGCTGTAGACTTTACCATTTATACCGTGAATAGATGTTGTTAGCGGCATCACACATGTTGGCGTGCTTTGTGAACTAATATCTGCTATTGACAGCCTGCATACTTTCCCTACATTGCACCCATTGCTGTGCCTTCATCCTTTTTCCAACAGTTATGTTCGTTTATCTTTGCTTTGTGCTTTGCGCTAGTTCATGTGTGTTTGTGTGTCTCTGCTGTGTATGTATGTGTGGTGTGCGTGTGTGTGTGTGTGTGTGTGTGCGTGTGCGCGTGTGTGTGTGTGCGTGTGTGTGTGTGCGTGCATACATGTGTGCATGCGTGTGTTGGTTGTGCTTGATGTGTTCAGCTGCAGATAAGCCCGGGAAAAGCAAGAAAAAGAGGTGAGTATCACTATTGATATGACCCTTACTCAGTAGGATGCCTCAACACAAACACTCAAAAGGGAAAACAACCTACGCCGGAGAAGAGGAGGGAGAAATGGGTCAGCTCCAGCCAAGTACCGGTCAGGTGCAGCCAGTGAAAGCCCAGACTGGCGGACACTGGCAGCACCGAAGGCTACTGGGCTCCAATGCATGATCCTGTTTGTAAATTTCTTTCACAGTTCGTGTCACACCCTACTTGGAAGCAATATTTTGCTCATGTCTGGTACTTTGCTGTCCTAGGATTGTTTCTGCTGCAGCTCTTGTTTCACATCTTAATTCTCACGGGTTGCTGCTGCTGTTTCTGCTGTTCTTGTTCTTGTTGTAATTATAATTATGTTGTTTTATTGCTGTTGTCTAGAGCTCGTGGTGACAAGGAATTTGGCGTTGCTCGTGGCATTGACTTCCATGGTATGTGATAATGTATTGTTGCAATGCATTGCACGTCACCTTGTGACCATTAAAAAGTAAAATGCCCCCACACAGTAGAATGACCTCGAGTACTGCGGTACATGATGTGTTGTTATCAATATCATCAGCAGCCTCGGCCTTGTAATAACGTGTGGGTTTGATCAACTTACACCCACTGCCTCGGGATCTGCACCTGCGCCTTGATCCTTGAGGGTAATGGCGTTTGTACAGTTGTGGAAAACGTGCACTTATCCACACTCACAGGAGTACACGTGAGTTTGTTATGTGATAACACGTATTAGAGTGTTGAACTACGCACCTTCTGTCGCCCCGCTTTCAAATCCCAACTGAGGCGCTTTCCATCCACCCCGACTTTTCAACCCTCACGCATCTCGTGCTGAAACAAATAGGTTTGCAACCCGTAGGCATTATCATTTTGTTTGTTTCGGACTCTTCCTTTTTTTTAGCAATGCGATTAGCAATGTACAAATAAGTCAATGTTGGAAATCCCCCGGCTGGGGGTATTATGTACTCGTGCTGTGAATGACTAATATCCTTCAACAAAGGAGAGAGAGAGAGGGGGGGGGGGGGGGGTCGGGCAGCAGCACATCATCCCTCCGCTATTTTTGTCTTTGTGGGACCACTCTCCTCTTGGCCTTGATGTCTGTTCTTTTCCACTTCAGGTGTTGAAGCTGTTGTCAACTTTGACTTTCCGCTAACTGCTGATTCCTACGTCCATCGTGTTGGAAGGTATGTGTTAGTATACTGTGCCTTGTTTAGTAGCTTGTGTGAAACTCTTCCTTGCCTTGCATCGATATTTTGCAATTTCCCTGCCACAGGCTGCCTGCTGGTAGGATCTGTGCAAGGTGGTAGTGGAGCTTTCACTGCATGGGTTTGCTGTGTGTGTTGTGTTGCGACACTGTAGAACGGCGCGTGGCATGGAGGCAGGCAATGCTCTGTCCCTCGTCTCTCCATCGGAAACCTTCCGGCTACGTAAAGCTGAGAAGAAGCTCCAAGTAGCAGCAGGTATGTGTAGTCCCCCCCCCCCCCCCTCCTCTCGGCTTTGGTTGACTTCCTTCACTTTATCATTCTAATGAGTCTAGGAATCTAGGAATGCCGCACTGGGGTCTAAGCCGACCCCCCCCCCCCCCCAAAAAAAAATTCTTACTTTTGTTGACGTTCAAGGAAAAGTTTCCTACAATTGTAGTTTGCCCTTCACTCTGAATTGACAACATGTCGAAGCTTCGTGGTAGTGCAATGATGGATTGCACAACGTGACAAGTAGTCGAATGACACCATGCGTGCATTATAATGCATGGAGGGCGGGAGCGCTGGTCGATTCGTACTATCCAGCATTTTATGCATTTTGAAGTGCATGTAGCACAGCGGAAAATACGGTACTTGTTGCCTATTCTGCTGTTCTCTGCAATTTGTTCGTTCGTTCAGTTATTAGGTTTAATGACTTGGTGTCTTTGGCTTTCTGTGTAAACCTTTTTCGTGCTGTCCTTGTCTGGTACTTTTTGCACATTTTGCAGGATGTGTTGCGGAGGACGCAGAGCCGTTTGTGAAGCCGTACGCGTTCAAGATGTCTGAAATTGAGGGCTTCCGTTATCGGGCAAATGTGAGATGGTGTTTTATCTGACTACTTGTTCTCCTTGCTGCTGCTGCTGCTGCTGGTCTTCTAGCGTTACATGATCGGATTTGCTACGAGACTTAGGCAACGGAAATTAGTCGGTTTCAAACTCAATCTGTCGTTATGTGCCTGGTGGTTCTATCCGATGTCCGCTGTGTGTGTAGTGGTGTGTACATGGTGTGTGAGATGATGTGAGTGTACCTAGTTGTTGATGTGAGTGTTCGACCAGTTATCACTGAGCCCCACCATCCCCCCCTGCTCATGGCATGCGCCGCCTCACAGGCATTCCAAGTTGATCCCCAAATGTCATTCAACTCTAAATACAGGTGTCCTCCCATGGAAACTTCCATTATTTCACCATTGTTTGTTTCTGCTGCTGCATGAATGATACTCTGCTCTGTTGCAGGATGCATTGAGGAGTGTCACCAAAATAGCAAGTAAGTAATTCACTGAAGAAAAAATTGACTAACGAAGTTACATGTACGAAGTCTGAAGAGAATATTGAACGGTCTCTGCTGGGATGACAGCTACACCATAGCTAAGTGGTTAGAGCATCGCTGGCCTCAAGGGAAGGTGCCTGGTTTGAGTCCTGGTGGTGACAGTCGAGTTTTTTCTGCAGACTTTTCCCGTTTGCATCTTTCCCTCGAGCCAGTGAATATTTTTAAACATTCAGTATGCGTCCAATTTCATCAGGGGTTTTCCACCGTTATACAGCGGCGGAGAGGAAGGCTTGTGCTGAACACCTTCCTTTGGTGGAGTACTCCGCTTGTGCTTGCTGGTTAATTGATATACACGGCATACTGTAAGACGTGTAAATCTAACGAGGAAGTAAATCTAACGTTAACGCACTCTCCACATACAGGCATGCACCCGGCTCAGAACACATTGTTTTCTGGTTGGCATATCAGGGATATTGGGCGGAGCAGCTGGCGTGCATGAGAAAGACAGGTCGGCCTGCTCTGCGCAGGAGCTGTGACCCGGTGCACACATAGTGTGTGTGAGAGAGAGACAGACAGGTCGGCCTGCTCTGCGCAGGAGCTGTGACCTGGAGCACACAGAGTGTGAACGAGAGACGGTCGGCCTGCCGTGGGCAGGAGCTGCGACCGGTAGTGATTGAAATGAGCCAGCTGCGGAGATAGACTGCCCTCACCCGATATAAGTATATGGACAAGAGTTGTACTGACACTGTTATTGAGGAAATTATGGTGACAGTGACGGAGAGATAGTGATCCCCAGTCGAATGGGGTTGGGAGGGAAGGGGAAATTGACACTGACGGACAAACCAGTGAACAGTCAAGTCGTCAGAAAGCAAAAGTGACAAAGGAGTCTCTCTTTTCTCCTTCTCTCTCTCTCTAAAGCAAGATTTGGAATGCATGCGTGGGAGAGTGGCGCGCGCTGCGCATGCGCATGTATAGCAATGACATCATAATCAGATGCATGATCATCAGACTAAGTATGAGTGGTAGATGTTCCACGTTCGTTAACAGGGCTTAGCGCACACGCTAAACCACCATTTTAACGAGTTACATTTCTTCGTTATAATAAGTTCTGTTTAGGCTGTAAGGCCTCATATGTGTTAGGTGTGGATATGACTGAAGACTGCCAGATCGCTAACATACCTTTTCGTTAACCAATGGATTTTGGACAATCGTTAAATTTGCGACTCGTTATAATACCGTATTATCTCTATTATAAGCACGGTCCTTTATTTTTTCAATGTACCTCCGCCCCGTGCTATTAATGGAGACGTTCCTTTATTGGAGACTGTTCCATTATTATTTCAACCTCATTTCAGAGGCATGTTGCCATGCCAAATTCATGTCAGACACACACATTTCAGGGTTTTTCCGCTGGTACAGATAATGAATTTACACAGTGTGCTTATAATGGAGACTGAGCACTTTATTTTTTGAATGCCGCCCCAAGGTGTTCTATTATTGGAGACGTGCTATTATTGGAGACTGTGCTTATATTAGAGATAATACGGTACTACATGTCTTACAGTAGATGGTGTAGGCATGGTCAGCTACATGTACATGTCTGGAGTGCTCTGCACTGACCGTGGTTGTGCGTTGGCCGTGTCGCAGATAGAGACTTTTCATCACTCTTGTCCGCTGTCGGACCTAGAAGGGAATTGACGTGTGTTGAAGCCTGAAGGCTGAAGGGCAGTTTTAAGATGCAGTGCTGATGACTGCATGGCAGTCATGGGCACCGTGTGGGTGGGTGCTGTCTTTCTGGGTACTGAAAGTGTACTGGGTGGATGCTGGCTGGGTACTGAGTGTCATCTATGGTATTGCAAATAAGAATGTTGCTACAGGGCTTTGACATTGATGCTGTTACTGCTGGTACAATGCCACCAAGACCCAGCATTGCCACTGATGCATTGCGTTCGGTGCGTTTGCCGAGAGGTATTCACTCTGGATGGGGTGGTGTTTCTATATACAGTCACGAAACATCCACTTGACATGCCGTTGACTTTGTCCACCTTGTGGTGTGCTTGCCGCTGAGTGTAATTCACCTGGTGTTGCCACTGTGCTTCTATTTTTAATCATCTGTACTGCTTGCAGTAAAGGAAGCTCGACTAAAAGAAATCCGTGCAGAATTGCTTAACTCGGAGAAACTCAAGGTCAGTATGATGTTACAATGCAAAAGTTCGCAAAATTACTTATTGTGTAATTTCATAGAAAAGAGAAAGTCTTGGTCCTTTCTCTTTTCTATAAATTAAACCTTGGTTCTCCATCCGAGTCCATTCCTGTGTAATTTCAAGCTGCCATAAGTATAACTGGTGCCAAAAGTTCCAACAAATCATCAGTTACTGATTCATCAACCCCGAGTGATTTGTCGGGATCTTTCTAGCACCGACAGCACAACAAGCCCCATGAGTGCCCCCTCCCCCTCCCCCGATGCAAGTATCATTTCCGAGGTCTTTGCGTATTGGGGAAGAACTTAGCCTGGAGAGAACAGCACTTCTTCTGTACTTGTAAAGTTTATACTAGTGGAGGTTCGTCCCTGGATTGCAACTTTTAACTTGTTATACTGTCTCATTCATAACCATGGTGACACATGGCTTGTTCTAAGCGTAGTGATGCATTGCTTTGCTGTAACCATAGCAATGCATGGCTTGTTCGAAGCATAGTGATGCAGGGCTTTGCTGTAACCATAGCAATACATGGCTTTGTTGTTCTCCCACTACAGTCCTACTTTGAAGACAATCCACGCGACCTGCAGATCTTGCGCCATGACAAAGTGCTGCATCCAGTGCCAGCACCGGCACATCTGAAAAACGTACCGTCGTATTTAGGTGAGTCTCTTGAATCACTCTCATCACCATTATAGTCTGTGCTTGCTTTTCACTCATCATGCATATCCTGTTCGGTGTGGGAAGAAGTGAAACAACAGGAAGACATGCACAGCGCATGTCGTACAGTTTCCATCAAGACTCTGTATCCCCAAGAGTATGCAACTCTGCACGTCACGAGGCCTGGCACAGCATGCTGCCCCCTCTATCGCCTGAGCCACACACCGGCGAATAAGCTGGACTGTCATGTCATTGTTGATATGCTACGCTTTTCAGCTTCTAAGTGCGTACTTCTCCGGCGACTTCAGATGGCTTTTGCGTGTGATATGTCACATCGAGGCATTGCCGTTGAATTTGCTGCAGTACGCATGAAATGGTTGTGCCTGTAGACTCTAATATTAATCATAATTTAATAAGGCCCAAACAAATAATGACCTTGTTTCCGGTCGGCCGACCGGGCCACTTTTTCCCAAATTCTGAAACTTTTTTTGGTCCCAAATGTGTACAAACGGTGGCAATGCCATGTGTGCAAGTGCACTCAACGAGTCATAACTCAGTCAAATCTCAACCGAATTCCACAATCAAAACACCTACAAGGTAGCAGAGATTCTCAGCTGTCGGCTCGAAAACCTCCGGGGTCAATACGAGCTAGAATAACGGAGCTGGAAAGACTCGAACTGTTTGCTTGATTTCTCAGGATACACGAAAACAGGAATACACCACATGCTGTACAAGAACAGTGAGTCAGTCAACTCTGACATTGATCCTTGCCATGATATATGTACAATGTACATGTGTAGGTGCTCTTGTCCATCAATACCACAACGATTGAGGAACCAAAAAAAGTATCCAAAAAAAGTTTCATTCCGGCCGACCGAGTCTCCGTTTTGAGGGGTTGCCGACCGGAAACAAGCCTATTTTTTGTTTTGGCCTAATAGAACAGTTGGCGTACAGGGCAGCAATGTAGTGCTAACCTTTCCGCTTCTGTCTCTATTGAACTCTGCTACATGTGATGGTTGATTGTCCACGTGAAAAAAGGAAAAGAAAAACCCCCAGGAGACTCTAAACCGTAGTAGGAAAACGCCAATCCAGGCGGCTTGAACGTCATTTTGCTGCGTATTGAAAGCAGCACGCCGCACGGAGCACCCATAGCTAGCTAGCTCAGAGATCAGAGCTGTGTACTCTTGGTGCTACATGCTGTACTCTTGTTCTCATGTGTTTGTGCTTACGCAATGTACATGTTCACATGCAGGAAATTTGGGGTTAGAGTTGGCGTACGTGAAATCTAGGGTTGGAATTGCCTTGCAACTAATGTACACTGACAGATTTATTCATTTATTTGTATTTCCTAGGCACGTTTCTGTGTAAAGTGAAAGACTTTTTTTGAAAGTGAAGTGTGTTTGATTTATTCTTGTTTGTCTGGACGTGTGTGTGTAGTTCCCAAGGCTCTAGAGAAGACCTTCAGAAGCAGTCACCCACACGGTGCAAAGCAACAGCGGAAACCGGTCAAGCGTGGCGATCCGTTCAAGAAAGGCTCGGCGGTCAATGTAAGTGCACTTCTTGTTCAGTGTATGTATGTCCGTGTGTGTGTACGTTTGTCCGTGTGTGTGTGTATGCGTGCATGTGTGTGTTTGTGTGTGTGTGTGTGTGTGTGTGTGTGTGTGTGTGTGTGTGTGTGTGTGTGTGTGTGTGTGTGTGTGTGTGTGTGTGTGTGTGTGTGTGTGTGTGTGTGTGTGTGTGTGTGTGTGTGTGTGTGTGTGTGTGTGTGTGTGTGTGTGTGTGTGTGTGTGTGTGTGTGTGTGTGTGTGTGTGTGTGTGTGTGTGTGTGTGTGTGTGTGTGTGTGTGTGTGTGTGTGTGTGTGTGTGTGTGTGTGTGTGTGTGTGTGTGTGTGTGTGTGTGTGTGTGTGTGTGTGTGTGTGTGTGTGTGTGTGTGTGTGTGTGTGTGTGTGTGTGTGTGTGTGTGTGTGTGTGTGTGTGTGTGTGTGTGTGTGTGTGTGTGTGTGTGTGTGTGTGTGTGTGGTAGAGCCTGACAATGTGCCTGAGCCTCCGCCCCGAGTGGTATGTACGGTATGCGGACGGGATTTTGCACGGAAAGGAGACATGGCTCGGCATAAGTGTCTGGAGGAGCGTGCGCGGCCTGTGTCTGAGCAGCGGGGCGCCAGTCAGTGCGGGCGGTGTGGGCGGTGGCTGAGAAGCCGCGGTGGCTTGGTCCGGCATGTGTGTGCCTCAACGGTGGATGCCGCAGTGCCACCTGGAACTACCGGAGCGTCGGCACCGGCGGAGGGATGTTGTGCCGCGCATTGTGACAGGTGTGGTCGCTGCTTTCGCGGTGTCCGGGGACGGGGAAGGCATCGCTGTTCAAGGGTGGCGCATAGACCAACAGCAGAGGAGCGCTCAGCCTTCCAGCACGTGTGCATATGCGGCAAGCGGATGCGACTACCCGTGCACCTGGAGCGCCATCGAGCGTCGTGTCCTCTCTCTCTCTCTTCTCAAGTTTCCCAGTGATGGGATCACGTGACCCTTTTGCGGCAGTGACTCTACAGGACAGGACAGGTGTGTGTGTGTGTGTGTGTGTGTGTGTGTGTGTGTGTGTGTGTGTGTGTGTGTGTGTGTGTGTGTGTGTGTGTGGGTGTGGGTGTATCTGTATGTATGTATGTATGCATGTCTGCATGTCTGCCTTTCTGTCTGTGTGAGTGTCTGTGTGTGTGCATATGCATGGCTTCGCCAGTTGTGTGGATTAGACAGTTATCTGGTGCAAGTCTTGATCTATCTCATTCAGATCTTGTTCGCTATCGTTGCTATAAGAGAAAATCTGTGGGTGCACACCCAGTGCATTTGTAGATTTGCGTGCTTCTCTTGCGACGGGCGTATACATGGTACATGGTGTGTTGTGTTGTGTGTTGTAGAAGCGGAAAAGAGATCCCCTCCGTAGCTACAAAGCAGAGAAAGGCTACGGCGCAGATAAGGTAAGTTAGTACATATGTAGCGTCTGGACTTGTACATCTCTTGACACCCTGCAAGTGGTGCGAATGCTGCTGGACATACACATGATTGTACGTGAACACAGGGATGTAATCGGAACTGGTCCAGGGCGCCAACGTTGCACTCTGGGTCGAATTTCACCTAACGTACCTGCAGTGTCTTGTAACACATGTACTCCAAACTACAGGTGTAATCTGATAATTTGAATATGGCTGTACTCACACATGCCACTTGATTAGAAGTTTCTTGCAGGACCGACTTCAATCAATAAGATTCCCACATAGCAATGAACTGGGTGTGTCCGGTTTATTAGAAGTCCCACGAAATCCGCTTACAAAGAAAATGTGTGGGAACCCCGCTGATAATTCAAAGTTAGCAAGGCATGATTCAAAGTTCAATGTACACACTGTACGCCGGGTACTACTCTTCAGTTCAGTGCACTTGAGCAGATCGCACTGGCCAGTTCAGTGTATGGTGCATGCTATGCTTATGTACGGACTCTGGCGTGGCAAGAACTCGATCAATGTGATGCACGCACACTTCAGGAACTTTGCAGAAATCGCGGATCTCGATTCAATTGTCAAAATCTCAGAAAAATCACATCTATGGAATCACGATTCCCCAGGGACAGCCTGTAGAGATGTTCATGAACACTGCTAGCAAAGCGGAGGCCATGAGCACATGTTCTCTTGTTGAAACTGACCATAAGGTCTCGATTGTGAGCGAGCACGCAAATTGCCGTGTCTATTGTGATTTCTCCAATATGATGATTATAATATTAGGGTGCATTCTTATATTCTCTAGCTTTTAGGAGATGAAGAAAAGAGAAGTCGAGATAACTCAAGAGCGGGTCTCGAAGAATTCGGAGATATTTTGCACATGTAAAGCAATATGAAGCGCCAAAGGGGCCGCGATCTTGAGTTATGAATGTAGTATGAACATGTGCGTATTCGAAAAGGGAAATGCGTACACTCATGATCAACACGTGGCTTTTAGCCGTAGTTCGCATGCGCTGATCCCACACCGTGGGAATCTCCAAGTTTCAACCACCTGTGAAGCTTGGAGAGCTTTGGAGAGCCTCCTAAAAGTCGGAGAGAATATAAAAACAGCTCTCGAACTTTTCGGAGAGTCTCCAACTTTTCCAAGAGGATTTAACAACGCACCCTTACTATTTTTTTATGGGCTCCCTGCCCTCTCGCTCTGGAGCATGTCAATGTGTGCTGTCTGTATGCAGGGTCCATAGAAAAGCTGCATGCATGTATTATAAGTACCTTAAACCAGAGTTTCTTCTTGTACCTTGTGCGTGTATGTGTGTTCGTTTACAGCGGCGGAACAATGCGTTCTTTAGCAAAGATAAGGGTCGGCCGAAGGCCAAGAGAGTAAGTAGGGTATACTTTGTCTGCCTGTGCTTGTCTATTAGAACTGTCGAGACGAATCTTGTGTGCATCGACGTGCATGTATATTCCGTTCAAGTCCAACATGAGGTGACTGCTTTGATGTCTCTTTTGCTTTTGGTGTGTGCTGTGTGCAGAAAGGCTAGGTAGCTGTACGAAGAGTGCGGCGATACATCCAGCAACAACAAAGCGTTGTGCTCTATCTTCAGCAAGGTCATCCAGTGAACAGTGATTGCAAGCAAACACCGGCATCATATAACCTTCTCATATCTTAAAATATTTGTAACCATAATAAGACTGATTATGAAATCACCCTCCTCATACACAGATTGCCACCGAAAAGATAACTTTCATTATACCGGTATCCATATTCAGTGTCATTGTGAGATTTTGAAGTTTTCATGTGGAAGAGAAGCTGAGATGAGCATGAGCATAGCATAGCAGAGGCTGAAAACAAGTTGTGCTAACAATGTCATGGATTAATGTAACTGTGAAGCAAACGTGAAAGCAGAAGTGGTCCAAAGCGAATAAACAACAGGGATCCGGTTTATAGGCGAAGTATGTGCAGAAAATGCCACATTCACAAGAAATTATATGGACAATTATTGGAAAAGAGAAAGTGTTTGTGTGAGAGAGAGAGAGAGAGAGAGAGAGAGAGAGAGAGAGAGAGAGAGAGAGAGAGAGAGAGAGAGAGAGAGAGAGAGAGAGAGAGAGAGAGAGAGAGAGAGAGAGAGAGAGAGAGACCCACAGATGTGCATGCGTACAGACACACAGGCACGTAGATTTATGGAGGCAGCAAGAGGCTTTGGTTCCAATGAAAAATGGCACGAGGATAAGTTATCAATACTTGGAATAGTAAAAGGTAAAGGTTAATGGTTCAGGAAGCACTGCACATACCCCAACTGCCAGGGTGATGGTGTAGATAAAGAGAGATGGTGTAGACAAACAGAGATGGACTAGATCGAGTATTACCATGGTATATGTATGACGGAGAAGAAAGGACGAAGACAATTCAAACATGTGTACAACCTAGTTACATGCACACACCGACTTTTCCGTTTCGACGACAGTATAAAATTCTTGGACACACGCGTGCACACGTACAGTCACTGGCGTACAAAGCAAGTGGACATACATGTACATCAGGAACAAAAGACGTCCACGCATACAGATGGACACACATATTAGTGGACGCACATGCACGTGCAGAGTGGTAGTCACATCACTTATTACAGGACATACTCGTTAGCAAACTTTTCACTTTCGTTACATGGGTGCGCTGCAACTGCAAGTCGTGATCAAGCTCAGACAGGCGTTGGCGCAGTGTTTCATTTTCCATCCGCAATCTATGGCGTTCAGCCTCCGCATCAGCCATAACTTGCCTGACCACCAAACGGACAGAATCCTCCATTGAATTGCGCATTGTCATCATCAGTGCCTCCACGAAATGATGCTCGAGACCTGCAGTGAAAATTACAGTAACAACAGCAGCGGCACCAACATAAGTGAAGCAGCCTATACATTACAGCACACTTTGGCTGTCATTGAGCAAACCAGTCTTGCACTGCTTAGCAAGCAAACAGTGCTTGCACAACCGCACTTTCTAATGTATGTCAGCGAAGCTTTGACTATGCTTACCCCCTGGGCCCACTGGTTTGGCAACTGCTGCGGTGCCTTGATTTCCGTCCGCTCTGTATGACACATGAAAAGGGGAAGAGTCTCAGAACATGGATGCACATAGCCATACACATTGCTACTGTACAGCTTCAACTTCAAGTATTGGATGGGACAAACTACTGTACATAGGCGCACGCGCGTGCACACACACACACACACACACACACACACACACACATACACTTGTGTGCACATACATTCATATGCACATAAATCATGTATGGTATAATTGGACTACTCTTCACGTACTGCAATCCATCATTGCACCAGCACAATGCTTCTACATGTTGTCGGTTCATGCGTCTCACCTTGAGAAGTGGTTGATAAGTGGGCCAACTGGGGGTAGAACAGGAGCTGCTACGTGAACTATTGTGCTGCTGTCTTGTTGACCACCACCGGCCTGCATCATTTGATGTGTTGGTGGAGGCGCTTGCATCCGATGGTCACTCTGCATATTCATCATGTTATGCTGCTGGGTTGGAGTGTTAGCGGGCCATGCAACCTGCAAGGCAATAACACAAACACACGCACACACACACCTCAGACCTGCCCATCGCAGAAGCGATGATAGCGAACAGCTATGTTAGACATAGCAACTTGTGCTGGGATTACACCATTCAACAGCTTGCAAGGCTGATGAATTGATCGCCACTAATTTTAGCCTGGTATCCACCACACAGCTGATTGAAGTGGCTTTTTCTGACCACACGCACGCACACGCACACACACACACACACACACACACACACGACACGAAAGTGCTATTGGGTGGGCATGGCTGTTTACTACACTGTCCCCGGGGAAAATTGCGATTCCGCGGCCGCGTTTTTTTCCGCGTTTTTTGCGATTTTTAAAAGACCGCGTTTTCCGCGATTTTCCCGCGTTTTTTGAACTTTTTTGTTCCACTACACGTACACACAGTGCACTTTTCGGTCAGCAACATCTCATCGTGGCGGCTTTTTACTCAAATTATGACGAGTGCTTACACCAGAGACTTGTACTTGATTGATTTCACTACATACTCACTGAAATTGCCGCACATCAATATTATTCACCGCATATTTACCGCAAATTCACCGCAAATTATGCCATATTATGCCGCGTTTTTTCCCGCGTTTTTTGCGATTTTTTTCCGCAATTTTCCCCGGGGACAGACTACAGTAGAGTCGCGCGCCCAAGACGTTCTGTCCAAGGGGTTAGCACACACACACACATGACACGAAAGTGCTATTGGGTGGGCATGGCGGTTTACTACAGTAGAGTCGCGCGTCCAAGACGTTCTGTCCAAGGGGTTAGCCTGGGGCGTTCCTATTTTTCAGCAATCCGGCTGCGTTCTTAAAGCACGTTCTTGGAAACAATCATATGTGGATCATATGTATCCCAAAAGCTGCCGGAAAACCAACACCGCCGTTCTTAACTTTAGGCTGTGGCGTTCTTAGCATTTCAGGCTGGACGTTCTTCGGCTCAACGTTTTTCGGTGCATGACTCTACTGTATGAAAAAGGTGAAAATACAAACAGCTCTCTCATCCTCATGCCAGTGAAACAATAATTTGTGAACGGACCTACAATGTGATGGAGTATCAATACTTCTTGAATTAATGGGCTAAACAAAAGTGCAGGCTTTTATGCAGCATGTGTACAATGTACACTTCACCACATAACACCAGATGCAACATGGCGCACAAGCAATCTGAATGCTACAAGGACTGATACAAAAGGTGGGAGAAAATGTTCCTAAAGGGAAGGCGCCATGAACTTTTAATATACATGAATCTCTAGGACTTACTGCTGAACTGACCACAGGAGGCTCCGAGCCGCTGAAGACAACGTTACGAGAATAGCCAAGTCGAAAAGCCTTTTCTATGTCCGACAAGACCTCTCGCACTGGCCGGCCATTGAAGCGAACGCTGTACTTCCAGTTTTTGTGCTTGCCGCGACCAGACTGAACCTCAAACTCGCGTGGAGTCATCCACATGGTCTCCCAGAGTAAAGACTGCACACGCGGATCCAGCCTATTGTCTACACCGTACAGTTTGTCCAAGTACAGTTCTCCGTCCAAATCCTGACAGGAGACGGTTAAGATTGGCGGCCAGACAGGAATGGGGGGAGCACTGTCCACGGTCCCAACTGGTGACATGGCCGCTTGTGATGTTGTACCACTAGACACACTAGAGTTACTAACATATGATCCACTTGTTGGCCAATCTGGTAGCGAGGGACCGTTCATCATGCCCAAGTTCAACTGGATGACGTCGGTGGCTGGACGTTTGGCAGCTGGTTCAATGGGATGCACATTGTTCACTGTCATCTGCTTCATCATGCCGCCATTCTCTGCTCCAGCCATGCCAGAACAGTCATTACCTTGCCTAAGACACACACACACACACACACACACACACACAGCGGAAGTAGGAAAACAACATTGTAGTCCTTTTTCAGTCCCTCAGACTTGCAAATAGTACTGTTACTTCTTTCGACCAAACAAGACCATAGGACGCTTGCAGACATAGCACAGCGTCTGGTCAAAAGAAGAAACTACTACTGCTACTATGCATGGACGGACCAAATGAAGATGGCATCGACGAAGAAAACAAACCATTATAGGTGATCACTAGCATGCAGCTGACAACAATGTAGAAATCAAGATACTGGTGGTCTTATTTATAGAAACACTTCAGCGCACGAGCATGCAGGGAGACGTTGAACAATAAAAACTTACTGTCTGTCGGAGTGCGTTGCCGGTGACCCGCAGAGCAACCCCCATCCTTGGTTGCCGTTAGAATTAGAGCAGGCATCCTGCAAAGACAGGAGGCAGGAGGGTTGCACATAAGGACACAGGGATTAAGCGATGTACTGTATAAGCTACACGGCAGACTAGTGGTAGCTTGCAAAACGCCAGAGGTAAGAATTACAAGTAAATCCTACCGAAACCTGTACTGTAGATCAAAAAGGAACGCCTCTGTGGCCCCTTAGTCGGAGACTAGACAAGAAGCAAACAGCCAAAAAGACACAACACCCTTACTGGGTTCCAGTATAGTGCTCCCTTGTGTAAACAAGCATTGAGGATATGGGAGCTACTCAGATCAAAAGCAGGATCCGGATCTGTACATAGACGACATTCCTGGAATCCATAAATGGAAGTATTCTGAAACTAGTCCCACAGATGAAATGTTCTCCCAAAAATGGAATGCACCCCCAAACGAGGAAAAAGTACATACGTGTCAAATTTGGCCATTGTAGTTCAAATTTCTCGCTATGGAAAACGATGACTGGTACATGGTGATCATTTGCAGACGCATCAGCTCACAGGCGGCGACGGGCGCAGTGATTGCGATCCTGAAATCATTATTTCAATTTTGGATTTTTCATTGCCACCGGGATCGACATAATAATGTCTGGGCGCAGCGCCGTGCTGACGAGGCTAGAAAGGACGAAACAGCACGGCCCGCATATCAAGTCTACTGAAACAGTTCCGTCCGCAGATTGAGAATATACAATGTTTGTACTTTTGAAACACTCCACCACTCCGCACTTGGCCCACACATTTGAAATGGCCAAGTTTGTCGCAGCTTCTACGTCACTGTATGTGTAGCGGATGTTAGCACATCCGGTACACGCGAGGGATGTGGAGATCATCATCACCACTCTAGCAAATGCTACACTTTCTGCAGTCACAAGAAGTTAGTTGGAAAAGGATGAAGTGCATCTGTCACGTGTCAACTGTCAAGTAATCCCTTTGAATGGTCAGTCCTCAAGTTGGGCATGTAATGCCCATCCTGGCTCAGCCCAGCATCTATGGCTGTGTTTACATGAAGCGTTTCAACCCGGGTTGAGTTCGACCCGGGTCAGATTTCAACCCGCCATGTGCACAAAGTGAATGGCGCGTTTACATGACGCATTGCGCTTGACCCGGGTTGAAATTTCGCCCCGGGTTGATTTCAACCCTCCCCCCAAGGGGAGGGTTGAAACCAACCCGGGTCAAGAAAATCGTACAAACGTACTTCTGTGCGTATCTCGCGCCAGGTTTGAACAGGACTGCACATGCAAATTTCGCGCGAACGGATTCACGTGACCATACAGGACTCTAGAAGTGGACTTTTGGCGGCATATCAGTATTTGACCCGGGTCAACTGTCTTCATGTAAACGCTCACCTCTTTTGTCTATCGTACAGACTTTCAACCCGGGCTGAACTCGACCCGGGTTGAAATTTCTCATGTAAACACAGCCTATGTCTTCCTGTCGTAACCGCTTGAGTTTACAACCGCCAATCCTATCCTAGATTGCAAAAGGATTCGCACTCGGACTTAGTGCTTTCAAAAGTGTGCACTCTTACTGCATGCTTGCCCATATGATGGACGAACAGCCGTAAAGCATTGTTTGTTGGTTTCTCTTTGTCGTTGATCAGGCATCTGCTCAGCTTCAACTGGGCAAGGAGCTGAAGAATTTTCTGTGCTGGAACCCCCCCCCCCCCCCTCCTTTTTTGTCTTGTTCCTGTCGACAGAGGTGGCTTTGAAACATGCTGTCCTTCCCAACTTTATTTGGTCATTGACCGCCACCGGCCCGGAGTTGCATGAAATAAAAAAATAGTATTATTTTAAACCTCCCTAATGGATGAAGATTATCCTTTCACAAGGGTGCCATTCGTGTCCTCACTCCTGAAGGTGGATTGATGAAAAACTCACTCCTGAAGCCGGTGGATTGATGAAAAACTAACGTTTCATTGGGTGATGCTCACTACAATTATAAGACAAATGCACAGGTGGCGACTTACACTGCTCGCCCAGTGTTATTACATGTATTTGGCCCAGGAGACAACCAGTTTTAGCGGACATACCTGTTCCCGTTTCACCTCGCTCAATAAAAACGGAGAATGGTTGGATTCCCCAACCATCCAGCGCATTAGCACCTCCCGCAAGAGCACTCCCTTCCCCTCATTCGGCCTCCACAGCACCCCACCCCCTATACGCCTTCCGTAGTCCTACCACTGTCATCGCCACACTCCTAGATCCTGCCATCGGTAGACCAAAGCCGTAGTAACTGTTGTTCCTTTCACAGAGTATAGAACATACTAGTACATCATTCTGAAACTGTACAACTTACAGACAAGCTTTGGAGTGAATCCTTGTCAACAATGCCACACGCTTCTCCAACTGAGTGCCGAACATTCGAATCATCGCCAGCTGCCTCAGCTACACAATTATCTGAGTGGTTTGGTGCTGACGAGTTGACAGTGGTCATCGGCTTCGTGGTTGGAACTGTGGCAGAAGCAAAGCCCGAAGGTAGTGGAACTATTTCCCCAACCATGCCTTCATTCAGTGCCGACAGGCCTTCCATCGAATTCGCAATCACGTCGAACATTCGGCGAAAGAGGTTCGGCGTTATCACGCGCCCCGCACACTTCCGAAATCAGGTCGGAACGGAGTCGGACCTTCTTCGAACTCGAAGCCGAATGTTTTCGCGTGCGGCGCGGTGTGTCCGAAGCTCCAGCCAAGCAATTATCTTCGTCGTACAGCATGCAGCTACAAAATGGTTCTTTGGTTTTCTCTACACTTCGTACTTCACAATGCTGCATGTCTAGCTGTGTCTGTATCTAAACAAGGGCACGGGGTCATGAACTTTCGAACGTGTTGTACGGTGTGCAACTACAACGGGTACGCTGCGCAATGTGACTATCGACAAAAACGTTACGTACACATATCGTACATGATCGGAAGAATCACATCTCCATATTCAGCTGACAGCAGCGCGAGCAGACGATGTTTCGGGAGACGGTCTCGTACGCTCGACGCTCGCGCGCGAGTCGCGATATCGGAAATCGGTAGTTCGAGTCAGTGAGTAGTACAAATATCGTACTACTCCCTGGTTCGAGTTGTCATTCGCAGTGCTGCGAAATAATTTTCACCCCAAATCGGACACCTTCCTGCCAAGCTTGCAAGGCTGGCCACATGGGGATATGGTGCGAATTTTTTTCCTCAGCAATTTTCCCGAAAATTCAAAATATCGCCGAAAATTCCATGGAAATTCGCTCCGTTGCCATGGTAACCGATATAGCACCGACGTCATGGATTTTGTAATGCATGAGCGTGGTCGCACACTGTGTGTAGACGTCTACATGCCACTCAGGCATGTTACTTTGCACTTCCACAGCCTGCCAAGCGCTAGCCTTTTTACATGACATTGCACATCAGGGAGTCGTCAAAGTATTCTGTCCCCGGGGAAAATCGCGATTACGCGGCCGCGTTTTTCCCCCGCGTTTTTTGCGATTTTTTAAAAGACCGCGTTTTCCGCGATTTTCCTGCGTTTTTGTTGAACTTTTTTGTTGGACTACACATACAATCAGTGCACTATTCGGTCAGCTACGTCTCATCGTGGCGGCTTTGTACTCAAATATGACGAGTGCTTACACCAGAGACTTGTAACTGATTGATTTCACTACATACTCACTGAAAATGGCCTCATATCAACTGCAAACTTGCCGCATATCAATAATATTCACCGCATATTTAAAATCGACAGGGGGCGGGAATTAGAGAGGGGGCGGATCAACGGTACTTTACGGTACATGTACTACTGTAGAACAGTGATTTGTGCCTTCAGTTGCCATAAGTAGGCATTGGCGGATAAATCATAAAGCTCGAAAAGGTGGCAGATTCTGTTCGAAAAGCAGTGAAATGGGCAGAACCATACAAACCTTATGGCGGGAAATTCCTCGAATTCTGCTCCATTTCTTTATCCACATACCAAACATGCATGAAGCTTACCAGAAAAAGTACCGAATTCTGCCAATTGTTCTGCCGGCATTATCCGCAAAGGCCTACTGAAAAGTGAAAATACGGTCAGGGATAGGCTCCGGCGGATTATGCTCGCGACATCATGGAATTATGCTTTCATGGATTCTCGCATTATGCTCGCAAAATCCTCATATTATGTTTTGGCACGCGGGGCCCGGGGATACATATTCACTTTGCTGCACTAATGGAGCCCCAAAGTTCGGAAAATTGTGCCTTTTTCGTACTTGCAAGTGGCCATAAGTACAACAATATGTTACACGAGTATCCCTATACCAAGGTGTCCATGCATGCTAGTGATTATCATGGAAAAGGGAAAACATTACTTCTATAAATTCATTAGTTGACTTTTGACTTCTTTTTGTACTTTATTTAAAAAAATATTTTTTCATTGCCAAATCAGTTTGAGTTACCTTTGAAAATTATCATGTTCAACTGTCTTCGTAATCGTCATACTCGTCCAACCGATATGTCACCCTCACCCTGCGAATAATCAGCTCATCTCTTCCGTAGCTCCACCTCTCCTTCCATCATGACCGAACACCAGGGAGTCGTCAAATACCACCGGTATTTGACGACTCCCTGCTGCACAGTCATGGCTGCTAAAATCCAGAGGTCATGTAAAAAATGACTTCGTATCATGAATAATGTACATGTAGATCTACATGTACGCAGAGTCAGTTTGCGGACTTCCCGTCACTATCTCGTCCGCCCCAGGATACCTGATAAAGGCTGATTCACTCACATCTTCTGCTACATGAACTGTATCAGTGTGAGAAAGAACTTTGAAGAAGACGAGTTCGACCATACAATAATGTATTGCAATGAGTTGTACCCTGCTTTTCATTGAAAACACTATCTGCAGTGCATGGCCTCCAACTTCAAGCCCTTTACCATGCAGACCACCAGGACTGATCAGGTGCATTGTACACAATTGTGTAGCCTATATACTAGAACTGTGGTACAATCATGTAGTTATGCTCTAGATCCTACCTCCGAAAGGATGCCAAATTGTGCTCCAAATTTTCAACCACCAAATTATGCCAATGCCGCCATAATCCGCCGGTGCCTAGTCAGGGATCAGTACTTTCCTATGCAGAAGTCCCGTATTTTCACTTTTCAGGGCAACTGAAGGCACAAATCACTGTACTAGTACATGTACATGTACACACACTGGGAATGAGTACAGAAAAAAGCTCGAAACTTCGAAAACTTGGACGCGAAGTTGCAGTGATTTGCGAAAGTAACTTTCTCTTTTCTCGGTACGCATTTGACTACAGGGAGTAGTAATTTTACAGCCCCTGCTTGCGACTGAGCTGCATATACGATACGGTACTAAAAGATTCAAATAATTTCGAGAAAAAGTAATTTCGCATTGCTAAACCTCACATGTTTTCTTTTTCAAAATAGATATTCGCGAAATATCACCACCACTGAAAATTCGAATTTTCGCATTGCTAAACGTCCTTATTTTTGGCTACTTTTCGGACCGGTTTTTGGAAGAGCCTTCAAAAATCGGACACTGTCCGAAAAATCGGACGGTTTGGCAGCACTGCATTCGTACACACGCTGATCTGCATGCGGATATGCATGCTTCATGCGAATATATGCTGTCATCATCAAAATAAAAAAAGCAGGGATGCCCAGGGCCAGGGAGCCCTACACATACCGGCATATGTAGGGCTCCCTGGCCCTGGGCATCCCTGCTTTTGATCCAGTAGAGCACTAAAACCTTTTTTTTTAGTATTCCCATATCTGTACATTGTACTTTTTTAAAGGGGAAGTTAAGGCAAACATTAAAATTTCACCAGTTGTAGTCTTCGGGGTGCTGAGTCGAATGGTCGTGGTCCGAGGAAGCTGAGACGCTCCCTTCCTACTTGAATCCCAATCGAACTCGCGCACTTCCACCGAAACTGGGTGACTGCGCCCTACTAGATGGGGATTTGTATGCAAAATGTCACTAAAAGCGCCATTTCGTTCTTATAAAAGCACGGATGACCGCGATTGGCCCATATGTTGTAGTCTTTTGGACGCTGAGTCGACTGGTTTTGGTCCGAAAAGGCTGCAATGCAGCGTTCCTCCTTTATTCCCAATCGAACATGGTTGAACAAGCGGTCCCGTGCTCCTGCGTACGCCAGTCACCTGGTCACCGTGGCTGCAGGGTACAACTTACTAGCCTGTTTGACCTTTTTTGGGTGCAGTCCTGTCACTCGAGTTGAACCTTGGTGTGAAAGTTGTCGCCTGCTGGCGTGGTGACCAGGTGATTTGGGCACCCAGGAGCACGTGACCGCTTGTTCAACCATGTTCGATTGGGAATAAAGGAGGAACGCTGCATTGCAGCCTTTTCGGACCAAAACCAGTCGACTCAGCGTCCAAAAGACTACAACATATGGGCCAATCGCGGTCATCCGTGCTTTTATAAGAACGAAATGGCGCTTTTAGTGACATTTTGCATACAAATCCCCATCTAGTAGGGCGCAGTCACCCAGTTTCGGTGGAAGTGCACGAGTTCGATTGGGATTCAAGTAGGAAGGGAGCGTCTCAGCTTCCTCGGACCACGACCATTCGACTCAGCACCCCGAAGACTACAACTGGTGAAATTTTAATTTTTGCCTTAACTTCCCCTTTAAAGTGTATCTTTTCGACTTTTACAACAAAAAGCATAAGTACAGCCAGACCTCGCATAACTGCACACATCCGTTTTCGACAAAAATATCCGGATGGGCGAGGGAACCGGGTCCTCACCAGGTACGCCCAATCGCAACCGCAAGCAGCGCACACGGCGTTCACGCAAGGGCTGAAAGGCAAGTGGACATTCCTCGTTCACACCATGCCAGAAGCGACGGAGAATTTCCAGCCACTGGAGGAGATTATCCACGACGAGTTTATCCCCGCGCTCACAGGACATCCCGCTCCTGATCAGACCACCCGCACTCTCCTCGCTCTGCCTTGTCGCCTAGGGGGGCATGGGTCTAATCAACCCGTGCGATCTCGCTAGCCAGTTTGATGACTCCAGGACTATCACGCAGCCATTGGTGGAGCGGATCACTGCGCAGAACACCGACCTAGGCGATGTTCACCACATCATGAAGGCAGAGAAGGCGAAGGTGAGCAGGATCCACTCCGTAAGGGAGAAGGAGACCCTGGGCGCTGTGGAAGTGAGCATTGCTTCGGACTTAAAGCGGTCCAGGGAGCTGGCGGCGGAGAAGGGTGCCTCATCGTGGCTGAGATACAAACCACTGAAGATGTTTGGCTTCATGCTATCCAAGGGCGCATTTCACGATGCGGTTTCACAGCGATATGGCTGGCCTCTGAAGCGGTTGCCCTCGGCTTGCAGCTGTAGAAAATCATTCACCATGGCCCATGCTCTCTCCTGCTCAACCGTCGGCTACCCTAGCCTCCACTACAACGAGATACGCGACCTCACAGCATCCATCATGAAGGAAGTTGCGCACCAAGTTGTGAACAGGAGTTCGCTTTTCATTTGTTTCTATGAGGCAGGCGTGTACTAAACTGTGATATAATTACATTTCTATTCTTTTTCTGGAATTCAGGACCACTATAATCACACACTGTTGAGGCAAATACACTGGAATCAATAACGAGAGACGATCCTTTCTTCGCATATTTCTGAAAACAGTGAGTAAACGAGGCCGATAACCTAACATCATTTTGACATAACTTTATGATGCTGACGTAGTGTAGTAGCTAGTGCGATGCAAATAGCAAGAAAAACTCCATCATTTTCGGGCCAATTTTGCAAAATTTAAATTTCAAAGCATTTTTGAACCATATCGAATCGGTGTTCGGAATACCTGTTTCGTCTCCTCACACAGAAGCCTGAACTTTCAACCAGTGTATTTTTGCTGATAAATCTACCCTGACATGTTCTGATACCATGGGAATTACTGACATGATTGCAAGAAGCAACAGATGAAGGTTGGAAGCATTTTATTGTCCTCAATGTAAACCTGTCTCTTTCAGAACGCCTTGTCCGGGCTACTTCGAGGGGCCATAACCCCTCCAAAGCGCCCAATTACACTAGAACCCTAATATATTGATTTTCTCCAGGACACCCATAGCACTGCAAAAAAGGTGCTTATTGTCGGAGAAATATGTGCAAGAACGACGATTTCGAATTTTCTGAAGAAAGTTATAGGGCTTTTTAAAGCTCAATGAAATCCAGTCGCGTCACTCAAGTACGCGCCGGGCGTTGTGCAGCCCTAAACCTGCGAATACTGGGCTGCGAAATGATGCAGGGCGCCGGGTACAAACTGGCATGAAGCGACTGGATTTCATTGAGGAGGACTGTGCTGTGCATGTAATACCGTCTTTACATTCAGTAACTTTTCTCAAATCTAGGCTGCGCATTTTATACTCCGGATATAGCAAGAAGGCAGCAATGCCTGTACCCATGGCGAAGTAAAGTACCGTAAAGTACCGTTGATCCGCCCCCACGCCATGCCGCTTCCCAGCTGGGTTTTCGGCAGGGGGCGGGAATTAGATCAAGGCTGTCAAGTGCAGTACGATGTACAACAACGTAGAGGATCAGACTCGATGTGCTGGATTGTGCACATTTTGATCCTGGATTGGCAAGTATTGTGTACAGCAGTGCATGCGTCGGTTCAACATCGTATTTCGTTGTATACGCCGAAGTCGCTTCATAAGGAGAAAATCGACAGGGGGCGGGAATTAGAGAGGGGGCGGATCAACGGTACTTTACGGTAAAGGTAACATAACATACATGTACCTTGAATTGCCAAAGCCTTGGTCAAAAAAGGGGGGCATATTATTACTTTAGCGATAATGATTGGTGAAAAGTCTAGAACCATGCTGACTCATTGTGAGTATCCAGAGTGTTTATTTTGTCCGTATTATAATAATTATTAGGGAGGTTCTGCTATACGTGAAACGTAGAGAAATCACGTAGAGAGCAGGTGTCTGGGTTAGAGTCTACGGCTTCGCGTGTTTTGGCTCCAGATTTCTACGCGGAGATGGGGTTCTCTACGTTGTGGCACACGCAGAGAAAATGCGTACGGATTTGCTAGGTATCGATCAACTGCATGCAGAAAACTGCCAAATATGGAAGGGGAAATTCCCAGTACACATTCCACGTGACTTCTCTAGGTGAAACGTAGAGCAGAACAGCATTTCTTTACGTTACGGGAACGCGAAGAAAGTTCGCGTGATTCTTTGCGTCGCGTTCCCAAAACGTAGAGCACAACCTCCCTAATATTGTGATGCATGACCCTCATTTGATTTTTCATATGAGCTACTGCAGTATATGCGTGCTGTATAATTAATTTAGTTATAAAAAGAGGCTTGCTACTACTAGTACAAGTAGTATGCTGATTCATGACTCAGAGACTACTACTATAGTATGCATGAGTATGTGATTGTGATCAAGAATAAAAATACAATGTATAAAATTAATTAATTATTTACTTACCTACTTGCTGGTATGGCCTATCTAGGCTATGACTGTGATCTTGATTGTGATAAACTACTCAGCTCAGCTCATAATAAGGACTCTTGTCTTGATAATAGCGTAAATACTAAAGTAAAAAATACTAGTACAGTACTAATAGTCTTATCAACTCAACTACAAAATTCGAAATACCTACAAGTACAAGAATAGTACAAGTTCGAATTTTATTGAAAGTCATATTTATACGACTCTTTGGCCCTATGCCACAGTCATTTTGAATCATTTCCGCGGGAAACATAAATACAGTGTAGATGTACGTGTACATAATAGAGAGGTGCTTGAGGAATACTATATTCTCGCTTTGCCATTCGTTCTCGACTCCTGTCGCTCAGTTTGTCGAAGGATCGAGGATCGAGTACTAGTACCCGACTTCAAGCCTGTTTCCAACATAATCCTTCCCTTTACCTGCGCAGAGTTTCAGCGAAGTTGAGGTACGTTCATGTGCGGCGACTTTCTATTTTGCCTGAGGAAAATGTTCAATTGATTTCTCCTCTCACCGTTTCATCGTGAAGATCCTCATCTTGGAGGAGCCTGAACAGATACGTATCGATAGTTCTGCATGAATTACTTATACATTCTTAGGAGTAAGAGAAAAGGTGGTTTGTCAACTGACAACCGCTCTACTCAATTGCTATTTGCACAGTAATGTTAAAACAAAGTGCTGAAATATTTCAAACCTGCTGTTATTGAATTCTGAAGAAAAAAATAATGTTTGTGGCTAGTCGAACTGTACTTCATCAGAGTTATTCAGTTCCAAGAGAACACTCTGGCTTATAACAGTGATAAAACAGTGCTTCAAAGTAGAAATACAGCCCAAGAAAGTCATTAATTTTCTTTAATATCAGCATTATAGTAGCAGTGGTGAGGCTTCCTGCAGCTTCATTCATAGGAAAAAAGGTTTTATTATTATTGAATAACTGTAATACGGGTATACATGTAACCCAAAGGCAATTTGTGTGTGTGTGTGTGTGTGCCAGCTAGTTCGGTTGGTAGGTACACTTATGCCTGATTGTGTTGGGTCTGTTGCCAACAGGCTCGGCTGCTTGAAGGTGTAATGTTGTACCTGCCACCTTTTTTGGTTCCAGGGTTCATATACTTTCTATTTGAAGTATACATACCTGTTAACCATGGACTGCTTCTGGCTAGATTAACTCTTGTGTAATCAATTGTGCTAGTGAAGCTTTTATCAGATCCACTCTGATTTAGCCACTCACACTAGTAGCAAGTATTACCTTCACTGGGGGCAGGGGTAACTGCAGTTGGATCCCGGGACGGATACCCTGATGCCGTCAATCCTTTTTCTGCACCTTGTCCTCACCCACTTACTGAGGTGTGGTGAGCCCATAAGTGGGATCATTTTCAAGTCCACCCAGAGTTTTGGGGACTTCAGGGGGTGTCGGCCGTTGGGCGGTTCAATAGCCAATTGAGTCATCTTTCCAAGATTCCTTTTGAGTCTCTCTCCCCTCTCCCGGGGAGACTCACGTGACCAGTTTTGGCAGTGAGCAACAAGTAGTACAGTACAAGTACAGTGTGTGTGTGTGTGTGTGTGTGTGTGTGTGTGTGTGCATGCGTGTGTGCGTTTGTGTTGGTAAAGTGGTGTGGTAAGTCGAACAGCAGTGCCAGTAACTGATAACGGCAGACATGGAGTCGGATGGAGAAGTCGGTTCTGTCAAGCTTTCCAGCGAAGACTTGGTTGGCGAGGGCCATCGTCACATGCTGTGCAATGACCCAAAAGCTGCAGCTGATTGCTTTGCCAAAGCGTGTGACCTTATGTGAGTTGCTTAGTTACCTATTATAGGCTATACCATAAAGTAGGGTGGTTTCGCATCTTTGTCATGTGACTAATTTTGTGTGGAACGCAGTAGTAAGAAGTCTGGAGAATAATGTTGAAGAGTTGCTGCTAGGATGACCGTTACATCATAGCTTAATGGTGGAGCATCACTGGCCGTAAGCGAGGGTCCCTGGTTCGAGTCATGGTGGTGACAGTCAATTTTTTTCTTCGGGCTTTCCCGTTTCAACTCCCTCAACCTTATGAATAAGTTAGGACATGTAGTAGTGAAGAAATCAGTAGTAGTATATTTTTATCTTCCATCAGATGCCTCGCCAGTGATGAACCCAACTCTTATAACAAAGTAGGGGGTGGACTGAGAAAAGGAAAAAAAAGCCGAGTATGTAGGGGGTAAATTTAAGAAAGCCCATAAGGAAGCCAAGTTAACCGAGGCACATAGTGAGTACAGTCATACAGCACAGGTGACGTGATTATGGCATGTGCACATTGGCAAAATGTGCCTTCTCACTGGGCGTATTGCCACAGTTCTGGCAACATGATGAAGATGTCTTGACGACAAGATGGACATGGCTGGTGTAGGGTTGTATAGGACATGCGTGCTAGCCAAGGAAGATGTGATGGCATTGTGCGTTTTTTTGCTTCGTTTGTCTGCATTGTGTATGTGTGTGTGTGTGTGTGTGCGTGCGTGTGTGTTGTGTTGTGTCAACAGCGAGAAAGAGAAAGGAGATTTGGCGGACGAGATTGCCCCTGTTTACATACACTATGGCCGAGCACTGTTGGATATGATCAGGTGTGTACTTTCTCCAGCTATGGAATACATGTAGTACTATTGTGTGTGTGTGTGTGTGTGTGTGTGTGTGTGTGTGTGTGTGTGTGTGTGTGTGTGTGTGTGTGTGTGTGTGTGTGTGTGTGTGTGTGTGTGTGTGTCTCTCTCTCTCTCTCTCTCTCTCTCTCTCTCTCTCTCTCTCTCTCTCTCTCTCTCTCTCTCTCTCTCTCTCTCTCTCTCTCTCTCTCTCTCTCTCTCTCTCTCTCTCTCTCTGATTTAGCCACCCACACTAGTAGCAAGTATTACCTTCAATGGGGGCAGGGGTAACTGCAGTTGGATCCCGGGACGGATACCCTGATGCCGTCAATCCTTTTTCTGCACCTTGTCCTCACCCACTTACTGAGGTGTGGTGAGCCCATAAGTGGGATCATTTTCAAGTCCACCCAGAGTTTTGGGGACTTCAGGGGGTGTCGGCCGTTGGGCGGTTCAATAGCCAATTGAGTCATCTTTCCAAGATTCCTTTTGAGTCTCTCTCCCCTCTCCCGGGGAGACCCACGTGACCAGTTTTGGCAGTGAGCAACAAGTACAAGTGTGTGTGTGTGTGTGTGTGTGTGTGTGCGTGCGTGTCGAATGAAAAATAGGGATTCACTGGCCAGAAAAGTCACTTCAATCAGCTGTGTGGTGGATACCAGGCTAAAAATAGTGGCGGTCAATTCATCAGCCTTGCAAGCTGTTGAATGGTGTAATCCCAGCACAAGTTGCTATGTCTAACATAGCTGTTCGCTATCATCGCTTCCGCGATGGGCAGGTCTGAGGTGTGCGTGTCGGTGTGTGTGTGTGTGTGTGTGTGTGCGTGTGTGTGTATGTGCGTGTCGGTGTCTGTGTGTCTATGCCTCTGTCTCTGATTTTCAAACCTGGAGTACATGTTGCGTGTCCATGGCAGCAGAGAACATGTCCCCAGAAATCCGGCCAGGCCAGAATGTCACCGTTCAACATTGGCAACATCAGCTTCGGCAACTGCACCGGTGTCCAAGCAGGAGTGCGATTGGGTGACATACAGAGATGTCCAGCTGCCATGTGGCCTCCGCAGCAGCACGTGCCTTCAAGGCCTTCCGCTCGCCGCAGCCAAACATCTTCGCGATGGCCCAGTCCAGAAACATTGCTGAGAACAAGGCACCCATTCCTTCCGAACTTCGGAACAATAAGTATATGGCTATTACAGTTAGAGCCCAGAGGACCTCTGCTTTCAGCGTCTCCCTGTCCGTGGCGAATTGCACCAATGTTGAGCTTGAAGGAGCAGCTGACACTGCAGCAGAAGACGACAGCAGGGACGGTCTCATGCCAACTCATGACCTGGGGCAGGAACTCATCTCACGGTGTTTCTTTCCGACAGCATGGCTGTTAAGAGCAGCTTCGCCCATGGCAGCGATTGAGAACGTCGCTTTGCACGGTTTACAACGAGCACGGTGCTTGTCCGTATCGCCAGCCAGCCGTGTTCGATTGATTCTCTCTGGTCCAGTCTTGGTTTACTTGGCGAGAGCGCAGTCATTGACTCTCCACAGGCCTCGCCAGCCTCCTGTACTTGGATGCCGGGTTAGAAATGCCATCATGCTGCATGTGCTGATCTATTTCTCGTCCCGTTGACCTTCCATGCTCTACTTTATTCCTGTTTTGTCTCTGTTGTCCAGGCTTCAAGCCACCGTCTTGGGAGAGAAGCTGCCAGCTGCTGGTTAGTTGTGCCCGGGCTGGCTAGTGACTGTGCCTTTTGCAGTGCATTCGTCCCAACTAGGCATTCATACTGACTGTATACGTGGCAGATACAGTGAACAAAACTGCACACCCCGCATACTATTGCGCCGTGCTATTCTTCCTTGCAACTTTGAAGATAGAAAAGTCCCAGGAAAAGGAGAGGTTGGTGCGACTTCGGCGATACTTGGGGACCAACACACAATTCCCCAAGGAAAAGGAGTTGGACAATTTCCAGGTTTAGCCCGCGAATCCACCTTTCTGAAGGGCCTGTATGCTACATTGCATTCAGGAAAGGTGGACCCTGGCTATTTGGGTTGTCTTCATGTATGCTATTATTGGTTGAGAACCCACGCCATGTCAAGAACTCTTTCACTTTCTTTGTGCCTTTTTTTGTACCACTGTCGAAGCTGCTCTTGCCTGTGTCCTAATTTCTTGAACTAGGCAACGAAAAGGATGACAGCAGTGAAAATGGCCAGGAAGGAAAAGAGCCAGCAGAAGGTTCCAGCGCAAACGCAGGTATTTGCCTGGTCCAGTGCTAGGTGGTTTGAAATTGTATCTTTCTGTCATTTGCTGTCCTGACAATACCTTGAGCCCTTTGCTAAGTAGTTCTTGTGCTCCTGTTCGAATCTGGCCTTCTGCCTTTTGGCTCTCAGACTCACTGACGATGATTATTGACCTACGTGTGTGCACTTGTGTGTTTATGTACTGTATGTGGAAAGAAGACAAGGCAGAAGATGAACCTGCTGCAAATGATGTTGATGACAATGAGGAACAGGAGGAGGCAGGAGAAGGACAGGTATGTGCAAGAGTACATGAAAACCAGAGTGTGCGGCTTGGGGCCTTTTCTACTATGGGTGTCTGTCACGGCGGAATTCCGTGATTACATCATATTTGGCGCAGATCTGAAGCGGGAAATGGCGTAGTGCGTACAACTGAGCTGCAGTTGTGCAGAAAGAGACCTGCTTGAATTCTGCTTGTACGCACTACATCACTAAAATCATTTAATCACGGAATTCTGCCGTGACAGCAGCCCATCCGAGCTGCACACTCTGGTTTTCATGTACTCTTGGTATGTGTGACTCTCGAATCCTGCAAAATTCATGAATATCTCCTGATGATTATGCTTCAGTGACAAAAGAAATTCAGTGATTTGCCGCAGACAGCGAAGCCACATGGAATGCTGCTCGCTGTGGTGTGCTGTGCATTCGTGTACCTGTGTGGGTGGGCGTGTGTGCGTGTGTGTGTGTGTGTGTGCGTGTGTGTGTGTGCCTTGCAAGCTGTTGAATGGTGTAATCCCAGCACAAGTTACTATGTCTAATATAGCTGTTCGCTATCATCGCTTACGCGATGGGCATGTCTGAGGTGTGTGTGTGTGTGTGTGTTTGCGCGAGGGATTCACTGGCCAGAAAAGCCACTTCATAGCTGTGTGGTGTAGACCAGGCTGAATAGTGGTGGTCAATTCTTCAGCCTTGCAAGCTGTTGAATGGTGCAATCCCAGCACAAGCTGCTATGGCTTCTGCTGTAGCATCCCTATCATCGCCTCCGGCGATGGGCGTCCAATGGTGTGCATGTGTGCGGTTCTCTTATCGTGTTGTCTGCGCTGTACATACGTGTGTGCAATTCTGCGTACACACGTGCTGTGCATACCTTTCTGTTCACTTGCGGTGTGTGGTTATCTGTGTATGGTTTGTGCTTGGCAGGAGGTGGAAGAAGACGACAATCTGATGCTTGCCTGGGAGATTCTGGACACTGCTAGAGTTATACTACGCAAGTAGGTCACATGATGTTTATTTGTGTATGCGTGTGTGTGGGGGGGGGGGGGGGGGTATGTGTATTTGTTGCTGGGTAGTTAACGCAGTGTCTTGTATTAAAGCCTGTCTCATATAGAAGTCTGTTTTGAATAGAAGCCTGATTGTCAAGATACACTGTCGGCACGTAAGTCTGGTTTTACTGTTGACAGTTACATAGAAATACCTGTCTTGTATAGAAGCCTGCAGAATTTCCCCCAAAAAGTCATATAAGCCGCGGCTTTTATACACGACTTCACGGTAGGTGTGTTTGGTGGTGGATAAGTACTAGGTTGATGTGTTTGCTGGTGGGTTGGTGGGTATGGGGTCCGTAGTCAGGGGAAACCATCAGCTGTCGATCCCGATCTGATACAAGCACCTAGGACCGATCTCTTGTCCTGGACTGTCTAAAGCCAACACTCGCTTTCCGTGTGCTCTCTCTCTCTGCCTCTATACCTCACTGCAGGCGTCCTAATGATAAAGAGAGCCAGTATCAACTTGTTGACGCTCTGCAGTTGATTGGAGAATTGTCTACTGAGAAAGGTCAGTATCGCACCTCACCGTTGTGCATAAAACATTACTCATAGGGACGCATAGCCAAAGTGCTGGGAAGATTACCGTATTTCCCTCGGATGTAAGTCGCACCTCTTTACACTAAACTTCAGGAGCAAAGAAGGAGGTGCGACTTCCTGCCGATGTGAATGTATTGAAACAATTTGGCTCAGACCTGGAAATGGGTTGCGCCTTATAATCAAGCTCGTCTTGTAATCGGGGAAATACAGCCTGCGTTGATTGACAATGCTGTTTTAGATACATTTTTTACTTTTTAGTTCTGGGAGGCAGTCAGTACAATGGTTATCAAGCACACTCCTGATCTCACATCTTTTTTTTTCTCTCTCTCTCTCTCTCCTTCTTTCGCTCTCTCCCACAACCCCCTCCTTTCCTCTCTGTCTGTCTGTCTTTCTCTCTGTTTCTCTCCCTCTCTCCCACTGAGAATAACAAACCCACACGTGTCCTTGTTATATGTATCTTGAAACAAGATGTTGAGATCTCTCTCCCTCCCCTCGTCTCTCCCTCCCCTCGTCTCTCCCTCCCCTCGTCTCTCTCTCTCTCTCCCTCCCCTCGTGTCTCTCTCTCTCTCCCTCCCCTCGTCTCTCTCTCTCTCTCTCTCCCTCCCCTCGTCTCTCTCTCTCTCTCTCTCTCTCTCTCTCTCTCGCTGCTGGCCGTGTTATGGCACATCAGGAAACTTAGTATTGCTTTTCTCTTCGCCACCACCATCAGCTCACATCTGGCACTTAGTTCACGGGTGGTTGATGGTGATATCTCACATGGTGATCGGATGATCGAACCTGCTATGCAGGATGTCATCCTTCAGCCATCCTAGGTATCAGGTGTGAACTAGTGGCGGTCCGTGGGTTGTTGATGGTGATGGCGGTGAGAGAAAACAATGCTGATTTGACATGGCAGAACAGCGCTCGTGGCTAAATAGATGGAGCATCATTAAATGTGCTTGGCTGGCTTGCTTGTGGAACACAGCTCCTGCCGCGCTGGTTCTGTTCTAATATCCACTAGAGAGGCCCATGATTTTACTGTTAAGGCAGTGCTGATTCTGAACATCAGGACATTAGCTTATGAGCAGCTGGACTTTTTGATCTTTGTCGGATCTGTGTGATTTTTCTTTGGTTACTTTGCATGGTGTTCTTCATTCTGCAGAGGATTTCGAAGCAGCTATCAATGACTTGAACGCGGCCCTGGAACTGTGCTCTAAGCTTGAGCCGGAGCACAGTCGCATGATTGCCGAAATGTATCCTGCCCTGCTTGAGCTTTGTAGCTTGAGACCTGCTTTGTGGTGTGTGTGTGTGTGTGTGTGCGTGCGTGTGTGTGTGTGTGTGTGCGTATGTGTGTGCGTGGGTTGCGTGCATGTGAGAGAGTCGTTACTGTTGTTGCTGCTGCTGTTTGCTCCTTGACCTTGCAATACTGTGGACAGTAACTACACACTGGGGTTAGCCCAGTCATTGGGTATGCATACCAAGGATGCTATCAAGGTGAGTCTGAACAACACTTTGTTTGCTTTCAGGATATCGCAGCCACGATTGCGTACTGGAAGACCACTTTTATTAACGGACATTAAAATGTGTGATCTTACAGTAACGGGCCATATATGCTGGTGGGAGAATGCACACCGCCTGTGTAAACCAAACTGAATGTTCGCGTTGCTGTGTCCTGTGCTCCGTTTTTGTTTGGTGTACTGTCGCGTTGTGCAGAGTTACGAAGACGCCATTCGCTGCCTGAAACTGAATGTCGGTAAGTAAAACGTGCAATGGACGCATTGTGTGTACTGCCTAGCTGTTGCGCAACGTTGCGTAGCGATATGACAGTGTGGGGGTTGCGCCAGAGCAACGGCATGTCAGCTTGTCAGCCCCTGTGTAGTTGTCTACGTGGCCCCTGTGTAGTTGTCTACGTGGCCCCTGTGTAGTTGTCTACGTAGAATGATGTCAGTGGGTACTAAGCAATGGCCTTCTCCTTGGCAGTTCTTGTGGTCATGTTGCGAAGAGACACTGCTGAATGGTAGCTCCACCGAGTGGCTGTGTAGCTAAGTATCGTATAGTTATACGAGTAGCAGTGAGCGGACAAGGTAGAAATGGAATGTTAGCTGCAGTCTGGCAAAAACTGTTTTTTCCATGAAGGTCACCTGCAACTATCTATCAGTCTGGTAGTCTGGTAGTCTGCCTGTTGCTGTAGATGAAGCAAGGCTGCAGTGCGGTCTTGATGAAGGGGCCATGCATTTGAAACTGTCTGCTTGCGAACGTCCATGCCATGATGGCACTGCTGTTTTATCATGTGTATGTGTTTGTCATCGATACTGTGCAGATCACCAGAAGAAGACAATAGAAGAGGCGCAGAGCTTCGGTATGGACTCCTTGTTTCAGTTTGTCATTGTTATACACAGATGCAGTGCACGGCCTTAACCTGCTATCGTACCCAATGCCTGTGATGTGCAGAGCGCAGTACACAAGAGCTACACACAGGAAACAACGGATGTCTGATGATTGGTTGTTACCATGACAACTCTGAGTTACAACAACAAAAGCCCCCCTTTCCTCTGTGTAGCTCTTGTGTCGTTGTTATACGCGATGTTTGCGAAATAGTTAGGGGTGCAGCAATAAGAGTTCTTGTCTTTTGGTTAACCTCTCGTTGTCACGTTTCGATTACTCCTGCTTCTCTTCTAAGGCTGTGAAACAACCATTCTGGCCATGTCTTCCCTTTCGGCTATCCCGCGTTTCAGCTTTAAAACCTTATTAAAATACACACAACGAGTTCTTCTGTTGCCTGGCTAAATAAATTATGTCAACTAGTGCCGTTTCTTTGCGCAAAAGTGGTCAAAAATTGCAAATCACAAAATCAGGCTGATTTCCAGCCAGACACTGTTATCTAATACAGATCGACTACCAACATCTAATCAACAGTACGATCTTCTTTTTGTAACGATCGGTATAGTCGTTTCAGCCCCACAGTTAACCATTGAATCGCCAGATGATCACCAGTGCTTTCAGTCCACATGCTTTATGCTATCTTCAAGGCGTGAAATGAATTTTAGAACGCTCGGGTAGGTTCGATCCAAATGGGAGTTAAGATAAGATAATTCGTTTCGCTACTTCAAGGTGTCGAATGTTCATCGATGCATGCGTAGGTACATGCAGTCCCATGCTTGTACTGCAAATCGCAATGTACATGTATGTCGTGCAGAGCTCAGCTAGCCACCCTCGGCCCCAGGTCCCCATTACAGGTAACAGCAGCTATTCAAAAAAGAAAGTGATCGCAGATGGTTGTTTCACGAATATGATGGGGTGCTTGTGTGGACATTTGTGGGGGCTTTATTTGTTAAGAATAGCTTGTGAGTTCGTCAGAATGTTTCGTTCGCCTCTGCTGGGGTTTGTTTCAGGCCTGCAGTATCTTGTGTCTGAATCTAGGAGATAAAGTTGCATGCCTGCTCCATTTTACTTTTCACTTCATCTTATCACATTTTCATCTTTTTTGCTTTAGATGAGGAGATGAAGACAGAGGTCACCAAGAAAGCACAGAGAAGCATTGACCAGATCAATGACATCTTGCCTGATCTTCTATCAAAGGTACTGGTCGGCCGACTCCTTCTTCTCCACTGCTACTAAAGCAAAAAGAAACAGATTCAGTAATCATATTGATACTAACCACCAATGCAAAGAAACGGCAAGCGGAACACAATGTCATTGATCTGTCTAAACAACAAGGGTGGTTAGAGCACATTTATCTTTAGCTAACACTAAGACAGCATGGACGCATAACAGCAAACCAGTTGGGCACAGACCGCAGCAAGACATCCCACCTCATGCTCTAGAGATCATCCGGCAATCATTCACGAAACGGGATCGCCGTGATCGGTATGATGACCAACAGCCACGCAGGCAGGTGATGCGCCACCGAAGCAAACAAAATCAAAGGCGGCAACGCGAATGACTAAGAATAACAGAATATACTAAATCCGCACTCTTCTCCATGATCATGAACTCCTCCTGCTAGTACTACCAGTACTTCAAGTATGCACTGGGCTTGATGTGGCATGTAACCTAACCTTTATCCTCCCAACATTCCAATGTTGGAACTGAATTGCAAGTATTATTTTTTATTCATCCATTTTAGCTTCAGTGGTCAGTAAATTTAGAAGCTAGCTATGTGGAGCCGACAATACTTATAAAAAATGTTCACTGATCTAGCTCTGCTGCCTTTTTAGCAAATTTGGTATACGTCACATTTGCTATTGCGTTTTCAAGAAATCCCAGTAAACCTTCGGTTCTTGCATGTATCAAGATCTGAATGACAAATAACCAGTTGAGTTGTGTCCTACACATTGAGCTTTCCCCATGAAACAATTCTCAAGAAAATTATTTGATCCGGTTACAAAATATCTCCCTTTGAAAATTGTGTGTTCCCGCATGTGAACGTTGGGAGCGGCCGGGCGTACTAAAAGATACCTCAAACCAGGGGCTTTCCAAGTCATCACCTCTTCACCCCAAACTGGATAAATTGCCGCGTACGCTCGGGGAGAGTTGTGGTAGCTCGTGATAGTGTACCCAGGTGCAGAGCCTTGTACGCTTAAAAGGAAGGAAACAAAGCGTTTTTGCTCTGAATCTTGAGTTTCACGGTTTTACCGATCATCAGACGGCAACTGACTACAATTTGTTGAAGGTGTGATTGATATAGTTCGCAGTAAGCTTGGGTGATATAGCGCGAGTGAATGACATGGGTCAATAGTGTGACATGTACATGTGCGAGTTGGGTGCGGTGACATAAAATAGGCGCAAACAGGATACTCTTAAGGCTTTAGGCGCATACAACCACATTGTCTTCAAGTGTTAAAGGGAGGCGAGGGGAAAGACAGCGGGATGTTCATGAGCGTTCAAAGCAGCGTCTCACCTGCGAGGTGTGAACAGCTTATATGTATGTGATGGCCGATGGCGAGAATTTAGAGAGGTGGTACTGCATGCCTTCATGCCTGCACTTGCTGACCAGCTCAGATCTCGTGTTGATATTGACACGCCTGTCTGCCTGCGTGAGTTCTAGCTTCTCTCTTAGGCACAGGAGATGTCGCTTAGTTATGTTGCTGTACGCTGGGGCCTGGGCGATAACTGACCAACCAACACTATACTCGCTATTTTGACGCTTCGGGTTCCAGGCACACTTTGATAGTTCCTTGGTCTTATCCAGTCCCTCATTTATTATATATTTATTTCTGCACCTCGTAGCATGTCAAGGCAGCCAATTGAATTGAGGATGGTTGGCATGTCTTCGTGAACGGTGGCTCCGTAAGCCCGAAATAATCTTTTTGTTTGTCCTCTCCGGTTTAAATACTGAGATGGTAACCTTGTACACGATGGCCCTGCTATGGCAGTTGCCGTCCAATGGGCACTGTGTTTTGTCGCTGCAGTTGTATCGTTTTGAACAGTATGGAATATGGAGTCTGTTGTTTCTTATTTACATGCTTGTGCGTCTGGTGTGTGTGTATGTATGCATGTGCACGTGTGTCTGTGTGTAGCTGGAGGATCAGCGCAGCGTGGCACCATACGCGCAGCACTCCACGCAAGAGGCACTTTATCATGCCCTGATGGCGGTAAGAACGCTGGCTCTTTCTTGGCGCAGCGCGTTCTCCCCTTTCCCGCATGCATGCACACACTTGATATGTTGTAAGCGTTGTGCTGAAGATACCTCACTCGTACTGACGGCATGATATGTATGTCGCCACGGTGGTGACATGATTGTTGCAAAAGAAGGATCCACGAGCGGGATTCGAACCCAGCACCCCTGTCTTTCCGGGACAGTGCCCTAGCGATTAGGCTACCGGGGATCACACACACCTGGCTCCGTCTTGCTACATGATGTGTGTGTGTTGCCATGGATACTTTGCACAGTTTCGCCACGCACAGCATGAAACCATCGCCGCTCTAAAGCCGACTTCACATCAGGGAATTTGTGGAAGGGGACATGAACAGTCATATTGCTCAAGCGGCAAGCGATAAAGCAACGGTAGCCCATCCTTGGGACGAATTGCTTTAAAAAATTAAATGCACGGGTCGCTCAAAAGCACTTAGAAACATTACCTAAAAGAACTCCGTGCATCCAGAGTAATTCTTAAGTTCTCCAAGAGCGCCCATTTCACCACCACCACCCCACACCGCGCACGCACACAAACACATTTTGCAGATCTTGAATCAGTGTACACACTTCATAGTTCATACTCACTTTGCCATTGTGCTGCATGCACTGCACTCTGTAGTAGAGGACCACAATGTGTGGTAGGGGCCCGATGGGATGCCGTACGTGGAGATATGTCTCATACAAGTAGCCTGTATATACCGGCAGTTACCATTCGGGTTGGATTCGATAGGGCTTCAGTCTCCTTGGCCTCATTACCGTTGTCGACGTTATTTACACCAGCTTGTGTCTGTGTGTATGCGGCTGTGTGCGTGTGTGCATGTGGATTTTGTTATTCCTTTGCAGAGAACATCAGACGACGGTACCGGGATAAGCCGCCAGTCGGTGCTCCAGGCCATGGCGTCCGAAGGCTTTTCAACAGCGGCGTTCACCACTGGCAACGGTGCAGCCAGTGAGCACCCGGCCCTATCCGGCTCCAGTGCCGGCTTTGCTCCGTCCAGCATGGCCGCTTCGACTAGCACATCTGCTGGTGGTGAGGGAAATGGCACTGCCTCGACTGCAGCGGCTGCTCCTGCAGCGGCCCCCAAGAAAACTATCAGTGGTCAGGTACGGAATCATAGAAAAATAGCTCACAAATTCCTGTTGTCTGATGATCGCCTAGTGTGTGAAACTCGGAGTCACAACACATAGTACCATCAAATTCAAACCAAAATCTGCCATTTGTGGGTTTGGAAAAGGTTTGGAAAAAGTTTGGAATTTTGTGTGCTTTTTTGGTTGCGAACCCTACAGTGTGCACCAGGGCAGGTGACATTGTTCCTCCTCCTCTTCGTGTTAGCTCACAAATTCCCATTTTTCTCGTGTGCACTATTCCCATCATTGTTGTGCTCACTTGCCTAATCACCACCACCACCACCAGCAGCAGCCACGCTTGAAATAGCAATAGGGTTTGAGAGTGCTACGTCACAGCCAGCCCTGAGTCATGGCAACCTGGATCCACTTGGACCCAGCTTTTGTATGAATCCATACACGTTGGGCTGGTTGTCCTTCTTAGCATAATGATACATGCACCGGCAGTGACTTGACTGGGCCCTCCTGGTCAGGGACCCAGTTGGAACCAAAACAAACCACACCAGCATATGACCTGAGAGGGGCCTACCCACCCGGTACAGTACCTCACTATGGTCACGATGGATCCACTTTGACCCATAAGTCGTTATTTATTGACTTCTGATGGCACCACTTTCACGCCACATACTCATAACACTATTCAAGTCCATCGATCCACTCAGCCACACCGCATGAACCAGATTACATATCCGCTAGTGTGAAACTTCCCAGCTGTAAGGAAGAAATGACCCCAGAGAGGGCGGGTGGGGGGGGGGGGGCTATCTTGGACTCCCCCACAGCAGTGCCAACATTCAGGTTCCGAAAAGCACGCATCGCCTCATTAAAGGCAGGAGGGAGATTCGAATCCACCCTGGCCTCCGCCACGGACGTGCTCACTAGAACCTTGCTTTGGCACTCCACCAGAGGCACACCATTCGCTTCCATAGAATTAGGCACCATTGCCTGTTTGGCCTTGCGAAGTAAAATAAAAAACAACAACAACAAGACGAAAATGGGCATGCTTAGTTGGCCTTGGTGGTGAGGAAGTGTTGCTTTCCTTGTGTCCAGGATTGACTCATTCTCTTCTCGCTGCTAATCGTCACCGCTTTTAGTTCGCTGGGAAATGTACCAGACCCTTTTTTTACCACACTGTGTTTCTGCACTTTCCTTCTGGGAAGCAATCATACTTTCTCCCTGCCTTCTCATGTTATTTATTTCTCTTGTTCAGATGGCGAAAAGCAATGGACCTGTTAACAACATTCAACATCTTGTCAGGAAGGTGAGATACGCTTTTCATTCCGTTGCCTCCTTAGATCATGTCTCGATCTCTTTTTTCACCAAGGAGATTGAGACATGATTAATTGGCTGCAATGGAGCCTCCGCATATTGAAGATGGTACCTCCTTATATCATTGAAGATAATCTGTAGTTCTGTATCGCTGTGTTTGTGTGGAGGGCAGAGCTTGTGCCAGTGTACCTGCTGTACGCATGCGCGTGTTGCAGGCTCGAGTGTTTCTGTGCTCTTCATGCTCTTCTTCTATCTGTAGCGCAAGCCTGAAGAGGCACCTAAGCCTGAAGAGGCGCCCAAGCCTGCATCCGAGTCTGACTTGAAGGAGCCCGCGGCATCCGCTGCTGGCGACTCTGACTCTGCTCCCGCAGCCAAGCGAATCAAACTGAGTGCTGAGTCAGCGGTACAGCCACCGCCACCACCGGTCACAGAGTCCTAAACTGAGTGCCGTTGTAAGGACTGTGTGCGACAGTGTGCTACTGTCAGCACGGCAGTTGCCACAGTGGACTCATCTCCTCTGAAAATGCATCAGCTGCTTTGCTCCCCGTTCTGGTGCAATGTGGACGGGAGAGAGTGAGTGATATTCTGTGTGTGCTGGCCTTTGTCCAATCCCTCTGTGATCCTGCTGTCTCTCCGTCCTTCCCTCTCCTGTTTTCAGTTCGCGATGTACTTTGGAAATACATGTACACCAGTTAGGCTAGGGTGGATCAGGCTTTCCTCTCTTCATCGGTAGAGTCATACTTTGAATCAACTACTTTGAAGTAGTTTGTGCGCAGATTTTATTATGCCTTGCTACAGCAATGTCACCCTGGGTGCGGGTGGGCATGCGTGCAATGTGTGTGTGTGTGTGTGTGTGTGTGTGTGTGTGTGTGTGTGTGTGTGTGTGTGTGTGTGTGTGTGTGTGTGTGTGTTGGGTATCAGATCTGCATTATCAAGCTTTTTTTATGTTTCAAGTTTGTGAGATACTCATTGCTAGGCCTGTCACGTTTGCGTACCAAAGCGTCTTTCTCTCTCTTGGCTTGAACACTCCTGAATATTGTGCATACGCGCACATCTCTTTTTGGGTCCTTCCTGTTGTTGTTGTCTCCATCACTCTGAGACCATTACATGATTCTTTCTATGCTGCAACTCATCTTTTTTCCTGGTTGTGCTGTGGTGCATCTGCAGAACTTGCTTGCCGTCACTGCTGTCTTTGATGTGCATACAATGACATGCATGTACATGTACATGTGCATGTAGTATGCACCTTTTCCACACTGTTTACGGTAGTTCGAGCATCGCTGTGTTTGTACGATGGCCTTCTTTCGCCGTTGATTTTTGCTGCAAAATGGCAGTACTAGTACTGTACTAGCAAGAGTTCTGAACTCTTGCTAGTACATGTAGCAGTTGCAATTGCTCTGCGCGTCTGGCTGGGAGTTGACCAATAATCATTCATGCTGCATGGCCCACTTAGCAGCACTAACGTTACGCTCTGTTTCACTTGTGCATACGTTTCGGGCTGATTGTTTGATCCTTTGGACAATTTCCGTGTTGTGTCTGAAAGTTCAGTTCCAAATTTGAAATACACGACCAAATAAGGCTAGCTTTCATGTAGCAATGAGGGCCATTGTGCCCAGCATACCGCTATTGTGTGCTCTTTGAATTGAGGCGGAGACATAATAGAGACCTGGACATGGATGAGCCCAAGTTATTATTGAAAATAATCATTGATATAATTATTATATTTGGAGTAGTTTTTAAAAGTAGAATTCATCATTTTTAAACATTGCAAATCAGCTAGTTGTGAGTGGAGGGGCGTGATTTGCATATTTCCGCTAACATTTGTCTTATAATAATAAAATAGAATATTCCACCAGTATTTTTACTCATCCTCTTCCATCATTTCAACTCAATTGTTCAGTACGTCAAAGCGCGCTGACAGTGGAGAAGCTAATCAAGGCCAAATACATCTCGCTCAAACGTGGCTTTACAGCCCTCCTGTTGTATCCATGTCAGAACTGTCGGCATTGTACCGGACAAGAAATTAACTGTGGCGCGTGAGCCAGCATTCCACACCACACACAGCCAAGGACTGTTGCAACTGAGCGGGGAGAGCAATTGCGACTGTGGCAAGCAGAAGCACCCGGTGGACACGCTTAGACGTGCAGTATGGATGGCTGGACCTGTGTGCCGTGTAGCCTGGTCTCTCTGATGGCCATGTGTGCGGCTGCTGCAGCTGGGCCTGTACTGGCTGACGTAGCCCCAGCCGCAGGGCCTCCTGCCATCATAAGCAGCATTTCAGGTGTTGGCGTGTCTACTGGCAATGTTCGCGATGCTTTCGACTGGCGCCCGCTGTCCTGCCCGGACCCCGCTCTCTGCCCAGTGGGCTGTAGGAGAGTTGCGGTTTTACGGTGTTGCTGCTGCTGCTGCTGACTACTGCCACTGGCTGCAGCAGCTGCTGCTGCTGCAGCAATCTGCTGAGCAGTGACATGTTTCCGCGCTAACGTGAACGCCCAGTCTGGGTGAACGCTGGACATCATACCGGAGTCTCGAGACTGCCGGTCACCCACCGCCAAGTCATCTTCCCACGGTGGCTGTGCCGCCGGCATCATCCCGGACTGATTGACGGCATCGTCGCTGATGTAACGACTGCTTCGCTTGAGCCGGCGCGGTGCACTGGCGTGACTGCGTTGACTAGAGGAACGCTGCACTTTGCTGGATGCCGCTGCTCGTGGAGCTCTTCTTCTGTCTTGGGTAGTGGAACTTGCCGGTAATAATGTCTGCTCGGCTGGCAGCAATGTTCTAGCAGGCACATCATACTGATGTGAATGATGTGAATGGTGTGAATGATGTGAGTGATGTAAATTATGTGCCTGAGACAATCCTAAGCCATAATGCCTGTCTACATCCACTTCGTACCTATGCTGTGCAGGCAAGTCCTGGCGTGCCTCGGAGCTGCTCCGTCGCCGAGTTCGACCGCTAGCAACAGCTGGCGCTGCATGGTCGTGTAACTGCCGGTGCCGGCCTGCTGGTGCTGATGAAGTGTCTCGCCTGCGCGGTGTAATAACGCCATCACCATCGCGCTGTCCTGGCCCAGTCAGGCACGTAACCGGTATGGATGTTACCTGCGGACGGTAGAACGTCGAGTGCGCCAGGTCCCCTCCGGCGTAATCTTCACTGGTCAGTGTGTGTGGTACATGTACATGCCTCTCTAGCAGGTGATGGTCTCCCTGTCCTGCTGTCATACCTCCTGCTTGCTCCTTGTTGCCAGTACATCTGAACATCATTGCGCCGGCACTACTTGCTGCTGCTGCATGTGAGTGCATGTCAGCTCTAGTGGCTGGGTTGTGTGGAGGTGACCAGGAGGTATTGTTTGACGACGTTGATGGTTTTCTCCGCTGATGGGAACGAGAATAGGGCAGCATCACCTGCTCATGCGCCGTCATGCCCTTGTAGGCAGCGGCTGCTTTCGGATATGCCCCTAGCGTTGGTGGTGGTTTGCTTGACGGCCGTCTAGCCATGAACAGAGAGCTATCGGCATGGCTGGAGTCGAGGCCGTGTGAAGTGGCAGCTGCGGCGCCTATCCTATCCGACGGTGGCGTGACTTCCTCACTCTCGTTCTCCCCGCTGCCGTCCGTTGACCAGTTACCGGTTGGTGCTGCTTCTAAAGCTGCACCACCATGGCCCTGCTTGGGATACGGGTAGTGCGGGATGCTACCACGTCGCCCGCCTCCGACACGGAAATGAACGGATGCATCCGGTGACTGTGCCACGTGAAAGCGGCTTCCATACGACACCGTGTGCTTGTCGACCTTGAAACTGCGAGAGTCACTGGAGCCGCCGGACGCTACGTCCGGCCCGCTAAGTCTGGACAGGGCATGATGCAACGAGCCTGAGCCGGCATTGAACCAACCGCGCCGCACCTTCTTTGAGTTGCCGTTGCCGTCTGCTCCGCCGTTGGTCGATTTGCTTCGGGCCGGCGGCATTTCAGGTGTCTTGTGTGACACGGCATGAGCGCCCGACATAGGACGATCATGGCGGCTTGCGAATATCTGCGGCGGACTGGTCGCCGCCATGTACTGTGCTCTGCTGCCGCCTTCGTGGGTGCTGCTACTAGCTGCAGACTGGCTGCGTTCTCGCTGCTGCCGCTTCCATTTGCGACGCAGCTTCAGGTATACGCATATCACAAACACCGTGACCAATAGTCCCACTGCCAGTAGACCTATGACCGAGTAGATCCACAGAGGCACCTTCAACGTGGTGGCTGTGTCATGTGCCTGTGTCGTGGGCAGCTCTGTACTGCGGTGGGCCTGCTGTGGAAGGTCGATGGCTCTCAGGATGTTGATCTCACCTGTGCTGCTACTAGTACTAGCAGTGGTACTGCCACCTATGCTACTGTCTGCTGGCAACCTGCTCATTTGTGACACTGCTCCTCCAGTAACCACACCAACAGCCCTAGTCTGATATCTATCTCTGTCACCTAACAGCACTACCTCACTGCTGTCCATACCAATACTACAGGGAGCATTAGCGCTGGCTAGACCAGAGCAGATGTAACAACAACCTCTGTGATAAATACCCTGCCAGCAGTGAGGTGTTGTGACCTGTGTGCACTGCCAGCACTCTTGCCTATGCACCCAGTACGACAGACTCAGTAGCAGGGTGGTGGACTGGTGATGGTGCTAGCGTAGTGGCCTATCCAATGCCAGTAGCAGTAGTAGCAGCAGCAGCAGCAGCAGCAAAGGACGTGGTCGAGTCGATGGTCTGAGCGCGGATACCAGTGCGTGTGAGACCACGTTGGTGTTGTAACTCGTTTCCTCCGCGTGGAGCAGGGACACGATCACATTGACCGATGTCATTCACGTACAAACGACACCGCTCTGCCAGCAAGGTCGTGCGCCGCTGTGTACTTGCGCGCTCTCTCTTGTTCCTGCCAAAGCTGCTACTGACGCTGCACACTCCGGGCTTAGCGTTCACGCAAAAGTAGTCCGCCGTCAGCCCACTCCACCAACTCACCCGAGCGATTGTTGGTCGATTATTGGTCCGCACGTACACACGCCGTGTCCGCTATCCGACAATTATTTACTACCTCGAGCTTTGCACATCGGCGGTCAATTGTGCGGGTAACATCTTCGGTGTAACTCTTGACAAGCGACCCGCAGCACGATTCCCACTCACTCTGTGAGCTGGGAAAATGCTAATTGCGATGTTGACGCTGATGCTGACGGCGTGACAGCTGATGATGGGCACACTAGATCATTCAGAGGAAGGTATTATGCGCTCCAGACTCGCAGAGGGGCAGTGCCAGTAGCGTCGTCTTCAGTTCGCCTGACACCGCAATGGTTCCGTTTGTGGTCGATATGTTTACTGCTCTTTGGCACTTTGGAGGGAAATTGCTCTGCGACGCTGGTACTTGCGGGTACTAACTGCTGTCTGTTTACATAGCAAGGCAACCTAATTGCTTGCAGGACAACTCAAACTCAATCGTGTACAACAAGTCTGGACGAGATGGTCCAGTGAAGGACCAACTTCCTTGAAGCGAGTGCAAAAAGGTTTTTCAGTTTCAAAATCTGCGCCCAAGGCCAGCAGCATCAGGAGCAGGCATTAGTTCTCTCACTCTCAGCTTGCCAAGTCTTGCCAAGTCTTGACTCTTGGTTTAGGACTGCACGCAGCGGAGTAAGGTTTTGCCAAACCGCGCAGATCGCTACACACACTCCCAGCGCAACGTCAGTGCCAGTGGCGCGAACTAAGCAAGCAGCTGGCAGAGTAGCACCGCCAGTGGGTATGGAGTGCAGGAGGTCAGAGTGCAGAGCTAGCTGGTGAACAACGATAGCAGCATGCAACTGCTAAGATCATTGATTGCCAGTTGATGTGTGGCCTGGCGATACGCTGTACGCGTCCATCGTCCCACGTTTCGTCACTGCACTGAGCCGTCGATGGACGACGTGACTCTCTTCGTAGTTAGCTTGTTGCCGGGTAGGGGTTCAGGACATCAACAAACTTCTCCGATACCTAATACTAGTAAAACCAGGAGTCCTAACACAGTTACTCTGGCGATTTTCTCCTCTACTCTAGCTTTTTTCTCACCCTCACATAATCATTACAGGACACCATCGCCACTACGAAATTTGTAATACACCACAGCTCACATGCCTCAGCGTGATTTAGCGGTAGGCTGTCTGATGCTGCTACACGCAAAGCGCCTACCTAGCTGACGATGCCATTGCCGACTAGCGACTTCCACAACACCGCGGCCACGGCAGTGTCACATGCACACATACACACAGTATACAGAAGGTCATCGGCTGTGATTGCGAA